TACAGCTACCGTCGCGGTCTTAACAACATTTTGGTGCTCTTGATCGGTGGTATCCCCATTGCCATGCCAACTGTCTTATCCGTCACTCTTGCCGTGGGTGCCCAACAACTGGCTAAACACAAAGCCATTGTTACCCGTATTACCGCTATCGAGGAGTTGGCTGGTGTCACCATCCTGTGCTCCGACAAGACGGGTACGCTGACCACCAACAAACTTACCATCGACAAGGCCACTATCCGCACATACGGCCCCTTCTCTGCTGATGATGTCATGCTCCTCGCTGCTTATGCTTCTCGTACTGAGAACCAGGATGCTATTGACTCGGCTGTTGTTCAGGCTCTCGGCGATGTCTCACGTGCTCGTGCTGGCATCAAACTCCTTGACTTCAAACCGTTCAACCCCGTCGACAAGCGCACGGAGATCACCTACCGTGAAGAGTCGTCCGGCATGTTGAAGCGTGTTACCAAGGGTATGACTGGTATCATTATTGAACTTTGCTCGCGCAACAAGACCGAGGAGCTTGAGAATAGACTTGAAGCTGATGTCGAGGAATTCGCTACTCGTGGTCTTCGTGCCCTCGCTGTCGCGTACGAGGAGCTTGATCACCAAGACCCAGAAGGTGAAGGTAACGGTTTCGAGCTCATTGGTCTTCTCGCCATCTTCGATCCCCCTCGTGAAGACACCAAGCAGACCATCGACGATGCTCTCGCTCTCGGTGTGAAGGTGAAGATGGTTACAGGTGACCAGCTTGCGATTGCGAAGGAGACTGGACGTCGTCTTGGTCTCGGTGACCACATGTATCCCGCCAAGGTTCTCAAGGACGGTCCGGCGCCTGGTGGCAAACACTTGTCACTTGACGAGATGATTTTGGACGCCGATGGTTTCGCTGGTGTCTTCCCTGAGCACAAATACGAGATCGTCAAGCGTCTCCAGGGTCTCGGACACTTGTGTGCCATGACTGGTGACGGTGCCAATGATGCTCCTGCTCTCTCCCGCGCCAATGTTGGTATTGCCGTTGAGGGTGCCACAGACGCTGCTCGTGGCGCTGCGGATATTGTGCTGACTGAGCCTGGTCTTTCCACCATCGTCCACGCCATTCGCGGTTCGCGTGTCATCTTCCAGCGTATGCGCAACTACTCTATATACGCTTGTGCTGTCACCATTCGTATCGTTGTATGCTTCGCAATCCTTGCCTTCGCATTCAAATTCGACTTCCCTCCCTTCATGGTCCTGATCATTGCCCTGCTGAATGACGGTACCATCATGACGCTCTCGGTTGACCGTGTCTTGCCCTCGATGACGCCTGATTCTTGGGACCTCTTTGAGATCTTTGCGTATGCCGTTGCATATGGTATCTACTTGACTGCCTCGACGTAAGCAACACTTAATCAACATCGTTGTCGGACTAAATCATATCCTGTAGCGTGGCTCTGGTCGCCATTATTATGAAGACTACGTTCTTCTACGACAAATTCGGTGTCAATTTCAATGGTTCCCCATATCCTAATGGTGCCAATGATTATCAGCTCCACATGATCGTCTACCTCCAAGTTGCTATCATCTCGCAAGCGTTGATCTTTGTCACTCGTTCGCACGGTTTCTTCTTCATGGAACGCCCTTCTGTTGCTCTCTTCGGAGCGTTCTGCATCGCGCAGCTTGTGTCTTCCATTATCGCTGCCTATGCCAACTTTGGCTTCACGCAGATCCAAGCAATCTCAGGTGGATGGATTGGTGTTGTGTGGGTTTGGGTATGTGCATCTGTCGAGAGTTCTTTCTGTGCCTTTGCTTACTCATGAATCTATAGAATATTGTATGGTTTGCCCCTCTCGACTGGATCAAATTCGCAATGAAGGCCACCGTTATCAAGAAGCTCCGCCAACGTCACGAGGCAGCACAGGCAGCACAAGCCCTCATTGGCGTCCCCATGACTCGCACGCAATCTCGCGCTGCTTCGATCCACGAATCATTGTACTCGAACCGTGTGTCGTTCATCCGCCGTGCTGCTCGCAAGGTTGGCTTCGGATCCAAGATTACGATGAAGCCCGAAGAGCTTCAACGCTTCAGCAGTATTCAAGCACAACGTACGGGAGCGACACTGGCTCGCAATCCCAGTCGCACCGCTGCCGCATAGATTTTGTGAGTTGTAGAATGGGAATGAGTGTCTCAAGATAATCCGCAGCAAAGCAAAACACATGGAACGATGTCATCTGTAATCTAGTAGATATTATCAAGGCCCGCCGTCTTTCGCATGTGGTGTCATCCCTCTCTTTGCCTATTCCTACTTATTTCATGTCATCATCACACGTACATATACGCATGGCATTGGATCTGGATACCTCGTGCCTTTTTCTGTCGGTTGTTCTTGGTTTGATTTTCTCTTGTTCAGTCCATCCGACATGTCCACTTTTTCCCGACTTTCGACACCCACACTCCTTTTTCCCGCTCTTCTCCATAACTAATGATTGATCGCTCAAGCAGTAGTGGCACACTTAATAGTGCACACACTCATGTGTAGATTCCTGCGTTTGATGTTCATGACAGTACATATGTATGTTCTAATTATAACTTAAAGACTTCAGAAACCGAAATTTTCGCTTAACCTTCGCTGTCAAAATAAATGGGACAAGCTCAGTTTCAAGTCGCCTATGCGGTATCAGGTTGGTACTTATTCCTGTGTCAGATGATTGCAATCCCTGTCGTAGAACGTTAACGTCCGTGCCAGTGCGAGCGACGAACCTTGAATCACACGCTCGCCATCATAACGTCCGTGCCAGTGCGAGCAACGAACCTTGAATCAAACGTTCGCCGCTGATATGCACGAACAAAAGCACGGTTCGATCTCGTTCCTGCCAGCTAACGTCTGATCAAAACAAAATTTTGAAACGACTCGGAAATGCGCATGCACGTCACTGTCATACGCCACTCGTCGGTGTGTTGATTGATGAGCACACGTAATATTACCGCGGGTTATCCCTGGAGATACGGCAAGACCAGAAAAAAAACGCGCCAGCGAATAGGCATCATGGCCTACTCCCGCTCAGTGGGAACGATTCGGATCGTTCGGTTGTCTTCGTAAAGTGCGGGCAGCCGCGACAAAAGGGCTCAAAGAACTATGATTATAATATCTTCAATGCGGGTTGGGTCATGATGCACGAGGTTCAAACTTCACGTCTCGTGAGACTTTTGAGCCTTCGAGTTTTCAAGCACTTTTGCTAACAAACGTTTGAAGGGTAACCGGCGGACACCCCGCTTCTGCCGCTGGCCCATCCGGAGCTGACCGCGGTTTATTCGGTCTCGAACCAGAACGTCAGGGATTCGAGTCTTCATGATGGATAACCCGGAATCCAGCACCTTATCAGCCAGTCGTTACGCAAGGGAACTGGCGTCATGCTCAGTGACCAGTCGAAGAGTCTTCTGCATCGTTTTTACAGCGGACCCAAGGGTATTCTGCTCTCATCGCTCTTTATGGGAGAAACAGAATCCTACGAAATGATGATGCCTTGACGTTCATGGAATCGTAGAACAGAGGTTCTCGTGCCGACGGTACCGCAGGGTCCTGGTCATTCATGCTTTTCAGATAGGCTAATCAGTGAAATGGTCTAGGACTACAGTCTATATCCCATGCCGATATCAAGGCCATTCACAGCGTCTCAATTGTCAGATGTGTGGGAGATACCAAACGCCGACTTCCCATAGCTCTATCTGCCGTGACATGTGGGCCTCTCCTCGTGAACATGCTAAATCTAGAAAGCCGACTGATATCAGGATAGTGCATGTCGTTTGCCCTGAGGCTGCTTTTACGGCCGATGATGGCATGACCATGTAGGTTCCATGATTATTCATGTTCACACATCTATTTTGAATGTTTTTGACCGCCCTCAGGCTGTTTGTTCCTAGCCGAAACACGCTGGAAATTTGAGTCGACACTGGGATTCTAACGTTCGACAGTGAGGCTCGACTACTTATTCTTCGGCCGGACACCATATGGATTTTAACCCGGATGATAACAGCCGTGGACCGAGGACGTGGACGACCAATCGGTGTCTATACCATCATGAAGACCCGATACAAAGTGAAATGCAGAGGAAGGTATTTGAAGTTGCAATGGGCAGCCTACAATTGGTAGGCTTTGTGAAGGATCGAGACCCTGCATGCGAAGGACTAGGTTACGGAAAACTGGTGTACGAATCCAAGGGACTATCTTGAGAAGGCCCATTTATTCAAGTCCTTGATCTTTGTAAGTGTGTCTAAATCAGAAAAAGGTGTCCTTCCCAAACTAATAAAGCCCAGTTATGGACCCGATGATATGGTTACTCGTCAGATTAAAGTTAGTTACGACTAGGCAACGCCTGTTTCGACAACACGGATCGCCGCTTTATTTCCTCCGACTGAAGCAAACTTTTGGCTTCGAGTGTGACGGATGTATCGCCATGAGCTATGAGCCATGCATCGATCCCGATGGCAGCATCCTCGCAAGCGCAATTACTGCGCACGTGCATGCCGTGTAGAAGGACCCCAAAAGCCCCCTCTGTCCGACTTCAAGCCAGACTTCTGGACAGATTACTGTCGTCGCGTGCTGCAGTCGCACAAGGTTCACAGCACAAGACTGTCAGCCTCGCTTGACGCTCTTGCATGTCGAATTCATCGTCTTAGCATCACAGATAAGTTCTATACTGCTCGCAGGCACGACGTTTTGGCAACTGAGCTGTCGCCTGGAACATAACAATCTGAACTGAACTCCTTGTGTCGTCTTCAAATACTTCAAGTTGCCGTCACATCTTGGTCATCGACTAGCAACATCCAACGATTCAAAGCTATGTCATGATCTTGGGTCAGTCCTGGCGTGGCTTACTTCACTCGGGGTTTCCTTTCTGTCATCTTTCCGACTGCTTCTTCCGTCATTAACGTTTGGCCTCTCTGCAAGGCTTTTGAGTCTCCCCATGGATTTTGTCGCTGGTGGGTTTGGGCGCGGTCCCCTGGTGCTTTCTGCTTATATCTTCGTGGACGAGATATCGCAGCGACAGAAGGTCACTCGACTCGGTGCCGGACTCGTTCCTTATGTCCAGGGCAAATTGTGGCATTTGAACCTGTGACGTCTTCAAGTACCTCAAGTTGCCGCCACATCTTGATCATCAACTAGCAGCAATGTCACGATCTCACCAGTCCTATCGTAGCCTAGCTCACTCGGGGTTTTCCTTCTGTCATCTTTCTGATAGTGTCTTCTGTCATTATCATACGACGTTCGGCCTTTCTGCAAGGCTTGAGTGAGTCTCCCCATGGCTTTTGTCGCTGGTTTTGGGCGCGTCCCCCTGGTGCTTTCTGCTTATATCTTCGTGGACGAGATATCGCAGCGACAGAAGGCCACTCGACTCAGTGCCGGACTCGTTCCTTATGTCCAGGGCAGATTGTGGCATTTGAACCTGTAACGTCTTCAAATACCTCAAATTGCCACCACATCTTGATCATCAACTAGCAGCAATGTCACGATCTCAGGCCAGTCCCAGCGTAGCCTAGCTCACTCGGGGTTTCCCTTCTGTCGTCTTTCTGATAGTCTCTTCCGTCATTATCATACCACGTTCGGCCTTTCTGCAAGGCTTGAGTCTCCCCATGGCTTTTGTCGCTGGTTTTGGGCGCGTCCCCTGGTGCTTTCTGCTTATATATTCGTGGACGAGATATCACAGCGACGACTTGGAAAGGCCACTCGACTCGGTGCCAGACTCGTTCACGGCAAATTGCCTGGAGATCTGAACAAGATAGTGGACATAGACATATTCACGAGGTTAGAGCCCGAATACCTTGGTACAACTTCCGTTTCATCCATTTCATGTTCATGCTTCACTTCCGTCCAGGACAACCTGCGCTGGACGAGATGAAGGAACTTGGGCCGACTTTGAATTTTAGATTCTATGGGGAGGACGATATCGTGACCACGGAGTCCCAACACATAAAGGCAAGCTCCAGTTTATGTTCGAAGACGACGCAACCAAGCTCTACGCAGACCATAAATGCTGTATATTTAACTCGGACGGTAAGCCAGAGAGCCTTAATAGTGACCATTACCTTCCTGGCATATCAAGATGTCACATTACCAGTATGTTTTATTGCAAGTTTGAAGAGTAAACTATGGCTTACAAGTGTAAAGTTTTCATATGAACACATCGCTGTTTGTTCAAACACAATTGGTATATCAGCAACCTTGTAAACATGAGGAAGTAATGATTGTGGGATATTAATCTCAATGAATGGCATGCGTATTCTAAACAGACCCGTATACACAAAATACCCTAATAACCAATACCTCTACCGACTCCCGTAAATACACCTCCTCTGATATAAATATTCGCACTATGTGTATGAGCATCAGATAAATACACTATTGTTCTAGTTGGAAGTTGCAGTAGTAGATGAAGTAGTTGCAAGGCCGACTCGGTGTTCAGTGGTGTCGAAAACAGAGTAGAAGCGTTGACTGTAGGGTGGGTAGTCAGTCAACTTTATACCCAACAAGTTCAGATTTGAATACATACAGGAATGAGTAACCGTTGATGAAGTCGAGACCACTGCCAGAGCTGGAGCCAATATCATTAACAATAAGGTAGATGCTATTGCTGTTACCACCGATGTCAGTGTTACGGGAACGGGGCCAGATTTGGCCGTTGGGGGTGAGGCCGTAGTTAGTACCATCAATGTTGAAGTTTAAGGTTTGCAGGTTAGAATACTGCGCAGAGGTGATCATTAAGAGACCAGTGGTGTTATCCAAAACAGCACCAGTAGCAGTTTGGTACTTTCGGAATGCATCTAGAATGATCCAGTCAGTTGGGGTGACTTGTTTATAACTAACTTGTCATACCAGTAGCGATGAGAATGAGGGTGGTGCCAGTGTCAACAATACCAGCAGTCGCGGACAAAATGGTGGTGTTACCGTAGGTGATCGATTGATCGATGCCCCAGTAATTGCTGGCAGGTGATGTGGTTGTGAGAGGGACGTAATTCACTGAGCTCGTCATCTTTGAGCTGTCGGAGCCACCAAAGGTGAGCTCGCCGGCACCGCCACCTGGAACAAAGTAGACTCCAAGTGCCTCGGTGCCAATGGTGCCTTTGCTGTAGAGGTTGTCGGTGACCGTGGGGACTGAACCAACGTTGGAAACGGTGCCCTCCGTCAGGTCAGTCGGTCCGACACCAAGAATTCCATCAATGTTGTTAAAGCCTTGTACCTGGCTTGCGACTCCGATAGATTGTCCAGTAATAAGCCAAATTAGAACCGAGAGTAACTGTGTCCGTGTATTCCTCTCCTGAAAAACTGCCGGAACCATAGTAGACAGACTAGTAGGATATTATGAGCCACGATTTAGCAAAAGGCGTGCAAAGACATACGACAGAGTTACCAGTATCCACACTGGTACTGGTGTGTTTGTATGGGGTGCTTGCACCCACCCAGGTATTGGAGCTGCCCGTATCAATGAGGAGCGTATCTGAGGATTCTTTTAGTCGAAAATATCTAGGGTCACCCAATAGGCGAGTCTTACACTGAGTTGCAGGGCTGCCGACACCGACTTGGGCAGTATAAGTAGTGATAGCATTAGATATGCTGAACGAGGAGCTGCCAGCACGCTTGCTCGTGTTATTAGAATGCACCATCGCCTGAGCGCGAGCCCTATCGGCAGCGACGATGCTGAGAGTATTAGCCCTAACGTTCACCCTAGTGGTGAAGCTGAGGGTAGTTGGCGCAGCTTGACGGCGCACGGGGGATGCGTCTACAGCGGACAGCGCAATAAGGATAACAGAAAGGAGAGTCTTGGAAGGAAACATCTTGAAGATACTGAGTAAGAAATGAGATCAGCTGGAAGTAAGGCTTTGATCATCGATCCAGACACTTTATATATGTCGTGGCCTCCCACTTAACCGTGTGATACCCAGTTTCGAGTCAGGTAAGACTCGGACCTTGCTGTACGTTCCGTCCGATCCTAAGGATCACGAGATATCGATGAGAGCTTACCTGCAGAATCCCTCTTCCGAGATCAATGTTGCTGCACGCCGTCGTCACAAGAAAATGATTCATTGCTATAGAAATCAGAGAGCCCAGAAATTCATTTTGACAACTAATCAGCAGTCGCCCATATGATCGACAGGACTGTGAGCATGGTGGTATTTCAGTTCGCCATCATGATCAAGTACGTTGCCTACCACGTTCTGGGCATAATTGGTACAAAGAACATAGCGTTGCGCCTATCAGACAGAGGGCCCTGACTTTGTCCCCCGTTTACAAGGTAAACTTTCCCGGGATGTGCATGAGGGCTATACTTTTTCAGGCTCGTTGTAATTAAGAATCACACACCGTGACACAGCCGGTACCGCCACATGGAACGAGAAATGATTAATGTTCATGCCATGATCTAAAGTATTTCGGCTTGGAGACCTAACGTGGCCCGCACGTCATGTCTGACAGTAGGCCCGATTGTGTTCATACAGTGATGTCGCTTATGCAGTAAATCTAAGGCTGCCAGAATCCTATTGAGTATTCAACGTTGAATGAGGCCGCCTGGACAACGCACTGTTATGAATAATTTTTGTTGGTCGTAAGAAGGGTCATGAAACTCCTGGCAGCCCACCATCAAGCCCGTTGACAAGCCAAGCTAGCAATCCATGATGTTAAAGGTAGCGCTCATAATAAACTTTACCCACATGACCTGGTAGGCTACCAAGTGCTTGCCAAGTACTGAGCAGGTGAAAGCAACATATTTGAAAATTACAACTCAGCTTAACTAACGATTTGTTATTGGTTTAAAATTATTGAAAATAATATTATTTGAAACGAACCATCATGCACGTGACACATTCAAGTCGGCCTAGCCTCGTACTCAGCGCTCAATTATCGTCAGCCTGCAGGTGACAGTCGATCAACTTTTGGTTGCGGTGTACGCCAGCATTAATTTGAGACTGAGCCCACTTCTCAATTTGACCACGATATCCATTGACTCATCTGCATGAGGTTATTCATGTCTCGACAGTGCACTTGCCATGTGGTGCAACTTGTCGGCCACCATTTTAATCTAGAACGCAATTCCGCAAACCTACCGACCTGCTTCTATTGCCTTTGCATCCTTGTGCTCTTTTAATAGTGGACGGATCTACGAGGGCCGTGGGCATCATCTTTCGAAGCAAGTACAAGGTAGTCAGGCGATGCATGAAGCACTTGCTGTAGAACTCCAGTGCACTCATCTCTGATGCACCATGGACATATTTTTACCATTCCCATGATACTATGGTATCAGTCACGGTTGTATTGCGTAGGAAGGACGGATGCTGAAATTCATACCAGCAGCGCCACCATGACCCAATACCAAGATGAAAGCCAATTCGTAGCTTGAAGCAGTATATCTGAAGCTAGATGCAGGCCGCCGCTCAAGTGATGCAGGCTGTCAGCACCAGGCTTGTGCGTCATTCACTGGTAGTGCCACAGGTGAGTCATTATCGAGAATTGAACGTTGAACCATCAGACGAACTCGGCCGGTCCTATGAACGACGGAACTGCTTCGGTCGCCGTCGTTATGAAATCAAGCGAGTTGTTATGATAAGGAACTTTGTGCCTCGGAAGGCAGTACTCTGGAAGACCATTCCCGGTCTTCCCTGTGTAGCAATACTCGCCTCGGCGGCCAATTGTTGAAAATACACCGTGAGGGCATCCGATGTTGGTACCTCAATCATGTGATGCCCTCCCTTGATATTCACGTTGTCCAATGTCCATATCATTTCCCATCCACTCCAAAGCACGATGATCTTAGATACGCCATTCGGATGACGACTATACTGCAAAATAACTCGCCAACTCATCAGCCCCTGAGCGTCTAGAGGCAGAGGGACTTCATGCGACCATCTCGCCGCAGTCAACAAAACGATTGATTGAAATCACATAGTTCTCTCCATTTGCATAGGATTGCCACTTCATAACTTAGTGGTGCCGCATCATTCAGGGCGTCAACAGCCTCGGAAAGATACAGCGGCAGTTGTCTCAAAAATATGGATCGTCCCATGTGCATCTCCAAATAGTATGACTATCGAACAGCATGCCGTAAAGTTCTTTGGTCCAATATTCCGTGACTGGATCCTTATCCCAGAGTCAGCAATTGAGACCGGATGCAGAGAGATTACGGTTCGAGTATCTAGGAGTGCACCGAGGCAAGTTCAAAGTCTGCGACGAGCCTTCTCACCCTTCAGCACAATTCGGATCACCGGGAGGATATTGCTCATGTCTTGTTAAAGAATGCTCTGTTTCACGAGCGCTGAATGTCCTGGAAATATAATGATGAGGATGATGATCAGCACGCTGACCGAATGGTGCCGAACCTTTGAGTGCAGCGAGACCTAATGATTGTTTTCGTTGTTTCGGCATCCTACAAAGGGTGCCCCGAAGATTTCAGGAAGAGACGATAAAGGATAAGATCATTGAAAATGTCATCACTAAGAATGAGAGAACAGAGGGTGCTGACCGTAACAGGAGTGTGCACCTCCCTTGCTACAGGAATACAGATATCACCGCCAGGACTGAGTTCGGCGACGATGCCTAGTACAGGTAACTTGACAAGCTTACGTTTGCCTTGCCGAGTTTACGACCTCCATAGGGTTTTTAAGAGAACAACAAACTTTCCTATTCCCAAACAACAAAGCTCGCTATGAGGGCGACCTAGTAGTAAAGACAAAGAAGACCATGTGGGAGGACCCATGTTGACCCAGCAAGGAGGAATAGCTAACCTGGAAGTACAAATGTCCTTCAAGCCAATCCGAGGCAAAATTGGCCGCAAATTAAGATGCATAGGACATAAAGCTGGAACGGTTGTGCGACCATGATGAGCCTTGCATAATCAGCTCCTTGCGACGCAATCTTTTGACAACTGTGGCATTGGTGGTGTCGGGATCCTCCTTGAAGTCGGGTCTGATTCCAATAAAATTGCACATCTGCCCTTCACTTGATTTTATCATCGATGGCTGGAGTCAGCGGCCCTGACGTTGGAGGTACTTTAGCAAGGACAAACACAGGCTTGTTGTCAGGAAAAGATATGCTTTTATCATTGGGGCCCGCGCATTCGTCCATTGGCACCACCTGACAAGACTGCGGTGGGTTACTTCTGCTGTTGCACCCTTGATCGTTCGATATATTTTGCTGTGAAATCTCTTGGCTGATGCGGCCAGGTTGGCGAAGTTCATGTTTACCAGTGGTGGGCATAGATAAATTTCATGAAATTCTGTGTGTGGATTAGCATGTGAGGTTTCTATGATGCGGGAAATACTTATATCTTGTTTGTGTAACCGCGGGTTAGCACGGGTAATACCGTACCCGTACCCGTACGGCCCGTACGGTGTTGATCTTCCAACCCGCGGCCCGTATACCCGTGCGATTGTTGCCGCCTCTCGAGCCCAGCGGCCTGAAATTACCCTGATTTCATGAAGGAGGTTTTCCCTGATGGCGGACATTGGGTGGCAATCTGTTGGCATTGCCGATGTGCCAGCATTTGAAGGTGAGACCACGCAAGACGATTTTCAAATGACGATGTCCAGCACATAAAAGCCAGTAGTCTTCCTGATGCATTCAAAATCATCTGATTCACAAGGTCACTACAAACAATGCGCTTCTCCTCTGCATTCGTACTCGCCGTCGTTGCTACATTAGCCTCATCATCAGTCTCTGCTGTGCCCCTTCAGGGTGATGATTCTGACACTGCTGCATGTCCTGACAGGTGTAGCAGTGATGAAGATTGCGATGGCTGCCTTGTGGGGACTTGCATGAGTATCAATGATTTTCCTGGATCTGATAGCGTGACTCACCTGTGTGACAGTACAATGATAGTTTCTGCATAGTGGGTCGTGTTTTTGCTTTAATATATTGGCACTGACGCGCGAGTGATTAGTGATCTGTAGAGTTGATAAATGTGCCGTCAGGAAAGCATCAGTGGACTGGCGTAATTTTCGTAGTTTGCTTGGGAAAACTGAGATAAAAGATATTAGTAAAGCACAAGTTTTTCCCAGTTATGATGTCCTGGACCTCCTTGAACCAAAATAAATTATTGGTCCAGATCCAGATCAAAATCTTGTTGATTGCCGTTTGTTATTCAGAGGAAAGGCATGAGCCATACTGTCCTGCCGCACCAAGGTATCCTGGTGTCTGTAGGCCCAGTTTTGTCTCTAAAGCATGATAGTGATGTGCTAATTCGTGAAAAGCACGAGCGCAACGGCGTAGGCAAAAAAGACGCACTTCAATATGACGACTGTTCAACTTGAAACGTTCAACGATGACACGAGCTACAACTTTCAACCATGAGTAAGAGTGTCACTTGGCAACACGTAATGCTGACCTTGAAGCGAGGTTCTTTCGATGCCACGAGGGTGCAAGCTTGTAAGCACTTATTTACTTACTTGCGGAGTGAAGGACTCTGTGCTGCCTTAAACAAGTAATATATGTGGTTCCCATGAGATAGATCATGTTAGGGGGCTTGAATGCATTCGCTGTAATTCCAGTGTATTCTAACGAAGTAGTTTCTTGTTTGCCTTATTCTCTGGTGCAGAGAACGAGAATCAGACGAACGACAGGTAATTCATCGCGAAGCAAGGAAACTCACGCAACAAAATAACCTCGTCAATCCATGTCGGGCATCTACGGAATTCGGCAGAAGGATCACACTCGGTGACAGAACCCTAGTCCGTCACGGTCAGTGACGTCGAGCAAGGATCGAGATATACATGGAGTATTTTAAATGTCTTTCCTCCCTCATCTTGGACCATGGTAGGCATCCAGAAAAGGACAGTGAGAATTTGCCTAGTTGGATGCACACCGACCGAAAGCACGTTGTTTCCAAAGGATCTCATGACAATTCATATGACGGTGGAATGCGATTTTTTTCATGACAGGTCCTGGAGCCACGCATCGCAGGGCACCATGTCGCCTAGCAGGGACGGTAAGGTAAGTGAATTCATCTGGATTAACAGCAAATGGTAGATCAAGGTCCGAAGGCCGTGCGCGAACATCAGCATCAATAGATACGTTAAACTGCAATTTCCCAACGTTCATCCTGGATTCTTCTAGAAACTGAAGCGCAGGTACTATGCCCTAGTTAATTCCCCGTGGACGACGGATGTAGTACGTACCTCATCTCGAGTGAGAAAAGGGCGGAGCAGCTCTCCATAACAGAGAGCGCCGGCAATGTCCCCAGGATGCGGCGACACAGCTTTGTCCATGAAAACCCTGACAGTTTACCAGACGCAACTTTCACGTCAGATTTTCTGATGTCGATGTGCCATCTTCCTGTCAAGATGACACGAGGTATGTTCATCCAAAGATGCAGGCGATCAGTACCTCATACCAAGCTAATTTATCTTACTGATATTGGATCACGTTACTGTCCATGAAACGCAGTGCGTATTTGCTATAATGCTGGTCTCACAAACAGCAGCGTGGTTGTGTGTGAGAGGGGATTGCCTTGTCTGATATCTACATACCCTGCCTGCCCGAGTTAGATTGCAGTTCAACTAGTTCTCCCCTAGCCTCTGCGATTGGAGGGCAGCAGTTGTTCCTTCGCATATAGACGATAAGACTAGTGCTGCCGTGGTCCGGTCCCGAACCGTGGTTCGAACCTGACCATTGGTCAGGTTCGTCCTTGGTTCAGTCCATGGTTCCAAGTTTTGGACGGACCGGACCTGAAAGAGGTTCGCGGTCCACCATCACCCGAACGGTTCGGACATAGGTTCGGACCTTCCCGAACCGTTCCGAACCCCGAACCGCAGCATCCTCATGTTATCGGTGAGGCACACACTACTAGTAATGGTCACTTCGACTTCGACTCAACTTCAACTTCTGCCCCCATGGTCATTGGGATCCTCAGGATTTGCGACGACTTTGAATTCTTTCCGGAGGCTCGCATCCCGCACCCCCGGCTCTCGAATGGGCTGTTTTCGCGACCCTCCAATGTATATGGCCTTGGAGAGCGGTTGTTCACTTTGTTAGCAGTTAAAAGGAGCAAGCACCAGGTGAGTTCACTCATCATCATGTCTGAATCTGACGCATGCGCCCTCAATACTGATGGATCTCTTAAGGATGCTAAGGACATCATCTTTTATCATGATCCTGATGATACTGTCCCAGCTATCTACTCCTTCCTCTGCGCCTACTCTCACAGGTTGCAAACCAGTGCCAGTTATAGCTGGTTCTCGACGATCCGTTCGCATTCCTGAACTTATGTTTATAGTTTGACAAGTATTATAAACCGCCAACTCGGGCACCTGCCAAAGAACCCAGCTCCGCCAACAAGACCCTTGCATGAAAATCGGTACGGTGACGCGTGGATGCGCGAGGCCATCAAAACCCATCAAGCTGCAGACCAACGCACTCATAATCCTCATCAAGAACTCACGATGTTTCTGTCTTCGCCGCTAGAGCAAGCTGACAACATTGTTGCCTGGTGGGGCGTAAGTAATCTCATCATGACCTGTTTATTTGCTACTTAAATGGTTCCTTAGCTTCACTCATTGCAGTATCCTACTCTAGCACGCATTGCACGAGACTACTTGCCCATTCAAGGAAGATCCGTCCCCTCCGAACAGGCTTTTTCGAGCGGAGGGATCACTTCTACTGTTCGACGCAATGGACTTGCAGCATCCACATTCAGCTCGCTGCAGCTATTGAAGGCAGCATACAAGAATGGCCATGTTTCCGCAAAGGTTGAGGCAGAAGCAGCCATGTTGGATGTGTAGCTACGAGTACAAGTTCTATCTACGTTTTTTTGTGCGCTGTAAAATATCTACATTTTTTTTTTGCTCACTGTAAAAAAAATCGGGTTCAGTTCACGTTCGAACGTGAAAATAACCAGACCTGACCATTCCGAACCGTTCGTAAAGGTCCAGTTTGGGGTTCGTCGAGTCTGGTAGAACCAGACCTAGGTCCGGTTCTTGGTTCTCGCTCATCCCTCTGTGAACCAGACCGAACCAGACCACGGCAGCACTAGATAAGACTACCTCGAGCGGATTCAAGCTTGAATGCGAGCGCTGATTGAAATTTGATGAAGCGGTAATAGAGAAGTACAACGTACAAGTAAAAGGATAGAGGGGAGTGAAGACGAGCACAATAGATCGACTCGCCGGGTGCTTCTGTAATAAAAGAGACCAGCATTTCAGAAACTAACAAGTGACCGACGAGTCGAATACTGAATCTGCACCAACTTCTTCTTGCACTGAGTCCACAGGCCAAAAACTTTGCATTTGTATGTAGCACTTGTGAGTCTAACCAAATCTTCGAGTTTGGATATGCATTGTGCACTGATTTCGCATTGTGACTTTACGCAACCCGGCAGCTAGTATCATCCAGACGTCGATATGTTTCTGCAAATTTTGTAGTACCGATTCAGAAGGTGAATTAGCATGTGAGGTTTCTATGATGCAGGTCGGACCCAAAGAATGCAGGCATACATGTACCCTCAGCTGGGAATTTTGAGAGCTAAGCACGTGCCAAAAATACCTACTATCATTCCAGGTAATCTGCAACATGCATGTAATATGCAAAATGTTCAAAACACCACAAAGCACTGCTCAACTCACTTCAAAAAAAATTCATGCATATGTAGACTACTTATATATGATATACTGTCCAAGTAAAATGAAAATTTCTTGAGTGTTGCAGCTGCGAGAGATGAAAAAGTGGTAATTTGTAAGCATGCAAGAACATAAATCACCCAGATCCCATAGATCCTGCAGGTATATTCACAAAGTTATACCTGGAGCATAACATGATCACCTTGTCAGGATTACAGTGCACAATTTCGATAAAGCTCATCTTGTCATTTTAAGATGCTATAGAGGAAGAATTGACGACATGTCTGAAAACGTGACAGCCAGATAGGAGAGTGTGTAACAAATTCAATCTCCTCTACGGCACACTCGGCAAGTGCACAAAGTCTTGCATTGTCATCTCTTGCATTATTACAATGGCACCAAACCACAGACCTACTACCAGGCAGAAGAAAGCTGAAGAAGAGATTCGCGAAGCCAATTTCACTGCTGCTATTCAGGCTATCAGAGAGAAAAAGGCCAAGAACCTCCGAACAGCAGCTGCAGAGTTTAAAGTCTCATACCATACTCTTTGTCAATGGGCACAGAACCTCACTAAACCTCATTCAAAAGCCCACAAAAACCTCCAATTACTTACTGAAGGGCAGGAAGTAACAATATGTGACTGGGCCAAGTATCTCGCCATGACAGGTCACCCTCTCTCCAAGCGCAACCTTCGTGCAAAGGTTTATTTAATCCCTCTCATTCTCGCAGGCGGCATGTTGAAATCGGCAATAACACTACTGAGTCAGTACCGCAAGACACGCCGATTCATCAAAATTCAATGCACGCACCATTTGGCACCTATCAACCACAGCCTATCCCTCAACCCTCAATGTCATACATAGATCTTCCCTCACTCGGCAGGTATGTGCCTCCACCCATTCCCCAATTTGTGCCGGCAGCTGGTAACAGAGGGGAATTTCGAGTTGGTGCTGAGGTACAGATGTATGATGGCAGGAGTCAACCTTATTCAGGACCATATCAATGGCAGTACACTCACAATAATAATTACATGGATCATGATGCATAATGGTTGATGACAATATATTGCTGTATTCCAGACCAAGCTTCCAGTTCGATGACTCAGTACTCAACCCCAGTGAAAATCGACAAGAATGATGTAGATACATGTAGATATAGATCGAACAAAATATGAGGAAATGAAATTTTTCGTTATGTTTCGACCTCTTTAGAAAAGTGGGACTTTTCGAGACGAAAAACGATAGAGACCAAAACGAACTTTTAATGCTTCGATACGATTTTAGTTGGCTTTAGATGGGTTTTAGATGCAAACATGTGCTGAAAATGTTCCAATTAGATGGCATGAATAGGTATCTAATGCCATTGAATGATGTATCTATAGGTATCACTATGGTTAGGTAGTGGTATCGCTGCGCCCGCGCCCGCCATCCCGCCTCGTATCCATTCGCTACTCCTTGTCTGTATCATCGCCAGTGCCGTTCCTTTTGGTTGGTCCAGCTGAGCTGAGCTATAAGGCAAATCATTGTTAGTATGAAGATACTCATGGATATCATGAATACCATGCACCTGTAGAGCCGCTTTGTGCTTGTATACCTTCAATAATAGTGCTAGTCAGTAGATAAATGACATCAATACAAAAACGACATACCTCTTTGTCAGTCTTCGATAGACCGTTCCAGTAGGTTGCAAAGACACTTGCCGGTTCTTTCTGATGGCCGTTCGATTGCCATTCGAGGGCACAAAGATTCCTATAATAATAATAGTGTTAGCCTTACTTGCTGTGACCGTAATAGATAAATCTTACCGTGCCGTGATCTTCGAGCTCACACGCATGGGCTTTGTGCTCGGCTGACGCTTCTTTGCAGGTTGGGCCTTCGAGTTGATTGCACTGGGAGTGGGCTCCGTGGGGGTTGCTACCAGGAGTTCCATCTTGACAGCGAGGGAAGCTGTGTTGGTATCTGATGGGTCGTTGGATGGAGGGGTGATGATAGTCGGCTCGGCGCTAGTGGTTCCAGAAGTGGCAGAGTCGATGGAGGCAGGAGCTTTCTTTGGGATTGGCTTGGGGCGAGGTTTGAAGACAAGATTAGAACTAAATTAATAGTATCAGTAGAATGGAATTATCAATAGAGTGATCACTTACAGAGGATTGTTGACCTCCACAGTAATCACTTCCTTCTCTTTTCCTTTGTCGGTACGGGGAGGTGGGGTTGGTTCACGTTCTTCCACTTCGACTCGTTGTCTTTTCAATGCTGGTTCTGCAACAGGGTCAATATCAATGTTAACTCGTTTATGAGAAGTTGAAGATGAGGAAGGAGAGGTAACCGCAGGCGTTGAAGAAGATGAGGAAGGGGGGGGTAACAGCAGGTGTCGCAGATGGTGAGGAAGGGGGGGTAACAGCAGGTGTCGCAGATGGTGAGGAAGAAGGAGGGGTAGCAGCAGGTGTTGAAGCCAGTAGGGACTTGTCGTTGTTGTTGTCATCGTCGGCAGTCTCTATGTCTTCGGACTTGACATGACCGCTAGTTTGTTTCTTCACAACGTGGTAGTTGTACCATTGGGAATAGTTGTCGATCATTAATTTCATAGCTTTCCAATTGTCAGTGCATAGACGGAGTTCGATGCAATGTTTGCATAGCATGTGAATAAGCCAGTGTAGGACTTTGAGTGATGCTTGGCCAATGGATTCGGGCATGAGACCTTGAGATTCGAGTTGTCGAAAACATGACAGCATGAAAAGACGGATGGTTTTTGCCCGTTGTGCAGACACCGGCTGACCAGCTTGGTCTTGCAGGTAGGTACATGCTACATTGATGCCTCGTGCCATGTGTGTGGCTCCTCGCTTTTTCCCAGAGGATCCAGGATTGGCTGATGTACTTGATGGCATGTTCTCCTGCCAGTCTTTCTTCGTCCATGATCTGACCAGTGGGTAATCAATTGCATTGAGGTCATGATCAGAATCTTCACGAGTGACGTCCAAAAGAGTAGGTTTTCAATCCGCAGTACTGTCACTTGCAACTGACAAAGAAGAACTTGATGCCGTTGAGCTGGCAGAACCTCGACTGTTAACAAGTATGGTCCTGAGAGAAGATATACCATGACATCATTGATCGCATCAGCAAACATGGTCAGCAAACATGGTGCGCATATATGCACATGATATGACTGGAACTTACTGCAATGTTTCGCATTTCGTGTTCAGACACAAGTTTTCATTGACGAGTTGTGTTTTCTCTGACTGGAGAAAGGCGACTGTGTGCTGGAGTTCTGATATCTCTCGCTTCAATTGTGAGATCATGTTGACGTCAGGATCATTGGGAGATAAATGACCCTGATCAAGAAGAGCCCAGAGCCCTTCATGCAACATGGTAGACTAATAACACGTGTATCTCATTAATGTAACAAGTTCTCTATCATAGAACTCACGGTATTATTGGTATCGCAATCACGCCGGGTATTTTGAAAATTATGTGAGCCGCCAGAATTAAGTTGTGGATTAAAAGAATGTTGTGAAGAAATTTGGGACATGAGGAGATTGGCGTATCCTGTCGGTGAAGTCGTTGTGTCGGGCATAATGATGGTGTGATGAGAAGGGGCGCTACGGTACAAGTCAAGAAAGGAAACTTTGGACTAAGTTCAATTCATTCTATAGTATCGTCCATTCATCCTACATCCACTCAATAAGTTTTAGATATATCTTTTGATCAGGATATTGATGGCTACGATGCTGATACTAGGTATGTTCTCCATCACTTCTAACGCTGTTATCACTAATGTATCTTAGCATATCTTTCTCAGACAGTCGTTCCAGCACACCGAAGATGACACCTTCGGATGATATGTTTGTCAACCCAGCATACTGGCATGCGCATCCAGAGAAAGAACACTTGATCAGACAGCAACTGTTGTGAGTCATTATTATATGATTATATCTTGGTTCAACAACTTATATTGAAGGCATCACCCAAATACTATGCCTCCCTGGCCTGACGAGCCCGAAAGCGACCCACCCGAGCCAACACTGCAGCAAGTCATCACCCCTCCTCATGTGAACGATCCTGAAAGCATCACCGAGCCCGAAAGTGACCCACCTGAGCCAACACCACAGCAAGTCATCATCCCTCCTTGTGTGAACGATCCTGAAAGCGTCACCGAGCCTGAAAGTGACCCACCTGAGCCAATGGCACACTTGTCCACTATCACCAAACCAGTTCTCTCCATGCCCAAAAGTAATATGAAGTCCATATTTGCAACACCAAGCCCACCACCACCTGGATCAATTTACTGGAAGTATGTGTCGAAGGAGGAGGATGAAGCGTGGTACGATCAATCGCGTACAGACAAGAATTTTCTTGTGGTTCGTGCAATGAAATGAGAACTTGAAGAAGCTCTTTAGTGATGCAGTAGTCAGATAAATAAACATGTTTGCATCTTGTATAAAAAAGTAATTGAACTCATTCTTCGTCAAGAATACCCTCCTCTTCCACACCACTCATTCTTATAATGTCCAACCCTGGTCGTTCCACGAGGTAGAAAAGAACACCATCAATACCCGGAAAATTATGAGGAATCATAGCCACCACAGACTGTATAGTATGAACCTCGACAAGTTTCAATGAAGCATCTTCACAATGACGACAGGCAAAGACCGTTTGCGACGAGTTTTCAAATAGATCTGTGTGTGGCTGGCTGAATTCAGATACGAAAGCAAAGGTCTTCTCTTCATCGTGAAGCATCATATTGAAATAAAATAAGATTTCGGCAACAGTGGTCTTGCCGTCAATCAATAACTTTAGTGTGTGTGTCAATGTATAATACTAATAGAGTGACCATGAAAAAAATACCTTCACATTGCATGCCATTCTTGGTTGCTTGGACATAGCATTTTCCTCCCATGCAGACCGTGCAACTTGCCCATTTGGAAGGCGAAGACGAGCCCATCGAGTGACGAGAGGGGCGGAGGTAACATGAACATCGTTGTCGGACAGGTAGTGAAGTAGTACTTGGGCCTCACAGGGACGTACTGCATGGGCTGTTCTCTCTCTTCGCCGCAGCAGCAAATATCCCTGGCTGATATCCAACAAGCCCTTTGGGGAAGCATTATCTGATGGTTCAATTGTTGGAATGATAGCCTTGATGGTGTTGACTTGACAACAACGAGCAGCACGTTGAGAGAGATTAGCGTAGACAGAGGAGTTGTGTAGTCGTATCTCTTGAGCTAGATTGCCGATGGTTCGCTCCATCGTCCATTGTGACGAACAAATTGGTGGTCCCTTGTTGACTGTCTCACCAGCGATATGTGTGATCGAGTGGAGCCATGGTCGTACAAAATGAAGCCGATCAATCCAGCGCTGGTAATAGAGCTCTTCGAATTCATCTGCGAAATTAAGAAGGTGATGGTGGCCTTCAACGAGATCGGATCTAGATATGTGGTATTGTTGCATTAGATGTAGTCCCCAGGCAAGATGGCAAAAATGCAACCAATAGGGCTCAGGCAGAATGCCATAGAGTGTGGCTGGTGCCATCCCATACAGGTAGAGAAGCCATTCCCAGGCCTTATACCCACTATTGATCTTCTCTGCAGGATTACGAGAAGGTCGATCAAATGAACCCGGCAGAAAGGGTGTTGCATCTGTGATCAGAGATCCATGTGCCTTCCAAGTCGCCTTCATCAGAACAGCCCAGGCCCACGTGGATTTATCATCCGTAGTCTCGGCTCTAAAGGTTCCTCTCCAGAGGGGTAGAAGGAGATCGCCAGTATTGATGGCAGCGATGTGCATGATGTCAGAGCCAAAGCACAGCGGCACCAGCAAAATACGGTCAGTGTCGAAGCCACAGAAGATGCTTGGTTTCGTAATGCCTGTCTCAAGGCGTGCAAGCTCGTATTCGGCCATGTTGGAACAGCAGATCACACGCTTGAGGTTCCATTCATAATCAAATGATCCGGGAAGGGGAAGCCAATCAATGAAGAAGGCGGGGTGATCAGGTTGATCAGTACCTTCAGGTTGACGTAGGGCAGGATAGTACATAGGTGCACCTGGTTTGTGTCTCCCTGGGAGTCCGCAATAGAGACGACATGCGAATCTGCCATGGTGACCCACAAGGCCAGTAAGAAATGCCATGCCGGGGCCGTCAGCTGTTGCAACAAAGAGAAAGGGATTAGATTGAAATAGAGCCTTCTTTGCGCCATCCCAAATTGGAAGCCCTTCTGTCTGAATTGCGTGAAGATGGTGTAGGCCAGGGAAAATGAAAGAACCTAGATTTTTGGGTTTTTTTGGGGCCAGAAATGATACCACCCGGGAGTATGTACTTCTTCTTGTACCGGACGTCTGGCGCATGATTGAAGATTACCCAAATATATATCCAACAGTCAGATTGTTTGGATTCATAGAGCTGGGCACCATTGATCGAGAACATAAGAACCGCATCACCATCTTTAATTTTGCCAGATTGGCACGCGTCCAGATATTGCTTCCCATGAAGAACATCTTCATATACCTCCGGAATGCCATTGGTTGTCTTCAATTCGTCAATGATCTTGTTGGTGTACTCCTGGCGCCATCGCATCTTCTTTGCCTGGTCTGGATGGCGCCATAGGGCCTGGAGCTGCGGTCCAACAGGAAATGTGTCAAACGTTTTCCAAGCTACCTTCTTGTGAGGTGAGCTTTTTTTGGTGTCCCATCAATCTTCTCCACATCGAGGGCAATGATCGAGCTCAGTGTACAGACCTGTGAATGCAAGACATGTGTTGGTACACATGTCATTAACGATCGGGACGACACCACTAAGTTCACAGACAGCTTGCTTAACCCGGTAATGACTGTATACATCATCTTCGGGGTGTCGTTCGATCGTGGCCTCGCGGATAAGATTGTAAGCAGTGATTGCTGTATTTGCAAAGTAATATTTTAACGAAAGGATAAGATCAGGATCTGATATATCGGGGAGTTCGCGGGGAGGGTTTCGAAGTCTGTCTAGTGCGTCTGGAGGTAGTTTAGAGTGTGCGTCGTCTAGGGATGCTTTTTGGAGAGCAGTAATGAATGACATCGAATCCTGGGCATCTTCAAGGCATGCCATCTGCTGTAGCTCATCCAAGTCCTCGTCCGTCCAGCCCATGGTTCCCAAGTCAGTGTCCGCACCCTCGAGATTGACGTCATCCGGGGGCATGTCTTGATCGAAGTTCTCAGGTATATTGTCCTCAACACAAGCTTCCTCTTCCTCCTCCCTGTCCTTGGGTCCCATATCAACATGAGCTTCCTCTTCCTCCTCCCTGTCCTCGGGCCCTGTATCACCAAAATTGGTGTCCTCAGCATGAGCTTGCGCTTCCTCAACACAAGCTTCCTCTTCCTCCTCCCTGTCCTCGGGTCCCGTATCACCAAAATTGGTGTCCTCGAGGTGATCGAAAGTTCCATCGAGTGCATCAGGGCCTGGGATATTGTCAGCAGCCTCAGGTATATCAAAATCTTATTATTCATATCAGCAAATTGATATTTATCGCAGGGTTATGAACACACTGTCTTCTGCGCCATCAATGGCAATAATCCGATCATCCTTGTGCTTCGATATGGGTGGCTGTTCGGGGTGATCAGAAGCATCCGGAGGACGCTTGCTAGACGATGGCACCGGTATAGGAGCTGGAGTTTGTGCAGGAAGTGGTGGGGGGAAAAGTCTAGCGAGTCTGTTGGGTTTGTGCTGGAAGTAAGTAGTTTGTGGTACGTGCTTGGGCTTGCCTTTGTTCTTCCGAAGGCAGGCATCACAATCACATATGTAAGTATCAGTACCGTTTGCAAGTCGATGTATGCCAGCCTCGAGGCTCTCAGAGGTTATAGAATTCATGTAGCTGTGTGATCGCGATCAAGGAAGCGTATATGCGCAATCGCAATGTTAATCTAGGCGTAGCTTTGCAACTTGCAAAGTGCCGTTTGCAACATTTGCAGCAAATACACTGCAAATTTCTCGTAAGTTTGGACTTTGCATTTAATTTTACAATTTGCATTTTTCCATCTCGAATTATTTAGATTGCTATCTATATCATTTGGTACTTAGACGTGTATCGCTACCTATCTACCTCATTCTTGTCGATTTTCACTGGGACTCAACGCCAACAGATCGATCAAAGTTGACTGTGCCGGTGCTATGCCGAGGTGTGACTCGACGTGACCATATTTTGCAGATTAGCAGTCAGACCCTGAATTTTCTCGGCTTTCATCCGACACCACACCACAACATCCTAAAAATGAGAAAAAATGAGATCTATATAGAGGCGGTACGAATCTACAACACTCTAAATTCGTGGAAGATAATATGAAGTGGTTGATGAGCTACAAAAGATTTGCTGAAAATGTTGCAGATTACCCGGAGTGATAGTAGTCTTGCATTAAGCGTTAAGCGCTGAGTTTGAATATTCTGTTATATAACAGGCTGACTTCAGACGATTTCTCTCCTCAACCAGCTCAAAGGCCACGAATGCTCATCACACACAGGTTGCCAATCACGCGCATCCACATTTCTGAGCGGGCTAAGGTCTGAGCATTTTAATCCCCCCCGACCGGCTCTAGCAGAGCCCGGCTGTCATCAGCTGCGCGACGTACCAGAAAAGCAGCTTCATTTTCACATCCTCAAGATTCTGTTTCGGCAGAGGAGGGCGAGAATGAGAGGCTTTGAAAATGTTGTGGGGATCGGGCAAACCTGTGTTCGTCGTGTAGCAGTCCTATCGCGCATGCGCCAATCACTGGCGCTCAGGACATAGAGAAATCTGAGCGAGATACTCAAGTCCCCGGGCATTTGCTGCGGTACACATTCTCTACATATTGGATATCATGTGCTTTTTGTTGCCCTTAGGATCTGCTCTTAAGCTGGTGGCACATGTAGTCTGCAGTCCAGGTATCCCGTCACGGTGGCCTATGGCTACCGACGAGCGTCTCCGCTTGTCTGCTGCCAGCGTCCTCTATAAAACCAGGTGAATACACCGCTCACGGCTGGAGGCAACACATCGCGTTTGTTGCTCTCTTTGCGTATGAGGGATATATGCGATAGCACTGGTTTGTCCTTGAGTTCACTTCGTGGCTCGCGTATCCTTCGTGGATCGTGAAACTCGATTCAGACTACTCTTGGGCTGGTTCCTACAAATTTTTACAACTGCTGAGCTCCTTCGTGGAGTGTCACATCCCCGATGATCTCAACTGTTGGAAAGGAGCGTAGTCGACTAGGACTATATGGTATGGCAGCGTTCAATCATAACTCATAGTAACCACTTGATCTATTTATATACATGTTCCGAGATTCTGCAATCATCAAAGCATAATTCTTAACTGCGTATCACTAAGACATGCGCTGAATAATCCAGTGGGATTGCGACATCGGACATCCTGAGATACTCCTAATTAGCCTGTTGGCGGTGGGTATATATAGGGTGGAAATAAGGCGTTTCCTCGCACACTACCTCAGCATGCAGCCTCCAGCGAACAAGCCTGCACCCGCTATCCCGTACTTCACCCCTGCGCAGATTCCTGCTGCAGGTACAGCATTTGACCCCCAGCCTGATGGAATTCCTATACCAAAATTATTCCAGCCCCTCAAGATTAGAGGGACGACATTTCACAACCGTATTTTTGTGAGTCGTCATATTGATCAATGTGTTCCGCTGACATCCTATCCCAATCTCGTGCAGCTATCTCCACTGTGTCAATATTCTGCAGATGACGGTCATCTCACGTCCTGGCATATGGCGCACCGTACGTTTATGGATATCGAGCATGATCGAAATACTCACGATGTACAGTGGGCGGTATTTTCACCCGAGGTCCCGGTCTTTGTATCATCGAAGCCACAGCTGTCGTCCCAGAGGGTCGCATCACCCCCGATGACGCGGGACTCTGGAAAGACAGCCAAATCGAGCCCCTTCGCAAGATAGTCGAGTTTGCCCATTCACAAAATCAAAAGGTTGGCATTCAGCTTGCCCACGCCGGCCGGAAAGCATCTACCGTTGTGCCATGGTTACATGGGGGTCTTACAGCAACCGAGAGCATAGGAGGATGGCCAGACGATGTATGGGGGCCTTCTATGGTTCCTTTCAGCGACACCTTCCCAGTGCCTAAGGAACTATCAAAGGCGCAGATCAAGGCGGTTGTCGTCGCATTTGTAGAAGCTACGAAACGAGCGTTGAAAGCTGGCATTGACGTCATCGAGATTCACAACGCACACGGTTATCTGCTGTGCTCTTTCTTGAGCCCCGTCAGCAACACGCGCACAGACGAATATGGCGGAAGCTTCGAGAATCGCATTCGCTTAACTCTCGAGATCGTGGATGCTATCCGTGGCGTCATTCCTGAAGATATGCCTCTCTTCCTGAGGTATTTTCGAGTCCATAAGATGTTCTTGCTTCATCTGAATGATGCCTCGTACTTAGGATTTCTGCGACTGATTGGCTCGAAGAAGCACTTCCGAATGTTCCATCATGGCGTTCCGAAGATACCGTCAAACTCGCTGGTATTCTTGCCGAGCATGGCGTTGACTTCCTCGACGTCTCGACCGGTGGCAACCACTCAAAAGCCATCGTGAAAGGCGGTCCGGCATATCAAGCGCCGTTCGCAGAGGCAGTCAAACAAGCTGTGGGAGATAAGCTTGTCGTCGGGACTGTCGGATCGATCACCAATGGCAAGATTGCCCAAGAAGTGCTTGATAAAGGTCAAGCTGATGTCGTCTTGGTCGGACGACAATTCCAAAAGAATTCCGGCGACTGTTTGGGCGTGAGTGTATATTTATCGCGAGCTAAGTTGTTAATGCCTGATCTGATGGTGTATTGGTAGATTTGCGTCGGACGTTGGCGTCGCGATCAAGATCGCGAACCAGATTGGATGGGGCTTTGGCGGTCGAGGAACCAGTCGGAAGAAGATTGACTGGTGATCGTTGTCAATGTCATAAACCTTTCGTGTTTCTGTCACCAGGTATTCTTTAGCGTCGGATGTGTACTAGTACTCACTAGATGAACTATTTCAGTACCTAAGTCTTGTTATTGTTTGAGTCGGGCCTCAATTCTGAGACGTCTGACGATTGCAATGACTCGAAGTCTTGCCAATCGCGATTAGAGAGGGACGAAGACCTTGGATAACAAAGTTAGTTCAAGCAAAGTACCAGCGATGCAAAGTTCCATCGAACCTTCCACGCCGTCTTACTGCCACCGCTATGCCAGCATAGTAAATTGTTCGTGCGCTAGACGGATGGTGATATCGCCACGAGTCACCTCCCACAGAATTATGTTACTTCCGAGCACTTGCAGCTTTGCCACGTAAGCTCTATCTCTGGCTTACAGGAAAGTTATAAAAGCCTGGTACTTCTTGCACCCGACATTTTGGCGACTAAGCTACTACTGAGCATTTGAACTTAACTCTTTGTGTCGTCTTTAAATACAGGCTTCAAGTTGCCGCCACACCTTGGTCATCCACTAGCAACATCTAAGCTATGCCACGATCTTGGGTTAGTCCTGGCGTGGCCTACCTCACTCGAGGTTTCCTTTCTGTCATCTTTCCGACCGCTTCTTCTATCATTATCATACAACATTTGGCCTTTCTGCAAGGCTTTCGAGTCTCCCCGTGGCCTTTGTCCCTGGTGGTTTTGGGCGCAGCCCCTCTGGGGTTTGCTGCTTATATATTCATGGACGAGATATCGCAGCGACGAAGGGCCACTCGACTCGGTGCCAGACTCGTTCCCCGTGTCAAGGGCAAATTGCCTGGAAATTTGGACAAGATAGTGGGCATATTCATGAGGTTGGAGACCGAATACCTTGGTACAGTTTCCGTTTCATACATTTAATGTTCGTGCTTTACTTCCGTCCAGGACAACCTGCGCTGGACGAGATGAAGGAACTTGGGCCAACTTTGAATTTTAGGTTCTTTTGGGAGGACGATATCATGACCTCAGAGCCCCAACACATGAAGGCAGGCTCCATTTTATTATCGAAAAAAAATCCAAACCAAACTTTACCCAGGCCATGCTCGTAACTGATTTCAGAATTACGTCAAAGGTATGTCCATAAATGCTGTCTACCTGCATGTGATGACTTATGACTCGACTCAGGTGTAAAGTTTGGAGAAGCAGTTGACTCCGTCCTGGGAACGGGTGTATTTAACTCGGATGGTAAGCGTGAATCGGAAGGCCTGTTATGTTGTGACTGATAGATTGATTGTCTGTACCACCAGGTGAAACATGGAAGTGAGCAGTATATTTTGGGATCAACCCGATAGGGAACCTTAGACGCGCTTGTAGGCTTCACCGAACCATGACACGGCCTTTCTTCAATAATGATCGGATACGTCATTTTGAGATCTTTGACCGTCATGCGACTCGTACTATCGCTTTGGCGAAGGAACGTTTCAGGATGGACTTGGCGATAGACTTCCAAGTAGGACTTTAAGTCAGCATTGTGACTTCTTTTGTTAAACAACTGCCACAGGATCTCATTTCTAGATTCACGCTCGACTCTGCATCGGAGTTCCTGTTTGGACATTGTACCGATTCACTTTCCGCCGAACTGCCTTTCCCCCATAACGCGAGAGAATCCACAAATACCATTCAAAAAGACATTACCGCAGCCTTCTCAGATGCATTCTCTCAAGCTCAGCATGCAATCAGTCGTCGTATTATAATTGGGTCGACTTGGCCAATGACTGAAATTTATACTGACAGCACCGCGCGACATATGAAAGTGGCCAGCGAATTTTTGGACCCGATCTTCGAAGCCGCTCTGAAGAGGCATAGCACGGCTGCCAAATCGGACGCAAATGAAACTACGGGCAACGAAACGCTTGTAGATCATCTAGTCAAGTTGACATCGGGTGAGATGGCACGTTACTTGGGAATTTCTGTTGTTGGAATATCATTATCAGACTCTAAAATCATCAAGGATGAGACGTTGAACATATTGCTGGCAGGAAGAGATTCGGTAAGTTTGCAATTACCTTTTGAGTCATCCTGGTTGGTAACAGACAATGTCAGATCACCTCGACATTGACTTCGGCTATTTATTTACTTGCAATGCATCCAGAGGTCCTCTCTCGGCTTAGGGAGGAAATAATATCGAATTTTGGGCTAAATGGCGTGCCTACATATGTTGATATCAAAGAGATGAAGTACATGCAAGCCTTTCTCAATGGTGCATGTCCTCGTTTCCTGTCGGACGCACTACTCACCTGTTCTAGAAACAATGCGCCTTTTTCCTGCCGTGTAAGTGGTTGAATTCGATTTCAGATCAATTGTATTGTCTCACCATAAATGCCTAGTCCCTTTGGTGTGAGGTACGTTCTTCGGCCAATTCAAAGATACTGAACTCGAGTTACAAGCTTTCAGAGAAACCATACATGACACCACATGGACTTCCCCCGAACCTGAGAAGGAACCACTGTTTGTTCCAGGGGGTGTTATGTACGTGTTTTAATCGATCGTTTAGATTCATCGCGTGACTAATTGAACAACTTCAGGATCGTCTATGCAATCTTCTTTATGCACAGAAGAACAGATCTATGGGGACCAGATGGTAAGAAGCTTGAACTTCGTCTACATATGAATTCTTGATTGCGTTCCAGCGTTGGAGTTCGATCCGGATAGATGGCTCGACGAGCGCTTGCAGAAATACCTGCTTCCTAATCCCTCCATTTTCCTTCCATTTAATGCGGGACCGAGGATCTGCTTAGGACAAAAAGTACGTAGGTCATTGAGTGATTTATTACCTTCACCCATCTCATACCCTGTTTCGTGCCTCAGCTTGCCTACAACCAAATGTCGTTTGTACTTGTTCGTTTGCTGCAAAATTTTTCCGCAATTACATTGTCCCCGAGCCCTCAATGTGCCCACCAGCGTGGTGGGCTGAGAAAGACGGTCGGCAAGCAATCGAGCGGTTCAAGCCGAAAAGCCACGTGTTACTTTATGCCGAAGTAAGTCGCTCTGGCATGTTTTGCAGTCATCTAACTAGGTTCTCTTCTGCAGGGTGGTATGTGGGTCAAGATGACAGCTGTAGATGATGTCGAAGTCATACAGTGACTACACCGACTTTCCTGCTATATGACTCTCGACATGTCCTATTACCAGTATCTTTCCTTGCAAGTTTGAGGGATGACCTACTAATTTAGAGTTTCTGCGTGAACAAAGTGTTGTTTGTTCAAATGCAATTGATATATTAGTAGCCTTGTAAACATCGAGAAGTGATGATTCTTGAATACAAATCAGTGACGCGCCATTCTATGCACAACAGCCTATCGTCCCAACCAACACCTTCATCGACCCCCGCAAACACGTCTCATCTAATATAAATTTTCGCACTGTGTGTATGAGCGCCAGATAAATATTGATTATTTTAGTTGTAGCCTACAGAGGCAGACGGTACCACAATGCACGCATAATCAAGTAGCACTATGAAAGCAATGTATAGCATCCAATGAACTATTCGTCCTTCACTACGATATTATATCATGATCCGATGGCCACCTCAGCTTTGAAGGTTTGCAAACACCATGCGGGAGGTGGTGGTCGACCAGAAGACAGCCACCTGAACAGTATCATCCAAGGAAACTATTAGTCTCTCAATCGACAAGCGAGAAACATACCTGGAGACGACAAAAAATCAAGTGCCATCGTGGATGAGTGAGACGAACGTTCTCCCTGGCACCGACTGAAGCTCAGTTCTTTACTTTGAAACTGAGCCGCTGGACACTCTTCGCATTCGGATCTTGAGTCGAAACACCACGCCGCTGAACAAATTCTTCGATGTCCTGATTGAGGTTTTTCGTCCCTGGTACTGATCGTTCGGAGAGTGTGCATGGCCCGAGTCATGTAGTCAAGTTCTCCTGAATTTCACAACAGCAGCGATGGTCATTGGATCTGTACTCAAGTAGACATATTTACCTTTGGCATCGTCTGTGCCAAGGCTACTGATTGCCGACACGATGTTAGGCTGGACTGAGCGTAGCCGGAGTGGAATGAGAGCAGCTGGAGTCGCTGGGCGGGCGGGAGCGCGAATTCCATCTGTCAGACATGTTAGAAGGGCGGCCGGTAATCAAATCATATTAAACTAAGGATGACTATGAAATGCGTATGACAGTGAACGGGATAATTCAATGTCTGAAACAGGATACCAGAGAAAAGGTAGAGGTGGGTGGGAGCAAAAGTATGTGAATCTGGAACGAGAATGAGTGTAAAGGAGATAATGTACTTGCTTACGCCCAAAATTAACTCAACTTGCGGTCCTGTTGAGCTCACAACTTGAAGTCGTCAATATCATCAGAGATAGAATCCCTCTTCGCATGTGCGAGAATATCGTCCTGGACATCTGGTGGCGAACTGTGAACTCCATATCAGCCACGATGACTTTGATCAAAGCGTCATATCGCTTAAGAAGCGAATTCAGATTTCCCAAACCGAGGTCTGAAAGACTTTGCACGGAGAACTGTCAGCTGGAGTAAATGTCATACATACCATTGACTGTCAGCTTCTGCTGGGATACCCACACCCTGGAGAGCCGCTGCCACTGTGTACGACAGATCTCCAATGACAAGCATTGCGCCAGCGGACAGAAGCGTAGAGCCGGCGGTATTGACACCATCAGGAATCAGATTGCCACTGCCAGCACTATATGGAGTAGCGAAAGCAACGCTGCAGAGAATAGCGAGGGATGGAAGGAGAGTGAACCCCATTGTGAATAGAGGAAGCTAAACAGTTGCAGTCGAGGGTAAAAAATTGAAGAACAGAACCAGGATGGCTGCTTTCATACCTAGTGTAGATGATTATATGTGATCCAAATAATACTCAAGACAACAGCACAAAGCATTCCGACTCGGAGACCTCAAGTAGCCTTCGACCTCGTCCGCCCTGTGTGAATTTTGATTGACATTCAAAACTTGATGAAAGACGTGAGGTTTACCATGCAGCTTTGGTCCATGATAATCATAAGTGGGTTGTTTTAGTAGTTTGAAGTACAAAGCGCCGTAGTGCTTGGAAGTAAACTTCGGAATATTGCAGGCCTAGTCGATTTTAAAATGACATCCACCCTAAGCTTGATTTGGCCACCACTGAACCTTGACACGGGAGACGTTCTACTTCATGGATAACTTTTTCCATCTCGCGTTGGCGGATTCGCGAAGCCAGAACGAACAAAGATAATTTTGAAGTCAAAGATCGATTCTGAGTATCGTGCCGAAGAAGGATAGCCCAGACTCCAGAGTCAAGTTGGTACTCCGATGCAAATGACTAGTACGATGCAGATAGACGGCGACGAATGAAGCAGACGATGGTGTGTGGTTGTAATTGTCGGTAGAAATTGTTTTGACGAACGTTCGGTCAAGTTCGTATCAAACGCGGGGATCAGGTAAAGATCAAGCTGAGAGTGAGTCACATCTGACGGTCTATAAGCAGTGCCAGCGTGAAAGAACCAAATTGAGCATGGATGCATGAAAAACCAGACCATCCGATTTACTTATCACCAGCCTATATAAACCCAGCCTGCACATGCCAACACTTTCGACAATGGATACATTCGCAGAACCATACACGCGCGCAGGAGACGACATTTCACTTGATTCAGTTCGAGACCATGTCAGATCACTCGAAGCACGACACAAAGCCAACGGTGTTCAATTATCAGGCCGTATCATTCACGTCTGCCATTATCTTCCTGTAACTTGCACCATCACCTCAACCTCTACAAGAGATGGCATACTCAGTCCACCTCCTACACCTCCACGTATTCTTTCTGATGTACCACCAAGCCCATCCGCTGATGTTCCTCAAATCTCCCTGCCCACTCAACCAGAGCGTTGGAAACTCGCTCCACGCTACGGACACAGCGCGATGACAAGCGGCATTCGTAGTCTTAGCGTCACCCACGAACAGCTCATTCTTGGGTGGACAGGCGACATTCTATCACCCGTAGCTCCACCCGATGGCAATGACGGTCATTTACTCCACTTTCATTTGCCATAATAGCACTAACCTCTCCACAGCTGACGTCAATCCCTCCACCGGTGAACACATCCCTTCCGTTCGAGACCGTATCCCATCTTCTCGCATTTCTCAAGAGGACAAGGACGCCCTCGATGTCGAGCTTGCTCGTTACACTGACAAGAACGCAATTGAACCTGAAACCAGCAAGCCAATCACTTATCTTCCGCTCTGGATGGAGGACAACGTTGCACACGGTCATTACGATGGGTATTGTAAACAAAGTTAGTCCATATCAGGAATACCTCTTCTTGATCTACCTCCATCGCCTACTTTTGGCCCTTCTCGCTTATCTTCCTTCGGATCCACCGGCCAAGAAACTTTGATCATATTTAATATTTACCCATCTCGTCCAATCTCTTTCATTTTCTCCTTCGACACTCTCATCTTGCTTCTTATTGCTACCGGCCCGGGGAATCTCATTAACCGTTGCTAACGTCAACCCAGCTCTGTGGCCCCTCTTCCATTACCTCCTCTGGCAGGACGTAGCAACAGAACATGCAAGTGCTGATGCTAATTATGAGTATTACGAGCAGGTGCGTTCGGTCTGTTTCATCTAGTCATCTCATCACATTTAACACTCCATAAGGCCAACCAAGCATTTGCAACCCGCCTCGCCAGCGTCCTCAAACCAGGCGACCTCGTCTGGGTCCATGACTACCATCTCCTTCTAGTCCCCCGCATGCTCAGAAATGCAATGCACTCTGGCGCTGTCAGCGGCGTGGGTGGGGAGAATGGCGGAGACGTGTGCGTCATCCTTCACAAACGGGGAGGGCACCACTACTGATACACACCACAGCATCATCGGTCTCTTCGTACATACCCCTTTCCCTAGCTCAGAGGTGTTCAGGTGTTTACCACGTACGTCCATTCTCTCCCCATCGAACAGCTAACCAACCCTACCCAGGCCGCAAAGAAATCCTCGACGGAATGCTAGGCGCTAACCTCATCTGCTTCCAAACTTACAGTTACACCCGCCATTTCACCTCCACGTGCGTTCGTGTGTGCGGGTATGAAACTACTAGTAAGGGTGCTACCACTACGTCTACCGGTGCGTCCCGGGGTGCGAGCGTTGTTCCAACTGGGGCTGAACCCACACGCGGAGCGAGCCTCGTGCATGGAAAAGGTGGAGCAGGCGTTGAGAAATACGTCGGTATTGATGTGCAGGGACATATGGCTGCTGTTACACATTGTCCAGTGGGGGTGGACGCGGACAGGGTTGCGAGGGATACGTGAGTTTTTTTGATTTTTTTTTCCGGTTGTGGTTGCTGATGGGCACGCATGCACACGCTCAATTCAAACACTCATAATTCTAACGTATCTGCACGTACGCAAACCAGCCTCCGCCCAGGCGTCCAACCAAAACTCGAGGCCCTTCGCGCGCTCTACGCAGACAAGAAGATCATCGTAGGAAGGGACAAGTTGGATGTCGTGAAGGGGGTCTTGCAAAAGGTGATTGTTCTTTCTGTCATGGTTGTATCATCGCTGATTGATTGGTCGTATTGTCCAAACCGACGGTATGACACCAGCTCCGTGCATTTGAGAAACTCTTGCGTGACTACCCAGAGTGGCAGCGCAAAGTTGTGCTTATTCAGGTGTGTCCTGTCATCTGATTGTAACACCCAGATATTGACGTATGCTGCTTGCAGGTGACGTCACCTGCGTTAACAGACTCTCCAAAGCTTGAGCGTCAAGTATCGGAACTCGTCGCTCATATCAATGGGGAGTATGGGAGTTTGGACTTTATACCCGTACACCACTAGTGCGTGCACTTTTATCATATCTTCACGTGTCTCGTTATTTGTCATTGCCCTTTTCCTTCCACACAGCCACCAAACCCTCAGAAAGGATGAATTCTACGCATTGCTGAGCGCTGCAGACCTCGGGGTGATCACGCCCCTCAGGGACGGAATGAACACGACCTCGATGGAGTTCGTGATTGCACAAGAGCGCACAAAGCACTCGCCCCTCGTATTGAGCGAGTTTATGGGCATCAGCCAGCACATGGCTGATGCGCTCCAGGTGAACCCTTGGGATCTTGGGGTGCGTAGTATTTTCCCATTCAAACTGTCTGTATAATGTGATTGACGGAGGTGTGGTGAGTAGGATGTAGCAGCTGCGATGAACCGCGGGTTGGTCATGTCGGAGGAGGAGAAAGCTTCAAGGCACGCGGCGTTGCACTCAGTAGTAACGACCCACACCTCGCACACGTGGGCTGCGGTCCTTGCCAAGATGCTGCTCTCGCAGATCAACGGACAGAACACTGCACGTCAAACGCCCTACATCCCAAGAGACAGTCTCAAGCGGCTGTATGATAACGCCGGAAAGCGTTTGTTCTTGTTCGATTACGACGTGAGTGATGAGTGGGGATACGGGGCTCGTCGTCATTGACTTTTGACGGATAGGGCACGCTCACGCCGATCGTCAAGATGCCTTCAATGGCGGTTCCTTCTCCTGATGCGCTTACAGCCCTTGCGAAACTTACATCCGACCCTAACAACATCGTATACATCGTATCCGGCCGCGACCAAGCGTTCCTCGAGGAACACCTCGGCCATTTTCCGCGTCTCGGGATGAGCGCAGAGCACGGCGGATTCATCCGTTTGCCTGACAGTGCCGTGTGGATGAATTTCACTGCGAGTCTGGATATGAGCTGGATGGAGGAAGTAGCGGAAATTTTCAGGTATTATACGGAGCGTACGACTGGGAGTCATATCGAGATGAAGAAGAGCTCGATTACGTGGCATTATCGATCGACTGATCCCGAGTGGGGGTGCGCGTGGTTGTGGTTTATTTTATTGAGCGGAGCTGATAAATGGTGGATTATAGACAATTCCAGTGTAGGCAGTGCCAGGATTTATTGGAGAATAATGTGGTGCCCAAGAGGCCGATCGAGGTGCTCGTGGGTAAGAAAAATCTGGAAGTGAGACCTATCGCCGTGAACAAGGTCTGTACGCGTGGTCTTTGATATGCCTGCAGACTGACAGTTCATGCAAGGGGGAGATCGTCAAGCGTATATTATACCAGAACCCTGGAGTCGAGTTCATATTTTGCGCTGGTGACGACAAGGTCTGTTACATCCCTCCCCCCCATCTCACCCACTTGCTCACCCTCCAACAGACCGACGAAGATATGTTCCGCGCCTTACTCCTTTTCTCCCCTTCCTCCATCGGCAAAGCGACGATGGAGCCCCCGCTCTCTGTGACGCTCGTCGACAAGGCAGAGCACAGCGACGTCGAGCTTGCCGTGTCTCCCGAAGCTGTGTTCACTACCGCCGTTGGACATAGTAGCAAGCGAACGCTTGCGAGTTGGCACGTGACGACGCCTTATGAGGTGGTAGAGCATATGTTATTTTTGGTCGGGGAGACGCCTCAGGGGGAGGAGCTGAAGGGGTATCTGTGAGCCCGAGTCGCGCTACTCGGTATGGTTTTTTTTTCATCTTGAAATGGTGTTTTGCCAACGTGCTTAGAACGTTGACGTGCTCGACTCTTAGAATGTCCATAGACCAATGATGACTGTTTGAAATGTCGTACTTAATGGCTCGGATGCATCTCGCTCGCGGAACTATCATTGCCTCAGTTTATATCGAGATTGAAGTGAGGACAGGATGAGAAGGAAATGAAGTAGTTTTTGTCTCCATCCTGACCTTCGTCTCTTACGGAGACATATTTCGTGAGCGGCGAAATGTTTTACTCGTCAACGTCGATCCTCCCACGTAGGTAGAGTTTTATACACCTTTTACAATGCCTAGCACCTGGTTTCCTGGCACGCGTTAACCATGCATAGCTTGAAATTTTAGCCAAGTCTCTTCAGCGGTAAAATCGAACTTGTTCACCACACGCAGTGTATAAGGAGCATACTTGGGTAATGAGCAAGCTTTGAAGTCGCAAAGACTCTCTCATGTGACGATACCATACGCATGATCGACTGACAGAATACAATGCGACGGTAATGTCCTACAATAGGGGCAACTGATGGGATGAAAAGAAAATCTAAGATCAAATATGTAAACAGGTCGAATGGTACATGCACGGCGGGACGCCTTCGAACTTTGAGCTCAGTCTTTGAGATCAAGTTGTCATTGAAGGTAAAGGATCGTGAGAGACTCCTGGCTGAGAAAAACATTGGCAAGCGGACTTCAAATACCATTCCCTTTCATCAACCAGCTCGAAAGCCACGAATGCTCATCACACACGGGATCGCTCCACGCGTCCAAATTCATGAGCGGGCTAAGGTCTGAGCATTCTAATCCCCCTCGATCGGCTCTAGCAGAGCCCAGCTGTTATCAGCTGCGCGACGTACCAGAAAAGCAGTTTCATTTCTCATTCCCCGAAGATTCTGTTCAACGCAGAGGAGGGTGAGATCGAAGCCTTTGAAAAGCGTCGCGGGGATCGGGCGAGTTTATTTCTATTGTTTAGCAGTCAGTCGTCACTATCGCGCCTGTGCCTTGTCAAGAAGGCTCTGGGCTCGCGAGGAATACCGTAGGAACGACGACGATCCTTACGGGGTTAATCGGGGATGTTTGCCTGGTCACTGCCTTCCCGCGAGCTCAAGGTGTTCGTATGTACTATGCTACCAGTGCAAATCAATATTTGCCGCTTACGACTGGAGATTACGACTCCTTGCGTACGAGGTGCAGCTGATTGTATCATGCAATGGGACTGACTTGTCCTTGAGTTCACTTCGTGGCTCGTGTATCCTTCCTGGATCATGAAACTCGATTCAGACTACTCTCGGACTGGTTGAATTTTTTTTCTTCTTTGTGGAGTCGTTTTTTTGCGTGGAAGATGAGTTGGAAGGGACTCATCCTTTGCGAAAAAATATCGATTTGGCTGGACGTTGTTCATTGACGGTCGATGATGTACATGATTCGACATTCCATGAGCAATGCCATTATGAGAGATCCTCTCATTAATTCAGGTTGAGATATATCATGCATATGTAATGCTACTTGCTGAAATCCACGCTGTTTCTTTATGGACTGTTACTTGTAGGATTGATGCATCAAGACCCGCCACCGAAACTGTCATCAAGACGGAGTTGGATACGGGAAACAGTCAGCACCCTCAATGACATGTTTTGCGACAGCATCGTTGACCATTCACAGCGTTCCAACAACGCTCTTGAGCCCCGGAAACTGGACACCAGCTGCGAGCCTAATGACTTCATCGGGCGCATGCTCATCACTAACAGTGGTCTGACACGTCGATAAGGACGCGAACTCGGCGTCGGAATGTCTTTTTCCATATTGTCAAGCAAGGTCAGATGTTCATCTCCTACGACACAATGGGAGTTGTAAGGCTGCCTAGAGTCCTGCTTGCCGTGACAAGGTATGCCTGTTCTCCTGCAAAGGTTCGAGTGCACCTGCTCGTGTGGCCGCGTCGGCAGAAATAATAGTGGTACGGGCTATTGCGGTGACAAACTTCCGGACAAGCCCGAGTTCGCTATCGACAGCCAATAGCGCCTTGCCTTGCCTTTCCCTGCACCCGGTTGACCTCGTCCGATTGATACGAAGGACGGACTGACACACCTATTCATCACCTGTCTAGATCCGATCAAAGCCGAAAGTGTCAGTCACGTAGTGTAGATGTCGAGATCCTCCAGACATGGCTCCTCAGAGCGATATGCCATCGTTTGAAAGGGGTGAGCTGCATAAAGAGGATAGATGTAAAAGCTGCAGTTGGACGAGGCCTGATTCGAGAGTGGGACTTTACTTTCAGGACATGCTGGAGGACATTGACGTTGTCGTCCCATCCTATCCGCAAGAGGACTATCAGATCATCTTGCGGCTGCTTTGGCCCAGAATAGATGCATGCCGTATTGTGCTGACGAAGTAGTCCTTAAAGAACACGACGGGGGCTTTCCTGAGGTGGCGCCAATGATAGCGCTACACGAGGATTTACTTGCAATGAGGATGATGACTGGACCCTGGCATCTGCCGCTTGCAAGTCTTCATACGAAGATGGGAGCGAGAATCCCTCAAGATTACAAAATCCAGCTACGACAGATCCTGCTCCGTAAGATTCCTGTACTGTATTCCTGTCCAATCAACAGTAGTTCGGTCTGTGCCGACAGCGGAACTTTGAGTATCGGACCGACCCTTGCTGAGCGCTGAGCTCCGAGAACTTGTGAGCTGGGTTGGAATTTGTCGCATTACTGTTCACGGCCTACAGCACTCCATGAGTTGGACTGTGTGTCATAGATTGCCACTGCAGATGGTACACAATGCTGCATCTACAGGCAACGATCCAGTGCCGCTAAAGGCAGCCGCAATTTCGTGCGTGAATTTGTCGATGATCGTGTTACTAAACGACCGTCAAGAAGGTCGAAACATGTGTTGTAGGCCTTTAACGCAGACGTAGGACTGTACTGCCCTGCTGCGGTGGCCCAGCTCCTGGCTGTTACAATGCGATTTGAAAAGCCTTGAATGGGGTGTCGTGTGCGTAAAATGAGAGCAGAGTATTGAGCTTAAAATGTGAAGAGCTGTATGATGGCGACGTGGCCTTAAGTCAAGCAACTCGCAGTATAGGTCGATGGCCTCGTTGAAATCCTCGCTGGCATCTAATTGAGCACATTTGGTTTGAAGGGCAAGGGTGTTGTCAGCGCTCCTTGTTGTAACACCAGTTCGATACTATAACGAGGTAGTATAGAGATAGCGGATGATCGGGTTGCCCTGCGGACGCAATATAAGGGCTTCATGGAAGAGAAGTGATAGAGTCAATGTCTTGAAGATTGTCCGGGCAGTAGCCTACAAAGCAGGTTTGGTGAGAGCCGCTGCGTGATCAGGATGGCCAACCGGATACTGATCCAGAACTGACTGAGAATCGTTGAGGTGAGAGACTGTCTCGCTTGTTATGTATTTTGCAAATCGTGCGTGGCTTGTATCCGTTTCTCGATTAATCTCGCAGTCTATTGTGGACTACGATTGACGTTTCCATAAGCAAAATCTAACAACACGGCTGATGTCACTCACATCAAGTGGTGCAGTGTTCTGATTGTCGCAGGAATGTTCAACAGGGAACTTCAGCATGAGCGAAGGACTGACACCAAGAACGGGTGGGAAGGAGAGGTCTACCGGATGTTAGTGGGTGTGTGTGAATGAGAAGTTGGTTACCCACTAAAAGGTTCATCCCGCGGCGTTTCGCGTTCTCCGTTGAGTCCTTCATTGCCCAGTATTCGATCGAGCTCGAATGTGCTGACGTCCCGTGAGAGTGCAGGTGACACACATCATGGTCTAAAAACAGAAGAAAGTCTGCATAGACTTTACAAGGTCGCAGTATCGCCCTACGCTACAAATGTGGATGGCCGCCAGCGTCTTGACATTGATGGACCAGCGGGAATAGAACTTGGAGATTGTTTCTGCACACTTAATCTAGATTGATCATAGTGCGGTGCACACTGCACGTCCGAGGGTCATCTGCTATCCAATTGCGAGAAAGACTTCAGTCATAGGTACAGATTCAATTTTATCTCATCTCCGAGAATCAGACGAACTCCCCCGCAGTGAGATGGCCGCCGTTCGCACATGTAGTAGTTTTGCTGAGTGATTTAGGCCGCCTTTGCATACTCTTGCTTGAATGAATATTTGGTTGGAAGTCCGAAGTTCAATGGTGTGATTGGAAGAAAGAAGCACAGCCACCACCTGAGGCTGTTGGACTTGCAACGACGGTCCAGTCTGTGACTGTCTGCCCTCATCGTGTCCAACGGCGAACTCGTCGTTTTTAGTGCAGGTGAATGGCCAACCGCATTTCAATTCTGACCGCGAGCGAGCCCAATTCAGCACTGGACCGACAATCGAGCTTGGTCTCATCCTCAGCCGCATCATTCGTAACAGCGCCTTCGCCAACGACGACAATCCGCCCAGACATGGACACTCACACTCAAATTCACATAGTAGAAGTAACAAGGGACGCGGTTCACCTTCACCCGCCAAAACCATTGCCTAGCATCCCTCGTGAGGACACAATCGGTCCACCTCCCCCTTCTCCTCCAGCCAGTGTAGACGAGTCTCCTGACAACCTATCATCCTTATTCCCAGTCAGACTCTCAAAGTCAGACCCACTTCCTAAAGGTATCGAATCAGACATCGATGTAGAGTTGGAGACAGCAACCATAAACAGTCACCGCACACGCGACCGCCTTCATCGTGCTTCCACAGAGACAAAATTCTCTGCTAGAGTCCCTAGAGTCTCCCAGACGAGCAGCTACGCCCCATCTACTAGCACATCCAAGACACACCAACCAGACGGTCTTCTCCACCCACCCACTCGTCCTGTACGCCGCAACACAACAGGCTCTGCACGCCGTCCTCATCCACCTCCATCTGCATATGTCGCAACCGGAGAATTGGAGGATGACATCCAAATCCAAGCAGAGCAGATTCGTCGTGAACGAAAGCGAAAGCAGGCTGCCGAAGTCGCCGCCGCTGCTGCCGTCGAAGTGGCTCAGAAAGAGGATGAGCATCCCTTGGTAGGCAATTTAATAGGAGAGGACCACGCAAACTACGTCCTTATGTACAACATGCTCACGGGCATCAGGATAGCTGTGCGTCCCCAATCTCCCTGTATGCGCAGGTTCTAACTCCATCCAGGTCTCACGATGCCAGGCAAAGATAAAACGACCCCTCACCGAACAGGATTTTACTGCAAGGCATAAATACTCTTTCGATATGTACGTATTCCACATCCGTTCCACATTCCGAACTCACATCCCCCCAGTGTTGGGAACGAACTCACTCCCTCCGCGAGATACGACTTCAAATTCAAAGACTATGCCCCTTGGGTCTTCCGCGAACTCCGCGAAGACCACTTCTCTCTGGACCCTGCAGACTACCTCCTCTCCCTCACATCTAAATATATTCTCTCCGAACTCACCTCCCCAGGCAAAAGTGGCTCTTTCTTCTACTTCTCCCGTGATTATCGGTTCATCATAAAGACCATCCACCACGCAGAACACAAGTTCCTCCTTCGCGTTCTCCCACAGTACTGGGAGCACGTCAAAGCAAATCCTCATACTTTATTAAGCCGGTTTTATGGACTTCATCGCGTAAAGCTTCCCCGGGGACGAAAGATTCACTTCGTGATTATGAACAATTTGTTCCCCCCTCATAAAGACATTCATGAATCATACGATCTCAAAGGGAGCACTATCGGGCGTATCGTACCACCTGCGAAACTGGAGCAGAATCCTCGCGCGGTGCAAAAGGATTTGAACTGGATCGATAGCAATAGGGTGCTGGAGCTTGGTCCAGAGAAGAGGGCCCTTTTAACGGAGCAGTTGAGGAGGGATAGCGAGATGCTGAGAGATCTTGGGGTTATGGATTATAGTTTACTCGTTGGGCTTCATTGGGGCAACAGGGGCAACAGGGAGAATGTGAGAGGGAGTACGTTAAGGGTGTTTGAGGTTCGTTTGCCATTTCTTTTTACACGCATAATCCTTACCCTTGCTGACTGGTGTGCAGCCCTCAGTCCCACCCATCCGACGCAAAACCACGCAAACGAAAGACGGGCGGTCCCCTGAAGCGATTGCTATGCGCCGAATCATGCGTGCATCTGATCCGCACCATTTAGGGACGACGCTTGATCTCCCGGATTCGCCTCCTTCTTCAATGCAAACCGTTGCGCCTTCTACGCCTACACACTCCCAGCGCACGCGTCCGCGTTCTGGTTCCAAGGGTACGAACAATACAAATCCAGGTGTGAATGGGAATGAGGCTACGCAACAGGCTCACCTAACATTCCAAACCCCGGCCCATACATCTCATCCTCTCCATCCATCTCAGCCTCTTCAGCAACCTCACACGCACCATCAACCCCACACGCACCATCAAACACCTTCCTATGCACCCTCGCAGCAACCCCACCCCACTCAAGACCGCGATCACTTTCTCTTCTACCAAGATGAAGGAGGCCTCCAAGCGACAGATGAAAGCAACGAAGAGATGGATGTCATTTATTATATGGGAATCATTGATATACTGACGCCGTATGGGGGGTTGAAGAAGTGTGAGCATTTTTGGAAGGGGTTGAGCGCTGATCGGGTGAGTTGCGTTCTCTTTAGCGTTTTTATTCATTTCAAAAATTGACACTAACCCACCTTTCAACAGCACAAAATCAGCCCAGTCCCGCCTTCTGAATACTCAGACCGATTCTTTGCGTTCATGAAAGCTATCATGCGTGGAGGAGGGGGTGGGGCGCGGTTCAAGGCTGAGTGATGAGTCCTTTGTGAGTATTGTTTACGATGTGTGGTGAGCGATAGCTAATTTTTGCGCGCAGGCAACGGCTGACTTCTGTATCAGCGATGAATTTACTACCTCCTTGTGGTCATGGACTCGGCGGTATAGACGACGCCACGTTACGCCAAATCATCACGCATCATCCTTCAAACTTGTTTTCCTGCTTTTGATGTTGCTTCATCTGGGCAATCTGTGGACACTGGCGATGCATCGGAAATTGTACAGTTACTTTCTCTCCCTCTTTGCTCAGCACGTTCTACCATTTTTTTTCGACCCCATCCACAATTTCTCATGCTCGCTTGCTCATTTCCTTTTTATTTTTTCTGCATGCTCTCCCTCATCCCACAACTGTTGCATCTCCCATCCACTACATATTCTATTTTAATTTTTTGCGTGTCAATTTCTTCTCCATTTTTCTTATTCCTTCATTCTTCCCCTCGTTCGTGCATTATTTCCTTTCCCTCGTTGATGCGACTTAACTTTTATATCACCGTATGCTTAATCTAGTGTTCTGTCTTCATCCTGCCTCTGCTGCGTATGATTTCTTTTCGCTTGGAGGATGAGAGAGGGCACGTCGTACTTTTTCTATGGGTACGATTTTCGGGTCCGAGTCATTGCACAATCCTTTATGCATCCCGACTTCTACGCTCATTTCTCATTTTCAGCTGTTTCTTATGTATAAACATACACTCATTTGGACACGTATCCACTCGTTCATACACGCTTCGTCTCGTCCCCGTACACACCCACCCTCGCTCGTTTCATTTATTTTCTTGTCTCTTGGACCATAGTGCTTGCTTGGGATAGATGGCATTATTTATGATAAGTCTAGGTATAATTTATCATGATATGCATATGACATTCTTCAAATTGGCTTTTGGACGTCCGTTTTGAGTAGGGAATTTGAGGGTACATTCGAATGTGTTTATTGCAAGGGGTTTTTTGCTGGCCAGCTGTGCAGGGACTTCATTTCGTCAGGCACGCGCATGTACGAACCATTTGAAAAAACAAACGATCATCAGATACGCCTACTATGAATTCCACTCTTTGCAGCTTGGTTGTGCAACATAAGACATCATGATACGTCATACCACAGTACTATCAGTATCATATGCACAGCACACACCATGACCCAACTTGAAGTAATTTCACAACCAAAGTCTCCGCGTTGTGATCAGACGGCTCAGCTGGCCTACTCAACACGAAGGCCGCTTGCCAGTAGCTTCAGTTCCACATATCGTAGTTCTCTGGCTCGATATCTTTGAATCCAGCGGTCCCCTGTCACTGTTGTCATCGGTGGTGCGTGCAGCAGTAAAGAGATTTGAAAGAAGTGTTAAACGCAGTGATAAAGATCCCTGGGGAATGAATCATAACTGAATCAGATAGGATGAAAAACTTTGAGATCTGAGATGCGCAAAGGAGCGTGCAATGACCCAGACTTGGAATGTGTTCTAAAATCATACCCATGCAGCGATAGAAAGTATGATAACTCGAGGGTTTTGCCAATCGGTCTGGCAAAACTACTTTCGGGAAGGAGCAGAACCTGGCAATTGAAGAACTCTAGGGCATCTAGATGAGACTCGCTGGGATGTAATCAGGTCTTATAAGGAAGTTTTGATTTGATAGAATATCAAAACTGATGTCCTTATAGCCTTACTATAAGATAGTGCATGCCCTCAGCCTGAGGTTGAGGACGCCCCCTTGCGTCACTGTTCCAATCAGTTCCGAAATCCACCCACTTCAAGGTCTTTGCCGTGACGATCCTCTAATTGTAGGACCCTGTAGAAGGTGCATACAAAGTAGAGCGCACATTCTCTGATCTCAGCACAACGCAATCTGCGCGACAGTGTAATCTCTCAATTGACACATACTAAACACAAATTTGTGCAAACCTTCGATACCACAGCGCCATAAAAACCGTGGAGGCTGGGAGGTCCACCCGCTGTCGACATGCTCACCATTCCACACTCGTGAAGACGTTGGAATTACTGTCGAGAATGTAGAATCTTTCACATGGACACCTTCAAGTTGAGCCTCGTGACGCAGATGACCTCCCTGCTGGTCCATAGAGTATCTCGCCTGACGATGTTGCTGCTGAATTTGGGCTCTCAGTTGAAGAGGACTGAAGAATGCTCAGAGCATTGCCGAAGTGGAAGTGGAGTCGAAGAAAATGCTACGCAAGGAATAATGATACCGGAGGTTGAAGTTGTTATGTAATTACAGTATTAATATTGGCGAGGATGTAGATCAGTCGATGACCTAGGCAACATTAATGTTATCGTTATAGGAATGTCGGACACAGTCTACATGGTCTAGAGTTTCGCCACCCGTGCAGAACAACCAGTTTTTGCCAGTTTCAAGTTGTTCTGCGTCAGCCTGCCCCCCTACACTACTCATAACTCATACATAGTCACTGGCAAGCACAAGCGTGGATACATGCATGACACACTCTGCACAGAAGGTATCAATAGTTCTTGTCCTTCGAGCGCTCCATAGCTGAAAGCCACGATGAGCCATCGTTTGTCATATGCAGTAACCCACTTACGATTGTAATGCAGTAGCTTTTCGATGAGGTCAACATGCGTGAGCACCATTCGCCGACAGCAATATCGCTTCAGCTGCAACTCATCGAGAGCGTCACTGGAATACTGTTAGGGGATGTCGCAGCTGGCGAGCTCGAAGATAGTTACCCTTCGCTCATATCATTGGCTAGCAGCTCGAGATATGCGTTCCATTTGTCCCCGATAACTTTTCCGCACGAAAAGCATCTCACTGGGATAATCTGCGGACATGAGGTTAGGCTATTAGCAACCCAGAGAATGAGTGTAACTCGCCATGGTGGTAGTTTGAGAGATCAAGGAATGTCGAAAATTCAATCATGATGCTTACGTGATAAACACGAAGCACGTGCTCATGGCAAGAGAAACCGCGTTAGCGCGCTTTACCTTTGACCATCAACTTGACAGATATCAACTGTGCTTAAGCTGTCCGCCATGAGTGCATCCTTTGAGCTTCAAGATGAGCTACAGGCACTTCAAGACATTGCGAACTACGAAATCCCAAACGAACAGGATCCCAACAGTAACGATCCCGGCCCCTTATTGCAACGTACGCTGGCCTTTGGTGCTGGTGTTCGATACTTACTGACTACGAACTTAGAGGCTGTCGGAGCAATTGCTCATTCATCCGAAGAAATCACTGATCCAGAGATATTTGATATATTCCGAAGTCTTCTCAAGCATTCCGACGCAGTCGCTGGTCCTTATATGAGCAAGATGCTCGATGCTCTGCTTTCTGCGTTTGGAGCTCAAATTGATGCTGCAATACGCGACTCCAAGGAAGAAGATCAACAAATTGTTATGGCTCATAAGCTTCCTTTGGAAATGTATGCCTTCTTAGTTAATTGGTTTGTAAGTGCCGCTGAGAAGGTGAAGGCAACGGGCGAGGAGGATGCTCCGCCAGCACCTGTGAAGGCGCGTCGTGGGAGGGGGGGAAAGGCTGGTACTTCCAGGGCGGCGGCGGCAAAGAAGGCGGAACAATGGACATGGATCGACCAGATCCCTGGCACTCTGGAACTCATTTGCAAGGCGTTGAAACTGAAGACCCACCGCATCTGGGTAACTAGCCCAGAGAGAGATGCTTTTATAACGTGCGTCCAGCCTGCTCTAAATCACATGATTTGGCGGGAGATGCGCGCCAATTCAGTTGTCTAGACATCTGTTGACCCTAGTTCAGATGCCTCACCCGCCCTGCGTACCATGTTGCTGAGTCGGAACAATACATGAAGATTCAAAACGTCCGCATGCATGTCTACAAAGTCATTTGCCTTGCTGTAAAGCATCACGGTCACACGCTCGCTGCGCAAATCAACATCATGCAATCCTTGCAGTACTATGAACACCTCTCCGAACCTATGGCAGAGTGCCTTTCTATCTTGGCAAAAGAATTTGATCACGCCCAACTTGGGGACGAGATACTCCGTGAAATCGCTGGCAAATCGTTCAGTGCACAGGACACCAAGGGTCCAAGGGCGTTCTCTCGATTCTTGGTTAAGTTCAGCGAGGAGTCGCCGCGATCCGTGCTCAAGCAGATCAGTCTCTTGATTGATCATCTCGACTCAGAGGTGCGCCCCACAGAAACAGTTCCTCTTTGCCATCTGACAAGTACATAGTCTTATCCTATGCGCATGGCAATCGTTGAAGTTATCGGCTCACTCATTCGTGAACTTGCTACGTCGGAGGATATGACGAATCGGACAAATGGCTCTAACCAGGCGGGCAAGGAGCTTGATAACCTGTTCGAACTCCTCCTTTCGCGAACGCTTGATCTATCCTCTTATGTACGCTCCAAGGTCTTCGCAACACTCTCGAAGATGCTTGATCTGCCTTTGCGTCTTCCAGAGCAACGCCTCCGGATCACACGCGCTGCTGTTAACACGTTGGAGGATAAGGCGAGCACAGTACGCAAGGCGGCTGTTTCGATACTCGTGAAGCTGATTCTGACCCATCCATATGGGGAGATGTATGGAGGTGACTTGAGCTTGGAAAAGTGGGAGGAACGGTATAAGACTTGGAAGGACAAGTTGGAGGAGATGGAAGGTGGCATCGGGAAAGCGGTTGAGAGGGACCAAGATGACAGGGAAGAGGTAGAGTCGAATGTCGAAGAGGAAGATGCTGATGAGGACGAAGACGCTGAAATGGAGGGCACAGATGTAAACGATGACGGCGACGCACTGTCAGACAACCCGAAGCCTAAAAAGAAAAGGGCAAGCCGGAAATCCACCGTAGATGTCACAGCCATTGTCTCGGAACAAGAAGCACTTGCTGCCCTGGAGACTAATGAAATTCTAGCAATGAACTTGCGTAAGAAGTACTGCACGGAGGCACTGGACTTCATCCGTACCTTGGAAGGCGGGATGGTGTCGCTCACACAGCTTTTGGGGAGCACGAACAAGGCAGAAGTATTGGAGAGTATGGAGTTTTTCAGAGTCGCATTTGAGTACCAGCTCGCCAGTGCCGAGGTGATATATATGATTCTCCCATTTTACTGCCATCTAACCTTAATACCAGAAAGGCATCAAACGGATGCTACATCTTATATGGCACAAGGATAACAGCTCAACGTCAGAAGACGGGAAGGAGCTGAAGGGAGTGCGATCGAGGCTCCTTGAATGCTACCGTATGCTGTACTTGGACCCCCTGCCCGACATGGAACCCAAGCAGCAAGTGAATCGTATTGCCAAAAACATGATCGAGTAAGTCCAGCTCTCTTGCTCAGATTTAAAGCTGCTTGAACGTTTATAAAAGATTGACATACGATGCAACGCTTGCAGAACTTACCAGTTTAGAAGAGATGATGCGTATCATGATGGAAGATGGCCAGATCCATCATGACGTGATCAATAAGTTGTGGCAAGTTTACAGTGAGGGATCTTACATCGCAACCACAAGCACATTGGTTCATGTTCATTTTTAGGTGCTCCTCAAGCTTTGCCCCGCTCTCAACGTCGTGGTGCAATCATTATCCTTGGAATGTTGGCACTTTCGAAACGCACCATCGTTTCTGAGAAGGTGGACACGTTGCTGAAGATCGGTCTTGGACCATTCGGTAAGGTGAGTGCGACTAAGTACCCCGTCAATACCAAACGCTCACGTACAGCAGGCCGATCTCACACTTGCAAGGTACACGTGTCTTGCCCTGCAACGCTTGAATGGCAGTGCGAAAAAGGTCAAAGGTACGAACAAAACCGCATCCCGTAATAATTTACTCATACAAGCAACAGGATCTCTTCTCGACAAATCCCTTCGCATGGAGATGGAGAACCCCATTTTCCGTAAGTTGCAAAACACCATAGAGCACCCCTGTCGATCGAAAGACTGGTTCGGCATGGCCGAACAAGCAATCAATACGATCTACGCTCTAGGAGAGCATCCCGACGAGCTTTGTAATAACCTCGTGAAGAACCTTACCCGGAGGGCATTTACCAAACAGCAAACTCCAGAGGGGCCTCCAACCGAGCCAGACACGGAAACGATGGAGGTGGATCAAGAGATAGAACCTCCGGAGCCAGCCTCCATCGCGCCCTCTAGTACACATATTTCGACCCAGCAGTCGAGCACGAGCGAGAAAGATCTTGGAGATGTCTTCCATCTCAGTCAGCTACTTTTCGTTGTAGGACATGTAGCCATCAAGCACATCGTGTTTTTGGAGTTGGTGGAAAGGGAGTGGAAGCGGCAAAAGGATGAGAAACAGCTAGGTATGTTCGCCCGTAGACACCTTCAAACTATTGAACGACGTTTTATGTAGTGGAAAAACTTGCAGCTGGGGGTTCAGTCGATAAAGCCAACAAAGAGACTGAAGAGCTTGACCAAGTTGCTGGCAATGCAGAGGACGAGATTGGTGAACGGGATAGCTGCTGTTCGCGAAACCGAACTGCTCTATGGAGAGCAATCGTTGCTGAAGTTGTACGGCCCATTACTAGTCCACGTGTGCGGTAGTCCACATAAATTCAAGGCAAGTGACGAGTTATTTTCTCTGCATCACTACTGACAGGTACACTAGAATCGCACACTCCGTGCTGCTGCAACTCTCTCATTTAGCAAGTTCCTTTGCGTCAGCTCACAATTTTGCGATCAGCATCATCATCTCCTCTTCAAGATCCTCGAAACTTCAAGAGACCCAAATATCCGTAGTAACATTGTCATTGCTCTCGGCGATGTGGCAGTCTCGTTCAGCAACATTATCGACGAGAACAGCAATGAATTATATAAAGGCCTTTCTGACGAAGATCTTGTCGTGAAGAAGAACACGCTGATGGTGCTCACGCACTTGATCCTCAATGGGATGATCAAAGTGAAAGGTCAGCTAGGTGAGATGGCCAAGTGTCTAGAGGACGAAGAGCTACGGATATCCGACCTTGCGAAGCTGTTTTTTACGGAGTTGTCGACGAAGGACAACGCGATCTACAACAACCTACCTGATGGTATGCCTCGGTTTACTTATAATATCATCAGCGTTCTTCATATCATTATTCTAGTCATCAGTCACCTGTCCACAGGTGACCACGCCGTCGAGGAAGAAACTTTCAAAAGCACCATGCGTTATATCTTTTCTTTCATTGAGAAGGCCGGTCTTCATCTCTTTCCATCCCCGTGGCTCCGATTCATTAAAGTTCTAACAGGAAAAGCAAGCTGAAAATATTGTGGAGAAGCTCTGTCAGCGTTTTCGACTATCTGAGGATCCCCGTCAATGGCGCGACATCGCATTCTGCTTGTCTCTCCTCCCATTCAAGTCAGAGCGATCGGTCAAAAAGCTCATTGAAGGCTTGCAGTTCTACCGCGATAAGCTGCACGAGGAGGGCGTGTTTGACAAGTTTAGTGACATACTTACAAAGGCGCGCTCCAATAAATCGGCGAACAAACCAGACACGGAGCTGAACGAGTTTGAATCGGTACGGCCATTCTGACCAGGGTTCTTATAACATGAATCTCAACGTCTTCCAGATACTAAATGAACACCGACGCCAAGGCGAAGAGGACCAAGCATTTGAAAAGCGCGTTGAAGGCAAGAAAGCAGCTGCGAAACGAAAAGCTACACGACGATGTGAGTTCTACTATGTGTACTCCTGGAATTCTTACCCAGCTCTTTTGCAGCCGTACGCAAGAAAGCCGTCGAAGCTGAGCCTGAGCCAGCATCGCAAGCCCCGGCCACACGGGACGATGATGATATGTATGTGTAAACCGGACTTTGCACATTTGGGATCTCTTGGTATGATGTAGCTATGCAGCCAGTCTCCACAGTGTATCACATTGTAATTTGGTTTAAAAACAAATGCCTTGCAATTCACGAGTCAATAAATGACCGTCGATATGTAACGCTAGTTTATTCTCCGGGCTACCATTCGAGCCAATTGATCTTTGAGCGAGTGGTTCACCGTCCACCTGCATCCATATTGCACCTCCTCCGAATTATAAATTTAGTATGAAAGTTTGTTGCTCATGAAACGAAAAAATTTATACAAATACAAATCCCTCACCACATCATGGATCAAAGCCCTAGATGCTTTCGTGCCGACTGATTCTCCACACACATCTTGGCGAGCGTGCTATGCGTCTGTCGCCACTTGGTTCACGTTGGACGGGAAGCTCGAAAAGATGGACCCTGCAATAAATGATCGTGTGCCTCTATGATTCTGGCTCAGTCTTCCGAGTCATTAGTTCCTCAGGCCTCAGGACGTACAGACCCCACTCTGAATCTCAATGACCTCAAGCTCGTCTATACCATCCTGGATAAAAAATCAGCATGCTAGACTTGGTTGAAAACGCAAGAACTTACGCTATCTGATTCCTCTGAATTCAACTTGGGCAAATAAATCCTGTTTTTATCAACCCATATGTCCAGCACCTGGTCGGCACCAAAGATTCTATCCGACACGACTTCCACGTAAGGCAGGCACGTCGTCAATGTCTCTGACGATTCGGCGATTTCTATCGTAGACGGCTCTTTCACCACTATTCCTAAACCCTGCCGGCGCTCAACAGCTAATGGGCTGAAGTCCATCATATGTAACTTATAATCCGAGCCATCCAGATGATCTTCCGCTCTCACGCCTGTTACAGGAAATGCCTGTAACACTCGATTCCCGCTAACACCAACTCTGCACCGCCAGTTATGCACGAAGATACGAGCATGTAGAGGACCCCAACGTTCCCATGGTATTTCTGCCATTCCATCAAAGACCTTAGCTTGGGGATCGAAGAAAATCCTAGTGGAAATGATGAATGTGATTGAGTTTGTGGCATCCCGAGTGCGTGTGATAAGGGATAATATTCGATTTTTAGGATCTGAGGTCCACATCGTTCGCTGGGTTTGCATTTGCAGTTGTGAACTATGTGCAATGTCGTCCATTGGAAGGAGGCATTGTATGCCCGTCACTGATACAGGCATCAAGAAGCAGGCCAGCAATCGAGGTGCCTGTGACAGATCCTCAATCGAATAGAGCCTCAAGTCCTTGCTGACGATCAACAGTCTATCGTTTCCGAGGAAACAAAAATCAAGCGACTCCCCGACCTCTGGATTTATTATTGTGTCACTGAGCACGCACTAATGGAACGTGTGTCAATCGTAAATCATTAACTGTTTCTAGCCAACGCTCACACTGGACGTTGTTGAATGTTTCCAGTCCCAAATTTGCAAGAACCATATCTCCTCGCCGAATTTATAGCCACCTTCATGAACCAGGAGGGAGCGCCGGAAAGCGATATGTTTCCCCAAACCTTCCAGCTTCCAATTTTCTATTGTATAAAGGCCGTCCTCGCATGTTGGAAGCCCCGACAGAAACAGCGTCTTTCCAGCAGCTTCGGGGTGCACATCTCCATCTCCGTCCAGAACCCCAATGTCGATATACAACCTCATGCCGTCCGAGTCCATCCCAGGAGATTCATCAGCAATCATACACGCAATGGCAATCAAGTTTTGCGCCGGGTCCATAAACACCTCGATACTATCCGCATATGGAATTGAGCAAAGTGATCCTGAAGGCCAACTGCGCTCGATCTTTTGTTGTGAAGGTTTTGGCAGTACGGGAAAAATCTTGGCCGTTTGTTCATCTTCGTTGAATAAGCAGAGATGCCCGTCAGCGAGAGATGTCTTCGCGTCTTGGAATTGGTCTGGTATAGAAATTGTTTTGGAAGAGTGGATATCAAATTTGAACCATGCGTGCGCTGTGTCTCGCAGAAGTTGTAGGCGCTTGGAAATTGAAGTGTGGTTTGAGTTATCGAGACCTGTGTCGGGGACAGGGAGCAATTGCTGGCCACCGAGTTCAGTGATGTACTGAAGCTCGGATGAGGACGTGTACGTCTGGCGGATGGCCTTGCATACCTGCAAGACGACCACCGAGTTTAAAGGATCGCTGATCGATCCAATCGATCAACACTCACAGATGTACAACGTAGAATATCTTGGTAAGGAAGAAAGCTTAGAATATAAGATTGGAGTTCTTCAGCGAGAGCTAAGAATCCTGTAGATCTGGACTTCATCTCCTTTTCAGCTTGACTGTTGTGACATGAGATGGTATGGTATGAGCCAGCGCTCACTGTTGTTTACTTTCGTTCTGCCGTATATAGACAGCCCCTGAGTACAGCTAAGCAGTTACCCGGCCAGCACACGCAAACAGCTTTCACTACGGACTCTCCCAATATCTTATTCGGCGATACAAGGTAACATATTATAATCCATACTTTCTACACACTACAAAAATACAGTTCATCACAACGTCTGAAGGTGCGAAGGTGAGCGCTATCCGATACAAATACACAGAAGAACAAAATGCGATTCCAAGGATACGTAATTACCGTCTTCCAAGTCCACTCAGGCCCCACGCAACCTCCGACTGCACGAAATCAAATTTACCCAATAGCCTTAGCATGGCGTCGCGGAAAGAGCCCAAACTGAACGGTATCCACCAAGTAAATGTATCGTACGTCAGGCTCTCGATTTTCAAAACACTATTTGTGAAGCCGAGAGTTTCCAACGATCGAGCCTGGCGCGCTTCAGCAATTTGTCGTAATATGGTGTCATCTACATCAGGATTTTCTGCAGATGCTCGGATATGCCTTGAGACGGCCTCTGAGAGGAATATTGCATCCCTGATGCCCAGGTTCATGCCCTGGCCGCCTGCAGTGGAATGAATATGGGCTGCGTCACCCACTAGGAAAATTGCAGCGCCAAGACGCGTGAAGGTGCGATCAGCTATAGCTGGATAGGTTTTGAAACAACCTGACCAGATCAACTGGTCAATCTTAACAGGTGTCGGATTAAGGGATAGATCTGACGATATACACGCTGGACCGCATTTGTCGATTAGGTCCTGGATGTACTCTTTCGGCGGTGCATGGAGCGACTCTCCGTTCTTCACTGGCATGGCACAAGCTATACGAAAGATGGGCTTTGTAATGGGCTTTCCATCTCGTGTCAGCTCGTCATTGAAGCGGTTGCCGAATGGTACGAGCATGAAGACATTGCCCGAGAAAACTGTGCTATTGATGTGACCCTCGATGGTTAGTGGACCAACAGGTTCGGGCTCGAATGTGACATCCGCAGTGACCATTTGATTCAATAGGTTATTGCTTGGTTTGGAACCTTCTGGGTTGGAAAACCCTATTCCAGCAATGGTACGGATCTAGATATGCTCGTTAGACATCCCACGAAGCTAAGTAGCGGGCGTCGAGAACTGACAATTGAGTGGGCGCCATCTGCGCCAATGATATATCTAGCCCTCATGACTTGACCGTCCTCAAAGGAGACGTCGGTGATGCGAGGATCCTTCTCGTTCTGTTGCATTCCAATCACCCTGTGTGGACGCTGTACTCGAACACCGAGGCTTTGCAGCTTCTGCACAAGCACAAGCTCGGTCACATTTTGAGGAAGGAGGAGTGTGTAAGGGTGAGCAGAATATTTCTTGAGAGGGTCGAATTTGCCCTCAAAAAGCTGTGATTTACGGGATGTGATTCTGACGCCCTTTCCCTTGATAGCTCGAGATAATAAACCGTCTGCCGCATTGATGCTAGTTAAAGCCTACGATTTTAAAGTCATGAGGGGCCTTCTTATGAATGCTCAAGTAACAGCTTACCTCAACAGTTGCGGAGTGTACAGTGATAGCTCGTGATACGTTCAGCCCTTCGACTACGGCATCGACAATGACGAAGTCACGACACCCGTGGTGGATGAGCGAAAGAGCAGCCGCGAGACCAGCTGGGCCTGCGCCAACGATAAGCACTGTAGACTCTTTAGGTAAAGGCATTATCTCGAGGAGGAAGAATGATGGTGACGATTCAGTGGTCCTCGCACCTGGTATTTGAGGCTACCGGTTTTCAGGGCCATAATGGCTCCGATTCGTTATGGATGATGGTTTACTATTGTGTGTACCCAGTCAGCCGACTAATCATGATGGGTATGCATTACGATGTGTTATTTTGCACAGACTACGACTGATGGGGTCCATGAGGAATTTGGAGTAACTAAATTGCGATTGGTCAGTGTCAAGTTGGTCAAAAATCGGGGTGCTATCCTTGTATTATTGATAGACCGGAATGTCAACATTCACTTGGCCGCTTTTGTTCAATAGGAGGATTGAAACGATACGTACCTCACGAAAACAAATCCGATCATCTCAGACTCTACTCGCTTCCGCACTAACCGCACTCTGCGCGTATTTTCTTCTGAATACCTCACTCCCGGGCCTCTTCTACCTTCAGTTTTGTCGCTTCAATCTTCTGCTCTTCGACTCCATGTCAGCTTATCTCTCTCTTGCATTTTAATATTAGCCCACCTTCTTGCATGGGTAGAAACCTTGCTTGAACTAAATTTACATAAATGATGAGTGTCGGTGCTTTGATTATCAGACTTGAATGGAAGTCAACGTTGCAGTCCAAGTTGCAACGAGCGGGTGGCCTGTTTACTATACCGAAATAGGTCACGTTATTTATAGGAGGTGCTAGACGCCGCAAACTGGTCCGAGTGTCTTACCGTTCATTTAAAATTTAAAATTACCCTAATCGTCAACGTTTCAACCTCGAGGTGCTTGCGTACAGCATCCTCTGCCGTTTTTTTTCGATCTAGTGTCCATGCGAACATTAATGTCGCCTTCTCTTTGTGTCCTGCCCGAGTGCCTGCAGCCTACCGTCGCCACTATTCGATTTCTTTATAGAACAGCACATCAAGACAGGGCAGCAGTACATGTGCACCAAGATTTAGCGCCAGGTCCCCATCACACTCGTAGTCATCTCTCATTGCCTCTTTCCATCAATCCATTTTATCAGTCATTGCTATTGATGCGGCCTTCACATTCTTTCAAGGGTAATTTCCGTTTTATCCTGTGTTTTTCCTGCTTCTCCTGGCTTTCCTATCATTGGTGATCATGATTTGATATTGCGTCTTCATCTCACCCAGCAGATCAATCGTACGAGAATTCATATATAAACATCGTCAAGGAGATGCTACATTACACCCAAGTTCTGTATGGGAGAGAATAATAGACACGAGGGGGATGGGCACATGAGAATAAAGAGGCTAAAAGTGCTGTATGGGGATTCAGGAAGTGCTGTCCCAAGGAACGCGTTCGACCATAAGTGTCATCGGTGACTCTGATCGAGGTCCGTCCGTCGGTACTGAGCGCTGATGTCGGGCCGTAGAAAGTAAAAATGCGCAAGAGGTTGGAGGAAGAATTCGGAACAGCACGGTAATGAACCTTTTTATAATTGACGCGAACAGTGCAGAACAGGTACACGCGAGAGCGGTGAACTGTCTAGCACCAAAAGCCATAGGCTTCCTTACGTAGTCGAGAAGGAGAAACATTGGTTGTGTTCAGGGGAACATCTGGACGCGAAGTGCTGGTGATGGGTGTCAGGTAAAAGGAATTTCATACTCGACTTGTACCTTTGTAAAGAAGTTCACCGGGTCCTAGGTACCTTTACTAAACAATGTTAGTCGAATTGTTAATTTTAACATGGTCTTTGATATATTTTTGAATCGTAACAGGGACAGGGGGTTGGTTAACAGGCTGTCAAGTAGGGCAAGACCTTGTAACTTAATCCTTGACTCCCTACGTTATCCGAGTCGGCCTTCGTTTCTATACCATGGGAATATACCTCGGGTGTCCCAATAACGATTATAAGGCGGCAGCGACTCGATCTCATCGCAATAGATGTCGCACAAATGAGCTGAGGGGACGACCCTACGCGACTTTAAACACATGTCAGGAGAAGAGATAACCATTCAATCAAACACTGTCAGACTGGTATGACAGGCTGAAAAATGTTGGAGGATAGCATGTTTTTTGTGAACAACCACACTCTTTCGAAAAAACAGGCAAGCAGTCTCCTTCAACATCGCCAAAGGCAAACGCTGCAAACAATTCTCAATAGTCTGAGGAGTGAGTGAAACTATAGAGGGTCATCGCGTTATAACACAGCCGAACGATAAGCAGCGGTGAGTACGTCACCAAGTTGGACAGGGAAATAGCGGTAAAGGAAGTACAGATGATTGTATCTCCCGATTCAAAGCGTGCGCGACCAAACCTCTGTACCTGTCCATCAGTACCGATGTTGAAACATGAACCGTTAAACATCACAGTGATATGTCATCACACTGAACTGCAACGCACGCGATAGGGGAGATACGACGAGGGACCGCATCCGTATGGGCAATGCGTCGGTCAAATTGGATTCATATCGACATATTCCCGTGTATGCTTGTCTGAAGGAACTCCGAGTCGGGAGAAGCTGAAGTCTATGTTGCTGTGAGGGGTACCGCAGGCTGAACATAAATCAGACTGGAAGATGCTGGTCAGTCCGCCGGAACACAGAGATAGTCGATGAAATGGAGATAATAGTCGTGAGATCGTGGGGGTACGTTCAATCCAGCATCGCCCAGCTCGAGAGTCACGACACGACTTATTAGGTTGGGCTAGACCGAGCTAACGGTGGGATGCGAGCAAGTGGCGCCAATGACACCTTGAGAAGCTCTGAGACGGGATGCGATGCTTTGACAAGGTTTTGACACGGTTGAAAGAATGACTCACAGTCAATACCTACATCACTTTAGCACTTGGCCAGCAGCGTCCATCTTCGGTTAACTTTGTGCCTCATCTCCACTGTGACACCCGCGGCATCTTGCATTCTATATCTTCGGTTTTGGCGATGTACGCAGTGCGCATTACGAAATAAAATATAAAGGGAGAAGCAGGTAAAGCTAATCGAAGATGTGGTCTAGAGCGAACAACGCCATCTCTGGTGCCGGGACATTCCGTCAAGCTGCATTACCTACACTTCGGCGGAAAGGGACCAAATACGGCAATTGACCGGGGATTAGCAGCTCACAGGCCGCCGCTACGATCTTACCATTTAAGGCTTATACATTTGCGGTTCGAACTCCGAGTCGCCGAGAATGAGCTCAAAGAATAAATATTGAGACGGTGACTACGCATTTACGAACCACATCGCCACTTATACTAACTCGATGGCTATGATCATCTTCATCGGGTCTACCGTCTGTGCGCCGTTTATTTCAAGTGGAGTGTGCTCACATGTTCAAAAAGATGTCTGTATTGCTATGTTAAGCTTTCTGCATCGGAAGCACAGCCAGATGTGCAAAGGACCTTTGCCATTATCAGTCAGGGCGGTAGGAAAGCCCGGGGTAAGTCCCAAAGAGAATAACTGAACAGATAGTGATCTGATTGACAAAACATGAGCATGGCTGAAGGACAAGGTCGAAACAAATAAGTTTACGTCATCGTAGCCAGCCCTAGACCGACGACCGTCCTGCAAGCTTGATATGTGGCGCGCATGTCCAGCTACTACGGACGGCAACAAGCAAATATCAACCTCCCGTTTACCATGCATCAAGAACTATCACTCATCGAGGTATGCATCGCATCATTCAATTTTGACAGCGGCTTCGCCTTATCACAGCGCCGCCGTCACTGGCATGCCACGCAAACTCCAGTGGTACAATCCACATAATCATACGATGTGCACACCCCATTACGGTACTGCTAGTGGTTATGGAGTGTAACGTCATACAGGTTATCGGAGGGTTAGACTGTCCGCGGTTCCGAAACGAGCGTCCTTTTCGCGCGATGAAGTCGCTCTGAGGATGGCTATCTCTAGTACCGGCGCCTTCAAGGTCAGGCTGACTAGCACTTGATGTGTCTCTTATCATGATTATCAGATTATCAGTCGCCACTTGATTCTCATTACGAAATGAACGTTGGCAGTGCACCTCCCAGATACACCGCAAGCTTCTTCGTAACTAGCCAATCCCAAGAATGTACAAACCACGTTCTATATCGCTGGCCGATGCTATCCTGGACAAAAATCAGTACGCCGGACTTCGATGAAACGCAAAGAGCTTGCACTTTCTGATCGGGGTCCTATATCGTATTCGATTCAGGCAAGTAATTTCTGTCGTTATCGACCTGTGTCCATGAATCGATCGGCACCAAATCTTCTGTTGGACATGGCCGCCACGTGAGGACAGGAATGTTGTCAGTTTCTCTCCCAACTCAGTGATTTCTATTGCAGGTAGCTTCGTCAACACTATTCTTAGACCCTTCCGGTGCTCAACAGCTAACGACCATCATATGCAAATCATAATCCGTGTCATGCGAAGGGCCCTCGTTACCTGCTGTCGCGTCTGTCGCAGGAAATGTGTGCAGGGCTCGATTCCCGCTCTGCATTACAAAGGGTGCGGGAAAATTATAGTAGAGAACCTCAGCATTTCCACAGTATTTCTGTCAGACGCTAACCTGAAAAAATCCTAGTGGGAATGACGAATGCCAATGAATTCGAGGCGGCACTCCGAATGCAAGTGATAAGGGATAGTATTCGATTTTTAGGGTCAGAGGTCCATATTGCTCGATCGATAGACTTGCATCTGCAGTTGCGAACTACAGTATGCAATGTCATTCATCCGGGTCGGAACGAGGCAATGTAAGCCCGTTACTGATACAGGTATCAGGAAGCAGGCCAGCAGTTGAGGTGCCTGTGACAGATCCTCAATCGAATAGAGCCTCCTGACAAATAGCAGTCTATTGTTCCGGAGGAAACAAGAGATCTAAGTGACTCCCCGACCTCTTGGACGCTGTTGAGTGCCAGTCCCGAATTTGCAAAAACCATATCTCCTCGCCGAATTTATAGCCGCCTTCATGAACCAGCGGGGAGCGCCGATATGCCTCTTTAAACCCTCGAAGTTCCAATTTTCTATTGCATAAGGGCCGTCCTCACATGTTGGAGGTCCCGACAGAAACAACGTCTTTCCAGCGGCTTCGGGGTGACATTACCATCTCAATCCAGGACTCCAAGGTCAATATACAAGCTCACGCCATCCGAGTCCATCCCGAGAGTTTTATAAGCAATCATATACGCAATGGCAAACGGGTTTTTGCGCTGGGTCATAAACACCTCGATGCTATTGGCATTTGGAATTGAACACAGTGATCCTGAAGGTCAACTACGCTCGATCTTTTGTTGTGAGAGTTGTAGCAGTATGGGAAAAATATTGGCCGTTTGTTCATCTTCGTTGAACAAGCAGAGATGACCCCGTCGGCGAGAGATGTCTTCAACGCGTCGTGGAATTTTTCTGGTGTAGAAATTGTTTGGAAAGAGTGGGTATCAAATTCGAACCATGCGTGCGCTTTGTTCCGCAGAAGCTGTAGGCGCTTTGAAATAGAGATGGTTGTTGAGATCTTTTCAGCTTGGTTGATATGAGATGTCAGACTGCCACTGGCTACCAATCGTGCCATACTTTGAATAAATGATAGCGTGAGCGTCTACCGTATATATGTAGACAGCCCCTGAGTACAACGGCGCTTGCCAGTATACGCGAACAGCTTTCAATGCTGCGTACCTAGTCGGTTACCAAACAGACATGGATTACAAGGTGGTATCTTGCACGGACTGCGACTGATGGGAAAATGGGTAGTTCATGAGTAATGTGGAAGGAGTGAAGTCGTCCGACTCGGATCTTGATGTCAAGTTGATGACTCGTCACGGTGAGCGTGGGCTCTTCCATGCATTTCCCTATAGCCACTGGCCAATTCTCGTTACGAAACGGATGTCAGTACTGAGCAGGCCACCTCCCAGATATACTGCGAGCTTTTTTCGTAACTAACTCTCAAGAGTGTACAGACCTTGTCCTACGATATCAGTGTTGGGGACAAGGAGCAGTTGCCACCGAGATTGCTTTCGCAAATAGCCTTCAATAGCCCGGCGCCACTTTCAAGACGCACACACGACACTCATACTGATATAAAATCCTTGATATTGAAAACGAAGCTGCCAGAGCAGAAAAACAATCAAACGGGCGCATATGCCTGTAGCCCTCTACGAGAGCTAAAAGAAAACTCATAACATGGTACTGATGCCTACGAGAGCGAAAATTTGCTTGATATGTTATAATGAGCAGACACAGAATGCGAAGAAAGGAAATGAAAACAAACTACGGAGGCCTAACACCACCGACAGCTTATGCAAGTATACACGCACTTCACCCATCACACCCATCACCGCAACGATGCCTTGGACGCCTTCGCGCTGACCAACCCTCCCCCCATCCCGGCGTCATCATCAGTTGCGGCTTGGTTGGCGCTCGCGTTACGAATGGACGTAAGTACCTCCTTGCAGTACTTCAGCTTGTCTACGAGTCGCTGGTTGAACTTGGCTTGCTCGGGATCTGCAGCAGGAGGTTGTAAAGAGATTGCCATAATTTCCCTGAGCGTGAATCGTGCGATCTTGTAGTTCTTGTCAATATGCGTCACCAGTAAACCATGGGACGAGAGGATGACTTTTGAGTGATCGTAAAAGTTGAACTACACGAAACCCAGCGTCAATCGTCAAGCACATCAAGAAGGGGTGAGATGAATGACCTGAAGGACATCGTGACTCATCTTGAATACGATAACGTGTTTCATACGCAAATACTTCTGTACAAAATCCATCCCCTTGGTGCGGTCATGGTCCTCGAAAGTGTACTCGTAGTCGCCGTACAGGCGATCCATGATGTAGCGCTCGAAATGCTTGAGAAGGTAGACCTTATTCTTGAGGTCCTCAGGAAACTCAGTCACAGAATAATTCTTCCTAACGTAGACAGTTCCATGGCGTCGAGAGGAGATGTAGTCAAAGTGACTGGGACATGTGTCAAATCATGAACAAATAAGAGGTAGAGAAGAACTCACTGCTTATCCGCTGAGAGAATGAGGGTTGTACTATCATTGAAGTGTACGCCAACAGACCCATCCGTCAGGGCATAACCCATTCCGTACTTATTGCAGTAATCCACCCAAGACACGATGAAAACACGCTCATCGGGGATGGTAGTATCATCGCGCGGATCCCGGAACAGCTTGCCAGCAGCCTTCGCATCAAATGCTTGCGTCAAAGTCTGTGCAGCGGCATCGAATCCATTAAGCTTTGCTTGCGGAGATTCCAAGTGCATGTCCTGCACTAGAGTTTCCTTGCGCTCTCCGCGCATCGGCTCCTTGCCCTTCAGATCCTTACGGGTAGGAGGTAGATTCTCTTGATCCTCATCAAGGCGGTGTGCGCCAAGACCAGCCACAGGAGCCATCTGGGCTACAATTCTCGCCTTCTGCGATTCGAGTTCCTTCTGTCTTTGCTGATCGTGGTTTTTCTCCCTAGTTCCTCGAGGTGCGTCGTTCTCTTCTTCTATGTCTTGCAACCCACGTGCAGTGCGCACATTCCGTAGAGGTGACTTCGTGTCCTTCGCTGCTTGCAGTTTTCTGAAAAGAGGGGACTCCTTGACTCCGTTTGTCGACATAACCAACGGCTGCCTGGCGGAGCTAAGCAGCGCAGAGATAGGACTGCCAGGCTGAACAGCTTTCTGGAACTCCTTCTCTTGCTGAGCAATGGTAGATGTGATTGGATTCTTCGCCTTGTCTTCTGGAGCCGATGGGACCGCTATAGTCGAAATATGGTCGTCATCCAACAAAACAGCTTTCTTGAGTTTCATAAGGTTAACTACGGACATTGGGCGCGTAAGGTATCGGAAGTCGGGGGGCGCGTCATGTGCAGAGACGGGAATAAATGGTGGGACAATGCCGAGGTCAATGAAGGGTGACTTAAGGATTTCAAGGAGAGTAGGACGTTTTGAGGGGTCAGGTGTTAAAATAGACGTGATGCAGTCCTTAGTATCTGGTGTAATGCGGCGTTCAGGCGGGAACTCGTAGACGTTGTCACGGATCCGTCTGCACGAATGGTTAATGAGAAACCAGGATGCTAGGATGGTATGTCTTACGTATAAATTTCCTTGACGTCCTTGGTTTGGAAAGGAGGACGTCCGATAACAAGCGTGTACAATATGACACCGATAGACCAGGTGTCAACCTCGAAGCTGTGCCCATTCGCAGTATCAAACAACACCTCGGGGGCAATGTAGTTTGGCGTGCCACAGATAGTTTTCTTTCGTTCACCAGGATTCTCGATCAAGGCAGCAAGGCCAAAGTCGCCAACCTTGATGTTCATGTTAGAGTCCAGAAATAAATTCCCGAGCTTAAGGTCACGGTGGATGACCTGGTGGGAATGCATGTAATGACATGCACCGATGAGCTGTACAAGAAAGAACCGGGCCTCGCACTCGCTGAAGCGACGACGACGACGGAGCATGTCCATCAATGACCCACTAGTGCAAAGCTCAAGTGTCATGTAGACGTTATCGTCATCTTCAAAACACTCCTGGAAGCGCACAATGTTGGGATGAGCGAGCGAACGATGTATCTTAATTTCTGCGTAGAGCTTAGCAAACAAAAGTGTTAAGACACAAGTGAAGAATCAGATGTGGCGTAGACTTGCTTTGGTCTTAGCTTTCTTAGTCTTCAAAGACGATTTGGTAACGACTTTGCAAGCAAGGTGTTGCGCGGCACTGTGACGACCGTCTGCCACCTCATAGACACGTGCAAATCCTCCCTGTTTTAAATATGAATGATTAGTGTGTACGAAGCGGTAATCAAAACACATCCTACTTCTCCGAGGAATCCTACACGGTAATACTGAACTTGTCGATTCTGGTCGACGATTACTCTTGGGGGTGAGGGAGGGGTAGTCTTGCTATTCTGCCTGGGTAGAGGTGGGTCGGCTGGAGCTGCCTTGGGTTTCTCTTGTGGCTTTACAGGAGATGTCAGGCGAGGCTGATTGAGAACATTTGCATTTGTAAAGGGATGACGACGATGAATGGGCTGCTGCTGCTGATCGGAGGGGGCGGGCATACGAGCATGAGTGTAAGCAGACATTTCAATGGCCTAACACCTCGAAAGTCTGATGGTTGCTTTGACAAGAGAAGAGAAAGAAGTGCTCAAAAAATGAACAGAGCCAAAACAAGACCAACTTCAACTGGTTTTTGGCTGACAACAATTCAAGGCGTGGCTACCGCGTGTTTCGCGTGTATATTATGTAATCCATCACGTGTAAAGTCAACATGCTCGTGACCGTTCAAAAAACCCTAACCTTAGTCTGGGGTTCCATGATCCACTACCAGCGGCGTTATGGTAAAAACGATGGTCAAAACACTTCCAGTCTAAGCCACTTTATTGTTTGGAAAAGCGGGAGCGATTAAGGAATGCTGCAAACAAAATCGGACCCTGTGGTGGTAGCGTTGATGCCCTTCCTCATCCCACTGGCAAAACGTATTAACGGCCACAACTTGAACATACTCGGAGACAATAATTACGGGCCACAGTACCGACTTGCTTTTGCTGTGGACACGAATTACCATCTACACATTGATGTCCTTGGCATTGAAATCACCCATAGGACTTATACCTCTTCCAATCATGTTACACTCATTTAATCCTAAAAACCTACCTTTCATAGGCAAGGGAAAGCAGAAAATCACGAGTTTGACTATGGCGGCTAGGTACGTCACTACTCATAGTCGTGACCTTCACTTTACAAAAGATTTTCCTGCAGGAAAGAAGAACGAGATCTAATGCAGGAAATAGATTCCGCGGCTCTCGGAATCGATAATTTGGATAGCGTTGAGCAGTCCACGGACTCGGATGATGCATCTATGAACACCCAAGCGGCCGCTACATCTAACTCGGCCGATTGCTTCCTCATTGACACAGCTTTAGACGGCAACTCGTTACCTAGTCACTCCTTCACCGGCTATACTTTTATCTCGAAAGGCTACGTCAGTGTCGGGCGAGCACTCAAAGCTGTTCCTCGAAAACCCCAGATTTAGAGAATGTACTCCCGGAAGATGCAGTACCACTTCTCCCAGGCTTATAGTTCCGCAGCGCCCTCCTCAAAGCTCTCATCTGCTTCGAGGTCGCCAAATGATTCTAGGGGACCCGTGTGTTGTGTAGGACCTTCTATTGATCATGATCTATCGACGAAAGTCAAGACTCATCTCCATATCGCCGAGGATGGTATTTTAGCCGCAGGGTTAGAACCGTCTGGTCACCGCACGAAATGCAAGGTACATCTACCGGATGACGATGACAACCATCCAGTTCCATGCAAGACTTTCCAGTGTCCGCGGTGTTGCTCTAGTAACAATTCCGTGCGCGACAGCGCACTGAACCTGAGCACTTCTTGGGAAACACAGAAGACTGAAAATGGTCAAATTGTGGAGTCTGCGGGAGAGGAAAAATCTTATTTTCACAAAATCTGTCATTCTCCTCGCAGCTCTACATCCGCTCCTTCTAGCAACACAAAGACACCCTCGGTGTTGAATGGAGAACCTAAATATGCAGATGCGCGATTGACAAATGATGTTGAGGAACGCACTGGTATTCACAAGGCCTACGAGCCCAGTCAGACCGCAGTAGGCGTTAGTTCTGCTGATGCCAAAGTATCGCCAAGCGCAAACCCATTTCCACACCTTGCTGTGGTCGATTCCGCTGAGTTACCTGTTGTGCCGATCGAGCATCTGGGACCATCAACAGAAAGCGTTGCATTCAACAGCCCCTTTGCCTCATGCCAGGTTGATAAGGGACACGTGCCATGTTGTCTAGTCTTATTCCATCGGTTCCAATCCTACCCTCAACTGCGCTGCATGATTTTTACTCAGCAACAAATGACCCCAACTTACCTGCAAACAACGGCATCTCGTCCCTTGCATCGATACTGCCTGTTCTTTTTATGAATCGTCTCTCGTACAAGGCGGCCTTCAATTCTCTCTTTCTGGCATTTACCAACCTACCTGAACAAGTGCCTTTTGCCGAGCAGCCAGTCTCCACGTTTTCAGGACCCTCCCTCAGTACTGATACGTACGGGTCTACTGCGGGGCCATTCTGCTCTGGACCTTTCACTTCCAACTCGCTTGACATATCTTCTGACTACACATCTTTTGTCAATAACGGTGATGTCCTCGCTAATGAAGGGACTCTTCCGCACCCGCAATGGTTCGACCATTCCGATCGCATTGACGTAGAAATGGCAGATGCTATCATCAAACTGATGTCAATACCGGAGCAATGTTTCGCGAAGCCTTCTGCGGAACTAATTCCGCCTAGGTCCTTCCTTGACTTCCCTCCTCGTGATGTCACCACTGCAGTACACTATGCTTGTACCTATGAACCTCCAGCTGCAATGGCTAGATCTGGCGGAGTTTCAACAGCTGGGTCTAGCTTCGAGAAATTTTCTACGAACGTCGAAGCTAACTATTCTCAGCCTGCATTTGATGCTACCGCTACAGATATTGAACGTTGAACCTTCACAGTCTGGGCTGGGCCATACTTTGCGATGGTCACCTACCATTCCTGAAGCACACTCGGCTATACGAGAGCGACCTACCGACTTCTCTGGTTCTAGATCCCCATACCCCTGTTCTGGTTTTCCTGAGATGCCATCAGCGGAGAAAAATGTTCACGATATCACCGCTCAGGAACGAGATGTACAAGCCAGTCGCGTTCACACCATCCTCGAGAACCAGGAGTATGCTCGTAAGTGAACATTTATTCGCGAGATTAAACTAAGTAATCAAAATCCTACTCTGAAGACTATGAAAGTTCTGCAGATCTCGAGGTTGACGTTCACGAGTATGCTGCACCCCAGCCCATTCCTGCCCCAAACATAGTGATTCACGAGGAGACCATTGTGCAACCACCTGGTCACGTTAACGACATCATTATCTCAGTCGTCGCCAACCCAAGTACATCGCTTCCCCAGCACTGAGCGTCACCGGGAGAGGCTCTGATGGAACAGAAACCCAGGCGGGAGACGATACGACGCCCGAACCAGACGACGACATAAAGACTGAGCCAGACGATGACGCTAAGACCGAGCCAGATGATGGGATCAATGAGAAGGATGTGAACGCTGAAGTACTCGCCCACGCTATACTCGACATTCCGCTTCCACCGGCGATAGACGCAAGCGTTCAACTCCTCGGTCAACGAAAACGCAGGAACTCGTGTTGCCGAGAAGGCATCGCTCGCATGCGTGCAAAGAGAAGGCAGATGACCGCTGAGGAGAGCGAGGAAGACGGCAATGGCGGGATTCGTGCACAACGGACGCGATTTAATCATCTATCGAGGCCGTCACCTTATGCATTGGTGCCGTGGCGGCGTAAAGGTCGCGCAAAGGGACACGAGAGATCGTATCTTTCGAGCGGTCAGGCCAACACAATGTCCGATAAGACCTCTCAGATATCGACCGTAGCATCAAATGACAGCTCCCTGTCGTGTTCTCCGTTCAATCTCTCCGTCCGCGCTTCATCCAAATTGCATAGATTAGAGTCCAATTCAGCTCAAGGAACCCAACATCACACTCTTGTCCCCACATATTCACGATATCGGTTGGGAGACGAAGAATCTCATTATAACGTCTCTGGCGAACCTCACAACAAGGAGAGACCCTTGAAACAGACCCGATTCAAATGCCGCATTGAGAAAACGAAAGACTTTGCGCAACCCCCACCACCACCGGCAAATCCAATACCAGACAAAAAGAGACTGCCGGCCCTGCGTCAGACTACTGGGCACGGGAGTGCGGGTCGTCAGCATCGGGCTCATCATCCCACCAACGCCAGTGTGCGAGTGCGTACAGACAAAGTGGATGCCATGCGGCGTGTTCGCTTGATTACAATCAGTCCAACTTCGAAACATGCTCACACGCTGCGGCCATCGTATGTTGTATCAAATATCTAGGACAAGGATCTGTTGTGTGGTTTCACATTTGTGGTAGCATTTTAGAATTGCGCAAGGACGTATTCCGTAATCTTCGCTGGAGTTGATCTAGTATCCATTATTCACATACATTGAATTACATTCAGCGACATGGGCCTCAAAAACATTCGGAAGAACTGGTTTGCACAACAGTCTTGCTTCGAGATATGCGTATTTCAAATCATGAACCTCGCGTACCATGGAGGTGAGAGGAAAGAGCTTTGAAAGTACGAGACAATCCGACGAAAAAGCACGGCAATGATTTGCTGAGGATTAAGGCTACATATTGGTAACAAGCAGTACATAGCTTGACTGCATCATGGAACATAGTTGGGTGTTCACTACAGTACATGGGTAACGTCAATTGAAGTACAGCGCGGGGAATGAGTATGAATTCAAAGGAAGGTTAGAAGAGATTTGGCCAGCAAAACTCGGAGAAAAAGTTCGACATGATCGGTCTTCGAAAAATGGAAGGATTCAGTTCTGAACGTCTAAATGTTCCCTGCACAACGGACAGGTCTGGTTCCTCGCCAGCCATGGAATAAGACATCTCTTGTGGAACCTTGCAAAATAATATAAGCTGGCAGCCACCACGAGAATAAGAACAACATACGCATGGCGACACTTCGCTCCCAACACGCCATGGTCCCCACTTTTAAACCGGGACAAGCAGATAGTGCACTTCTGTACGTTCACACCCAGCAGCGACAATTTAAGTTTCACGCGTCCATCACCTGTCACCCTTCGCCTCTCTAGTTCTACCAGTCCAACAAGGCAGTTATCTAAACTGTCAGGATTGCGGTGTGATGCGGCAGGACCGATGAAATCGGAGATGAGAAGGAGGGCCTGCGTATGTGGGTGACTTCAAGTACGGGCCCGAGAACTGTGCATCCCGAATACTCACGTCATAATTTGAGCCGTCATCGCGGGGGTGACCATCTCCTAGGCTGCCAACGAGGCCAGTGATGTATTCGGATGCGGGTGATGTGACTGTGCACGAAGATGGTAACGTGGTTGATGTTGGTGTGAGTGGCCCACGAGGACTGGAACTGCCCACAGTGACGCTATCACTGTCAATATCGTCCTCGAGGTAGTCAATGGGGAGAGGCGGCGGAGTACGCGCAGGTGGAGTACGATCAGGTATCATGGGCGTGCTGTCCGGGAGAGGGGGAGTGCGATTTGGCAACGGGGGTGTGTGAGTGGGGAGGGGAGGGGTATAACTGGCACTAGAGGGGCTAAGTTGATCCAGGCTGTCGTCGTCCAAATCAATCAACAGTCCCTCGGGCACATGCAGGTGTTTGGGGATAGCCCTGGGGTGGTGCAAGACTGGAACAGTGGTGGAAGCCTTCTGATCCGGTGTCCGGCCTACAAGCCATGTAAGAGAGGGTGATGTGGATGGGGTTTGTGGTAGAGGACGGCCTGCATAGTGACGCCGAGGCGATGCAGGGGCAGGGCTGTACGGGGGGGTATGTGACTCTGGAGGTGGGGTAGGCGGTCCCGAGGGGAAGATCGCACTATACGCAGGAGCACTTCGCATCTCCAACTCACGTGACAAGGACCGTCCACGATGAATGAGAATTTCCTCGCGGCGTGCGGGAGTACGACGACGCGAGACTCGCTCTGTTGCAGACCTGGTGGGCAACGAGTTATTGGGCACTGAAATGGGTGTGGCAGGCGCCACATTGTAGTCAATGTAGGTCACTTCTGAAGCTGATGTTGGAGAAGCTCTGGCATGGGTGCGGGTAGTCTTTGGAAGCTCTGGCTGGGCAACAGCACGAGGCGTCGAATGTGAACGAACATGCTCATGCGGAACTTGATGAGTTCCCAAGTTCATCTGCGAGAAGGAAGTAAGTGCCCTTCCCACTGAAGGTTGAGATAAGGATAGGGACGACAGGGTTGGAGAGTCCCTCAACGTTATCCCACGAGTAGGAAGACGAGATCTCTCCAATTCCTCGCAAACGCCAAGATCCTGCTGAGAGAAGGATGGAAGCGTCCTTCCGACTGTAGCCAACGACAAGCTCGAGGAGCTAAAGAGGGAAGCGGAAGACGAAGAAATTGGAGATACTGGGGCGCTCGATGCGCAGGTGTGATCGCTACGCAAGCTGGAATTCGTGCGCCTCCGAACATGCCGATTTACAAATGGAGGAGAAGCCGGACGTTGTGGGCGATCTTCAGCCGGAAGTATAGTCCGAATGCTAGAACAGTATGGGTGTCGATTTGTATTTGAGCTGCGGGTATCTTCCATAATGGTATCGGGATAAGGCCACGTCTCTGCAAAGCCTGAGCGCAGTGCAGGAGCCGGGCTTGGGGGAGCGGGGGAGTCATCCAAAGAGGAGTGAGAGGAGTCAGTGCGATCCAAGACTTCCCAGTCCTCTAAGGATTCGGCACCTGCGCGCTCTTTCTGTTTCCGATGGAAGAGCTTTCGAGAAAAGTGATGATCTCCGTGACCGTGAAGTGCAGAAGGTGAAGATAGATTGAGCAGTGAAGGTGTGCTCTTGAAGAATGGATTGGGGTTACGCAACAGTGAGATGACAGATGATGAGGGTTGTGGTGACTGAGACCTATGGAATATCCTCGATGGAGAAAGGGGAAGGCTCGGCAGAGGCAGAGGCAGCTTGTGTTTAGGCGTAGCTGGAGAAGATGCATCAGATGCTGCCTGCACGCTGCGGTCGTCCGAATATGGATCTTGATCCTCGGGAATCCTGAGTGACAATCGAGAGTTCGCGAAACGAGACTGAGAAGTAGGGCTTCGTTTTGGAGCCTGACTAAACAATCGGGTCCGCTGCGGCACGGCTGGAACATGTGATTCTACCGACCGCTGATGGTGCCTCGTCACCCTTTCCTCGAGAGGAACTCCACGTTGTCGATCCATTTCCCATCTCTGAGGTGGATCTACGTCCACGAGCTCTATGCTTGACTCGTCGTCGTCAAGTAGTGCCTTCTGCTGTACTGGGACCGGAAAGGCGCAAGACCCTGATGAAAGATTCGGCGCATGCGCAAGCGTGGGACTCGGCACATGCAAGGGCATCATCAAGGGCGACAACGCAGGTGTGGGTTTTGATATCGATAAAGGATTCGCAGTGACTGCGGATATTGGTGGATCTGTGTGCATAATGACGTTATCATGCGTAGCTGTGGGCTGTGTAGAGCCCGAAGAGGATGTGCGATTTGCAACAGGCAAAAGTTCTGGGTGTATATGAACCCCGGCCACGAATGTAGATGATGCAAGCGCAGATGATGCAAGACTAGACAGGGTAGGACTAGTCGCTACCTCGTAAGTTGGAGGTGGTGGATAGTCCGAAGTATCTAGCCGATCAAGTTGAGACATTCAATTCTGCTACCTCGAGACATTTGATTTAATCTCACCACCATCTTCTCGCACTCTTGCTTGTCTGCGACGGGCACTAGCGCCACTGCGAGTATCTCTAAAAGAGTAGCCAAGGTTGAAGCGGATTTCTTCGCGTTGGCGTTCGTCTCTGTCTGCTTTCTTGGGCTCTTTCGCTTTACCGCGGATCTTACCAGTCGTAGCTTGTCGACTGGGTTGAGCGGTATTCAGAGCCTGATACGGGTCGACCTGAGCGGCCTTTGTGGCCCGTTTGCTTGAGGTCATTGTGAAGCAATGAGGGAGGATAGAACAGCCTGAGATGGCAGACAAGGGCGAAGATGGGCAACACGCCTTCACCTGCAGGCGACCTGACTTGCTCTGGTATAATAGGTGTTTATATTTCTTTGGCGGGTTACCAAAGAAGCATAGCACCCTATCCTTGCGGCACGAGTGCCATGATCCTTACGCGGAACAGGGACGAACACGAGTCATTCATATCGCCTGCTGAGAGAATACGACAGAAGGCCCTTGCAACGTTGCAGAGAAGCGTTTCAGCACAGAAACTACACAAACCATATTTAGTGGCTGACATAAGCATCACACCCGGCATTTGCCAACGGGAGCAATGAATCGCGACACACGTGACCCCTAACGCGTCCAGCGTGAGGGTTGTAGATCTCGCAACTTCGTACACCATGCCAGGGCGCGTATCTTCTGTTGAGGAGACCCTCACCGCCAGTGTCCCCAATATTTTTGACCAAGTTCAGAATTCAACTGCAAATCATCAGAAGAATATCGTTGCACTCCACAAACTCCATCTAGATGCTGCTGGTTTTACCGAATCCGTACATAATGGCAGAAGCATCAAGCTCACCGGTGAGCGTGTGTTCGAGGAGAAATTCAAAGACATGCTATGCAGAGCTGCCGCCGTGAAGAAAGGAACATCGCAGGGTGACCGGATAGTCAAGTTTGTTGGAGCGTATACAAAGTACATCAATGAGAGAGGTGCGATGTCTGCCCGTTTCACTGATGCTAAATCTCATCATATCATAGCCGCTGAGATAAAGAAGGAGGACGACGACGACGACGACGACGACGAGACTACAGCCTCTCGGTTCGTTGAGAAAGTGCTTGCCTTCCTCCTGATTGGCTTTGAAGCCAAGGACAAAGTTGCACGCTACCGCTGCGTCCACTTCTTGGCAGAGATGGTCGCACACTTGGGTGAAATTAGGTTAGCAACCTACATATTTTTTGCAATAATCCGGGCTGACTGGGCACAGCGAAAAGCTGTACACTGAGCTCCGCACAGCTCTCTTTGAGCGCGTGCACGACAAAGAAACATTTGTTCGAGTCCAGGCTGTCATTGCACTTTCGAAGCTATGTGGCTCGGAAGATCCATCTGATGTAGAAGAAGGAGAACCCACCGCTCTTGAGGTCCTGCTGGAGACTCTTAGTTGTGATCCTGCCGCGTTGGTTCATCTGTCATAAATGTTCCAGCAGTGTACTAAACAACTATCTTACAGAGATGTCCGTAGAGCTGCATTGCTCAACATTCCTCTGTCTTTAGCTACATTGGACGCTGTCCTTGCTCGAACCCGCGACACTGATACGATCATGCGCAAGTTGGTTTATTCCGCTATCCTAGTCCAACATTGCTTTGTTTCTGATGGCTCTGCCATGGGGATCGTCCATCCTCGCGTGCTTACCATTTCCCAGAGAGAGTTCATCATTCGCAATGGTTTAGGTGACCGAGAGCCCGCTGTTCGCCAGGCTGCGGCTCTATTACTCAGCAAATGGGTGGACGTTGCTCGTGGAGACACCAAGAAGGAAGAAAGCAAGACCGTTAAAGATGATGTTCTCGCACTTTTAAGCCTCTTTGATCTTACGGAGAGCACGGTTGCAGAGGACGCACTGCTGAGTGTTTTAGACAGACGCCCTGATATTTCCGATCATGCCGATTTTAATGGTATGTTCCATTGCAGAATTTCGGTCAGAGAAGTTGATTGGTACATCTACAGATGCTTACTGGGCCAACCTGACCCCAGAGCGAGCGTTTTTCGCTCGTGTTTTCACTGACCATTGCATTGTCAACAAAGACGCAGAAAAACTGGATGCTTCTCTCCCGGTTGTCACTTTCCTTGCCTACCACATCCAAGCTGCCTACAATACATACCAGGAAGACTTAGAGGTCGCCGAACAAGAAAGAGTCATTCGTGGTGAACCAACTGAGGAAGAAGAAGAGGCTCGCATTGACAAGGAATTTGTCATAGGCGAGATGCTCAAGGTTGCTGTAAATCTAGACTACGCTGATGAGATTGGGCGCCGAAAAATGTTCCAGCTCGTGCGAGACATGATCTCTCAAGAAGCACTACCCGAATCGCTTGTCGCTAGATGTTTGGACGTATTGCGGATGCTATCACCAAACGAGAGGGATCTTATTCGAGTGGTTGTAGAAGTAGTCCACGAGCTTAGGGATGTCAGTGACGAAGAGGAAGTTCTAGTAAGTCTAACAGCTCTTTGTTCATATTTCATTCCCATGATGACCTTATTTTTGCTAGAAGGAGCCTGCGGATGACGGAGAGACCAATTTTGGTGAAACACCCATCCCAACCCGTACGGCATCCAAAGGATCAAAGCCATCAGAAGATATGTCTTCCGAAGAACAAGCCCGTATGGACGCGATTGATTTGCGTTGTCTGTCACTTTGTATAGGGATGCTGGAACGTGTTAACGGGGTGCGTCATAGTTTATGTTCAGCTCCTAATCACTCACTGTTGCTCAGACATTCGAGGAAAATTCGACACTTGAAGGCATCCTTGGCGAGCTAATCATTCCCGCCGTCAAGCGTAAGGAGTTGGCACTTCGTGAAAAGGGTCTTATATGTTTAGGTCTTTGCTGTCTCATTGCTCGAGTATGCTCGTGTTGCCCATCATGCTGTTTAAAAACTAATTAACCTCACAGCGCATGGCTCTCAACTCTTTCCAGCTTTTTTTGGGTCAAATTCAGACTGCCCCGGAGGTCCTGAAAATCCGTGTGCTGCAGATCGTCTTCGACATTCTCATGGTGCACGAAAATGACTTCTTGAACAAAGAGGGTGGTGCAGTGGGTAACAACAATCTCGACTTTATTGCTATGCTCACACTTCTGCAGAGCGAGCGTATTGTCGAATTCTTCTTGCATGTCCTGGAAATCGAGGAATCGGATAAGGTGCAAGCCCTCCTGTGTATCGGCCTTGCAAAGCTTGTCCTTTCTGGAATGATCTATGATGACAAGGTTGGTGGCGATAACCTGTTGCACGATGTGAGGAGCTCAAGCTTCTTCAGGTACTGCAAAGCCTGGTTGCTGCATACCTTGCCCCGGACACGATTGAAAACCAAGAAGTCCGCCAGTGCCTTGCCTATTTCTTTCCCGTATACTGCTACTCCTCCGCAGTCAACCAGCGGCGAATGCAACGGCTGTTCATTGGATTGTTCGAACAACTTGCCCCAGAAACCCGAAACGTCGACGAAACCCAGGATATGGTCAGTCCTGCTCAAATAGCAGCTATGTTCGTGGATTGGACCGATCCGCAGAAAGCCATGTGAGGCAATGTTATTTGTCTTGAGAATGTTAGTTAAAATGATGCAGTGAGGTGCAAGATCAACCAACCGACGAGACAATCCATATCGACCTGGCATGCGATATCGCAAGAGCATTGTTCGACGACAAAATGATAAGTATGTCGATAACTTTCCAGACCGAACCATTAACCAGCGCTAAAATTGCAGAGGAGGACAAGAAAGTATTATATCAGGTTCTTGGGCGGCTATACTTACCAGACAAAGTTGATGACGATAAAATCCGCACACTCAAACTACTACTTTACAACCTCAACTCCGTGAGTTCATCTGAGATTTTGTGTCAACCAAGAAATCATGCCATACAGCGTCGACCGATCCGTGACGCAGCAGCCAAGAATGCGCTTGCAAAATTTGATGCTGCGATCTCGAAAAAATATGCTGAGCAGCTAGAGAGCTTCAACGAGGAAGATTACAGGCAACTGGAGTACCTGAAAGACTTGTTCGAGTTTCTTGATGACATCATTCCCTTGGACGACGGCGAGGAGGTTGACATACCTCGCACTCGTGCTCGAAAGAGGTGTGATTTCTGCTACGCTACCGTTCATGCGCGTTGAAACTGATTAAATGGCATAGGCGCTCAGACAGTATTGTTACTGATATCACAGACAGCATTGTACCAGATGAAAGTGTGGCTTCTGCTGCTTCTCCGTCACACCCGAAGGGTAAGGGCAGAGGGAAACAAAGCAAGTAAGTAGTCATTCATTCGATATCAACGTCCAATCGACCTGTTGTTATCTAGGCGGAGACGTGTTTCTGGTTCTGATAGCTCGGATAATGTCTTATCGTACGACCATGTTGCCCCAGCACCTACACGAACCCTGCCAAAGCGGGCCGCGTGCGTCAACATGTCATGATTTTCCTATTTAATATCTTAACTTTTGCTCGCAGGTCAGGAAAGAAACCCGAGGTAGTGCAATTGATAGAGGATGACGATGACAAAGAAGAGGAGGAAGAAGAAGAGGAGGAGGAAGCTTCGCCCCCTCCTGCATCTCAGAATGGACGAAGGCCCAGGCTGTAAGTTGCTTGTATAAGTTGGACAACGCACACTCATTTGGTGGTATGCAGTGCAACCAAAGACATTCAGACTGCCTCTGCAGGGAATAGTACTCTTGATTCCATCATGGATAGCGAAGAAGACGAAGAGGAGGAAGAGGAAGTGGCTAATGATATATTGGCTTTGGATGAGTAGAATTTTTGTTGGCATCTATGAGAGTACAGTATCTATTATGATTTATATTTGTACCCCATATCACTACTTCTAGTGGCAGGACCGCCGCTTTCATGATTCGGTCGGATTGGATGATAATGTACGAGGTGAGTTTCTCGGCCGCCGTAGATCTGCCATGACTTGCCAATGTGTCAATTCTCACGCGCCGAGTCTGTCGTCGAAAATCGACTATAGCCTGAGAATCAAAAACAATCGTTAAAGTGGCTCCTTGAAGCTGAGCCACTATCGTGTTGACATGGTGGCTCAAAATCGACAACATTTCAGTCACCCGGTGAATCGACGTCTCTAACATTCAGTATGACATCCAAGAATGCAGGAATTCTGTCTCTTGCGGAGGAACTGCGTTGTCACATTTTGAGCTTCCTCCCCTACCGAGATATTCTTCGTTGTACATCTGTGAGCTACCTTCTTAATCATTATTAACGTCCCAGAATGCCGCAGAAGATTTTGTATTGAAGTCGTTTTACAGGTATGCAAGGCTCTTCGCCAGACATTCACATCGTCCTCCGTGCTTCAGTACATCGTTGAACTTGGTGGCCAAGGGCTGCTGCCTGTCCCCGATACGGAATTCAACAAGCATGTTCCTACTTCTAAACGCCTACAGCTTCTGAAAGACAATGCTCATGCGTGGTTCAAGTTCAACATTTACCCAGTATCCATCCGAGATCACTTCACCATTGGTCCAGTACCTGTACAAGGAATATCCTTTGCCGATGGCCACCTCTGCCTGTTTGATGAATATCAAGAATCGGCCAAGATATTTCCAATAGTGTCAAAGCCCTCAGCACAAACAAAACAGCGTGATTGGTCACCAGAATCGCTACTTCCAGTTCCCCGTGCGGATGTCACTCATGTATGGATGGATCCAGCTCAAAACTTGATCGCCATCGGGTATGAAATCGTTGATCGTTATCATAATAATATGGACTTGTCCAAGATCCCGTTCTATATTGACCTTAAGGTTCTTGATGGAGATGATGTCCACCCACAAGCAGCTGGACAGACGCTATTTCTCTCTGAGCTTCGGGGATGTCATGGCGATGCGGTCAAGCTCTCGGGGCTCGGGAGGCATATTGCTCTCCAACGCGGCCAGGGGGCGGGCGAATGGTGGATGCAGATTTGGGAGTGGCAACACTCAACAACATCCGACGTGAGCCTTGCTAAAATGACATAGTTGATGCTAGACTTGACAATTAACTCGCATCTAGTGTGTCATGAGTTACCAATCAAACGCAGAAGACGAAAACTTTTGTTTCCTCGGAAATGATAGATTGCTGATTATAAGCAGCGAAAGTTTGGATCTTCTTTCAATCGAGGATATATCCCAGGCACCGCGGTTACTGAGGTGCTTCTTCATGCCCGGATCGGTGATAGGCAAGCGCATCGAGTATATTGCTCCTGCAGACGATATTGCTCATGGTCCACAACCGCAGATGCGAGCACATGAAATAGCATGGACCTCGGATCCTGAACATCGACTACTATCCTTTGTCATGGACCCGCCGAGTGTAGCCTTTGTCGTTTCCACCATGATGTTCTTTAATCTCGATTTATTTGATGGAACAGACGCGGACATACCTTGGGAACATTGGGGCCCTTCACACTCTCATGTATTCTATTTGCCCAATCGGCCACACAGCTTTGGCGTTAGCGGGAATCGAGTTTTTCAGATCGAGCCTGTAGTTGAGGCAACAGAAGATAACAGCTCGCATGGTCCGAAGTATAGTTCACATATGATGGATTTCAGCCCCTTGGCTGTTCATCGTCGGCAGGGTCGGGGACGGGTGGTGAAAGAGCCATCTACGATAGCATTGGGGGGTGAGTTGATAACAACGTCCCTGCCTTACGTCGAAATATTGTCGGACGGAAAATACCGTGACAGTACTAGTGCTGATGCGCGTAGTGTAGTGAAGATGTGGGTCAATAAAGACGAAGTTTATGTGCCTGTAAGTCCTTATTTTTCGAGGAAGTCCACCATACTTATTTTATTCGCAGAGAGTGTCTCCGTGGGCTATGAATTGATGTAACAGGTCAAAGCGGAATGGCGCATTAAAACAAGCAGCCCGTGTTGACATGCTGCAAGGTGTTGAGGCTATCATCTTCAACAAACTTTATAGGTTACAGGCGTTGCACGTACGTCAATTTGCCTATATAGTCCAAAAATTTTGCAACATGTCATGGGAATATAACTTTCTTTCGTACTCATTTGGTCATACGCAGTGCAAGCAAAGTGAGGGATAACGTGGACATTCAGCCTGCCAGGAAACAGTCACTACCCTCGATTTCATCTAGACTGGTGATCAGCCTGTCTATGAGATAGACGGACTGGTCACTAGTCTACATTTCATCATGAATGGCGAAGAGGAAGAAGAGGAAGTGACTAATGATATATTGGCTTTGGAGGAGTAGGAATTCCGTTATCTGGCTTGCCTCATAGATCTGGGGCTGTCACGAGTCTGATATGAGAGCATAGTATCTATGACGATTTATATTTGCACCCCATATCACTAGTACTGACCGCCGCTTTCATGGTTTGGAATTAGGTCGTATTGGGCGATGATTCAATGATAGCGAGTTTAGTTTCTCGGCCGCCACATATATAGATCCGACTCGCCGGCCGGTTCGTCGAAGGCAGACATCGATAGCCTGCGAATTGGGTAGAATCGAAAATGAACATGATTCCAGAGCCGCTTCAACGATTCTTCAGCAACTGGACGGACGCTGTTTCTATCTGAACTTGGGGAGATGTCAAGGACACGCCTCGAAGCTCCTGAGGTTTGGAAGGTATATTGCTCTCCAACTACTAGGGGGTATGGTGCTTGCAGATCTGGGACTGGCAACACTCGAAAGTGTAAATCGAACGTGGGTGCTAAAAAAGACAGTTCCAAGCTAGAATTTAACAATTGACTCAAGATACACAATGAACTTCAGAAGACCTTTATTAACTCCTCGGAAATGATAGATTCCTGATTATGTTGATGTGTTGTCGGACGGAAAATACAGCGCTGATGCACATAGTGTAGTGAAGATAGGGGTCGTGCTCGTTTTCAGAGTAGACGTGCATATTCGTACAGCTATTGAACCAAATAAAATCCAGGTCATGGAACACGTACCATCAGCCAACCAAACTGCAGTTTGCAAGAAGCTGGCAATGAATGATTGGTCTCATGAGTGATGTAGACCAACGATACAGTAAATTGTTGCCCAGGTGGTACGTGTGGTGGAAGTGCAGGACCTAGTGCGCAAGGTATGGGATCACCCCGAAGTGACCGGTAGTTGTATTTCCTGTCTCATCGTACCGGTATCACGTTGGCTACGTAAAAGGACCTTGCACTTACGTGTATATAGAGGGTCCTTTGTTGGTGTATCATGTAAAAGCCCAGCATGTAGGTGGATCTATCGATGAATCTCTAGCGTTTCTCTGAAAATGGTTGACTTTAGCATGTATAAATACTAGAGAGTGACGGTAAACTTCCCCAAAACACCGGTGTCCGGTACGACTTGTACTAGAGCGACGCCAAGCCTTGCACGTAGTATGGCATAATATTTGTCGCATTTCTCTTCACCTGCGGGTTCCGACATCACATTGGTGGATCGAAAGACAGGGTATACCCGTCTTTCCAGATGAGACAAGGTGAATAAAAACGCATGATTAATGTAACCGATGGTGACTGATACTGATACAATTTGGAGATTAGTTGAAAACGAACATGAAAACAAAGCACTTCATTCGTTTGAGCTGAATCATCCTCAGTAGCTCCTCTTCTGCTTCTCTGCATCTGTAAGGGGGACATACTGCCCACAAATCAGCAATGAATGAAATAAATTTTTAGAAAGCCTACCATGACCCCCATCAATTTCTTCTTTGTGACTTTACCATTCTCGTCCTTGTCGACTTGTATGATTTGTTGATCGAATGTTCCAACTGGTATGAACATCCGCCCAGGGCTCTTGAGCTGATCTACCAGGTGCTGCGGAATCGTGGGCGCGGCTGCGCCGACATGAATTGCATCATATTGGGCAAGGTCACTATATCCTTGACGGCCATCGCCGGTGACCGTGACGATTTCACCGTTGTCAAGAGCGGAACCCAGTCCATCTTGGCGGAGATTACCCTTTGACCAATCGACCAATTCGGGGATGTGATCGATGCCTACGACAACTCCGCCTGGAACAAGGTGGTGGAGTACGGCACAAAGATAGCCGGACCCACTGCCGACATCGAGAACGCGCTTACCGGGGCCAAGGTAGTCGAGAAGGTGTTCGATTGCATGCGCGTGCTTGAAAGGTACGTCAGCACCAATGCAATAAAAATTTCAGGGACTTGCCATGTGTGGTGCAGATATGGTCGCGCCATACCCAATGGATCTGTGGAACAGAAATTAGTTATAAAGATGGGGAAAGAGGGGTATGCGCACTGAGGCGAGTCCTCATATGCCTCCGATTTGTGTATGACATAATTAGCACGGTCAACTTTCGTCATGGCCTGATACAAGGCAGGTTCGACCAAGGATCTAATTACTGGTAGTTGGGATTGAACTGACCTCACGCACTCTGTCTGCTGTCATAATTCGTGCTGCATGCATGTTCGCGATGAGGTCTACATTTGTGCGACCAGAACAGCGCCAAGCCATTGTGGTATCCTAGAATGTATCCGAGGAGTTGAACAAGGTCGCCACGATGACTCAAGATTGCGAAAAGGAAGAGGCTGTTCTCGTGAGCTAGTAGCGGCCATCTCATTATTAAAGTGCCAAGAAAGGAAGCCCACCCGGCATCCGCACGTGCGACAAACATGACGCAGCCAAGCAGCAAATTTGATTAGACTAGGGCTGTATGGCGCGTTTCGAGATTTCACTGGCTCTTGGTTCACTATTTTCCCATTCCCCACAGCAACTATTTAGTCTCCATCATTCCTGTCATTTCTAGACTTTTTTTGACCTCTTATCATGGCCAATACTCCCATCTGGCCACTTCTGTCCACTGTATTCCAGGTATGGTTTCAGAATTCGGCCAATTCACTGCTGTCCGCTGATTTTGTTTGCTTCCAGTCAATTCTGGAGGTATTTCTGGTATGTAGCGCAGGCTACATACTCGCATGGCGCCGTATCATCGACAAGCCCACTCAACGCGTTCGTTTTGCCCTATATTTCGGTTCATCTTGCTCATTTCAAATGCAGGTGATAAACCACATCAACATCTCCCTGTTCACGCCTGCACTGTTATTCTCCAAAGTCGCATTTTTCCTAAGTCCAGGTATGCCCCATATCTTCTCCAGCATCAAGATTCTAACCAGCCTCGTGTGTCCCACAGCAAAACTCAAGGAACTATGGATTATTCCAATTTTCTTTACAGTGGTCACCATTTTCTCCGCGCTCGTGGCGAGAGTCCTTTCGAAGATTTTTGGACTGAAGAAATCTCATCAGTGTGTTTCTTCATTCACATGCCCTTCCGTTCCTTTGTCTTCTGTTTTTACAATGACCAGAGCTAACATCCCATTACTGTTTCCAGAAACTTCGCTATGGCTGCTTCCATGTTCATGAACTCGAACTCCCTACCCATCGCTCTGATGCAGAGCCTTGTGATCAGTGTGCACGGCCTTAAGTGGACCCCAGACGACAACACGGACGCAATGCTGGGTCGTGCACTTACGTACCTGGTACTGTATAGCACCCTCGGGATGATGGTGCGTTGCATTGTGTTTCGGTTGTCTTTTGCTAGTCCGAGTTGGATTTCTTGGTCGTCATGGTTTTATTTCTATTGATTATTATTATTATGTATTTTTGAAACTGGCTTTCCCACCTTCTGAGGAAGCTCCCAAGCCAGTTATTTTGAATTTGCTTCGTACTCAGTTGTTTGTAAATTTCTTACTTTTGCTTACAGCTTCGATGGAGCTACGGCGTGCGTCTGCTTTCCTCTGCAGACACCCCGCCTACGCCAACCTCTCTTCGTTCGCCCCAACTTGCGGCTGCGCCATATGATGCCGAAGGAGCGCAATACATTGATAATGCATCCCTATCAGACGAGGCGACGCTTAACGAGCATCATCGTTTACCCAGATCCCAGCCCACGAGTCCCACGAGTCCCTCTCATCATTGGCAATCTCAGGTGCACCCTACAAGCCCTTTACATTACTGGCAAACCCAAGCCCGTACCCAAGCTGTATCCGTAACTTCGCCTCTCGATGACACGAATGCCAATGATCAAGATACAGCATGTGAGATTCCTACCTTCATCCCAGAACCTGCAGGCCATATCTATGGACAACTACATCCGCACCCCTCTCCATCGTACCGTCACCTGTCCCCACCTCACCCATCCCAACCGTCATCTTCACGTCCGCCTTCGCGTTCCTCTCACTCACCACACCCATCACGGAACATGGCTATATACCATTCCTCCCCAAATTCACCTTCGCGGGAACATACGCCTTTGGTCTCAGACAATGTCACGCCCGCAGATTCGGAGGACGAGATAGAAGATGGTACAGAAGTTATTTTCCAACACCATCAACACCATGAGAGACTGGACACTGGTCTCCGACACATCTGGAAGCGCACCAAAAGTGCATGGCGCAGTATCAATGCGTTCATGACAATGCCCCTATGGGCCTCTCTCCTTAGTCTCGTCGTCGCGTGTACTCCGCCGCTCCAATCTGCGCTTGAACACATGGAACCTGTTAAAGGCGCGCTTAGTGCCGCAGGCAATTGCAGCATACCACTGACGCTTGTGGTGCTTGGAGCATACTTCTATTCCGAACCTCCCGAGGACGACATGCAAAGTGGAGATCTGATGGACTACGAGACAGACGAGACAAGGCGGGACCTCAGGAAATCTCGTACCTCACTGCTCAGTACCCTTCAGGAGATTTTGGTACTCAAACGCGCACAACCGCAGCCTCAGACGCCCGGGGAAAGCAAGACGGTGTTCGTGGCAGTGCTTGCAAGGATGGTTGTCGTTCCAGCTGTGATGCTTCCTGTGATGGCGATTCTTTCGATGCTTGATATTCACGATATCTTTGAGGAGTAAGTACTTCGAATTATCTCACGGATAATTGTTGATGTGCGGCTTTCCGATAGCCCCGTGTTTATGGTGTCCAATGTACTCTTGATAGCAAGTCCACCAGCTCTGACGCTCGCGCAGGTGTGTTGTGATGTTACTAGTCTCTCGCGATCACACTAATGCTCTCGTTGAAGATGACGCAAGCAGCCTCGAACGACTCGTTTGAGAGGCTTATATCACGGACGGTTTTCTGGTCGTATTGCGTTGTCACCCCACCAAGCACGATTTTAGTTGTTGTTCTGGGGTTGTTGATTGCTAAGCTGTGATTTTGAAGGCTGGTAAGCATTGCTGTGTTCATCATGGCTCCTTCGTTCCTGAATGACAAATGTCAGATTTCATGTTCAATATTTTTTTGATCCTGTTTACTGGGGAACCTGGATGTTCTTGGGTGTATTCCTGTGGACAGAGTGGGCGAGTTTGTATATGTGAATACTGACACGTTCATGCTCCCTAGACTTTTGCGGTGCTATACTCATTGGGCGTAATGTAATTAGTGGTCTTAGACGGGACTTTCTGCTATCATCATATCTTTCCGTACCCGAATACGCGATCTTACATTCCCGCTGTCATACAGGACACGTGTATATTGAACTTCAGTCCTCAGGGCCTGATTTCAGCAGGTGAGCTAATGGCCGTCCATCCCTCTGGAGCATGTACACATTGCTCGGAAATGAAAATCGATAGCCGAGGAGCAAAGGATGTGCCAGGATATGTAATGTAGACTCGGAATACCCGGAATACCAACAATTTGGTCATAATTGACTCGGAGTTGCAAGAGGCTTAGAATGTTTCACTAGCATTGAATCACTTGCACGATTTAGGATGCGGGTGTGTGCCTGCACAGGACCTAGATATTATTTCAAGCGCAACTCGCCCCTACTATTTGTTGCTATCTCCAGGTACGGTCTAGGGTCTTGATAAGGCGCCCGCCCTTCGACTTGAAAGTTGACACGATATTGGATGAAGCTGAAGAACATCGCCATGCTATTCGAGTCATTGGCGACGACGGTCAGGTGAATATCTGAATCAGTACCGACGCTGCCTAGACCAGGGGCTGACAATGAACCGGTCCAGAGTACAGGACGAAGAAGATCCGGAATGAAGGCACCCGCTCGCCTGATAACCTAGGATTATGAATATCCACCTGTCAGATAAGGATGGTATCGTGATAATATTCCGCTCGGTTCATACAGTGTTTTTTGCAATTACGCCTAGAATCAAAATTTAACCAAGCGAGTCCGGAAAGAAAGAATTACTCGAACCCTTTCTCACAGATAGACTTCAAGTAAGGTTCCCGTCTGAGGATACTAACTTGAATGCCAAGTATGCATCAAGTACCGAAACTACACTAGTCACAAACCACCGTAAAACATTGTGATTATTGCCAGGACCGGTTTTCAAGAAAGCAAGATCAAATTGAATGATGCTTCGAGGGTGCGGGGAGCGACAGTTGAGTATAGTGGAATGTTAGAGGTTGTTGGTGGAACGACGATAGGTGAGGCAGCATGTGGGTGTTGAGAGAATAGCGCGATTTGCTATTGATGACGCAGGACCGTGACAACGAAAGGGCCGGTGCAGGAGATAAGAGAGCAGTTGAAGTTTGAGAGTGCGGAGAGTACTTGCGGAGTGCTGGAGGTCACGATTGCGATTGAAGCAAAGTTGCAGCCCCGACTGGCAGTACTTGAGTGAGAATGGGTGGGCACGAGGCTCCTGCCAGAGGCTGGCTCGGCCACCTATATGATATTAGTATATTGGCAAAGATTCGTTATGCACGATCTACGCAGAGTCTAGTCATGTCACCTGCCCTCCGTCCGTCTACCTGAAAGCGGATAAAGCTCACCAAGAATCACTCGAAGCAGTCCCATATTAGCAAATTACTTCGCTGGAGCAAGCTCAGAATCGAGTGGCAGTAAAACTTTAGTATCTCCTAGATTGACATTCCTTAAAACTTGGTAGTCATGAGTTAAGTCACATGTTTAGCTGTGCTTGTGCTTTGCGAGTTGGGATGCCGTCACACCGACGTGGGTGCACATTTATATGTGAATTCTGAATCTACAGGAGAGCAACTTGCATCTCACACACACGTCACTCTTTCCACCGCTTTCTTTAACAAAGTTTTCGATTTCCTCTCATTTACGTCGTTCCAGATCATTCCAGGCTCTAGTGGACCCGAAAAGTCCAGCTTTCGTCGTTTGAGGGCCCTCCCGGTATGGTTGGATTCTATGAACTCCAACTTATTCTCCTCGTCTTCTTATGTCTTATCTTCCTCCTCCTCGAGCGTCATATCTCACGAAGGAAAGAGTTGAAGGAGAAAGACCTGCACACCGCCGAGCGCCTGGAAAATGGGGAGCCAACGGCATCACACAGTTTCCTAGCTACATTAACAAGACAGTATCTCATCGTCTATGCAATTGTAATGGGTATGCATGATCTCCTGCCTGTGGAAATCGTGTGTTCATCAACTTATACAGGTGCTGATTGGCTCCAGGGACCATATGTGTACTCATTGTACCGAGAACAGTATGGTCTCTCGGAAAGGATGGTCGCAGTCCTTTTTGTCACAGGTTTCATGTCCGCAGGGCTCACTGCACCCCTGGTGGGCGTCTGGGCAGATCAACAGTACGTCACATATGTCCTCTTCGCCGCTGTAAAGTCGTTTGACTCACGTGTTGTAGCGGACGCAAAAAACTCTGTCTTGCCTTTTGCTTGACGTATATATTTACCTGCTGTTGCATAACCATCCCATACTTGCCCATTCTTCTCCTTGGGCGTGTATGCGGAGGTATCTCAACATCAATCCTCTACTCTGCCTTCGAGTCCTGGCTGGTGAGCTCTGCTGGAGCGCTAGCCTTATCCTCAACGGATCTTTCCATGATATTCGGACGCGCCACACTCGTGAATGGTTTTGTTGCCACGGGTGCAGGCGTTGCAAGCAATCAGCTTGTCATCTTGACAAACTCATTCACATCTCCTTTCCTCGCCAGTGGAGTGTTGTTGCTTTTAGCGTACCTGGTGATCCGTGCAAGTTGGGGGGAGAACTTTGGTGGCGGCGGAATAACTCCTGGCAAGGATTTATTTCAGTTGAAAAGACTGGGCCAGGCATGGCGTATTGTTAGAGATGGTGAGTCCGTTCTACTTCCTGCTTCTATGATATTCAGCGCTCATCTGGTTTTAGATCCTATGCTACTCGCCATTGGCCTGACCCAAACTTGTTTCGAGGGTTCCATGTACCTCTTTGTCTTCCTCTGGGTACCATCTCTTCAGGAAGCTTCGCCAACGTTTCCCACTATTGCATTACCGCTGGGCTACATCTTCTCCTCATTCATGATATCTATGATGCTCGGATCCCTCCTCTACAGTACTGTCACCACTCAATCCGGCGGCCTGACGGTTCATGCAAAACTCAGTAGCTTAGTTTGTGCATTTGCTGCCCTCGCACTAGCAACAAGCATAAGAAGCGAGAGCGAGCGTGTCAGGTTCTGGGCGTTCTGCGCATTCGAAGCATGCGTGGGGATGTATTACCCTGTGCAGGGCATGTTGAGGGGAACTTTAATTTCAAACGAGCACCGAGCAACAGTTCGTCGACTCTCCTTGTAATAAAAAGAAGGTGCTGACCCAAATGATGTAGCTAAGTTCTCTGTTCCGTGTCCCCCTGAACGTGTTTGTCGTCGTCTCCCTGATGACTGGGGTGTCGAGTGCTAGGAGCGCCGTGTTGAGCGCCAGCTCCTTGATGCTTGCGTTCTCTGCCCTTGTGACTGCGTTTGTGGTTGTTGCTAGGGCAGATGACCATGTGTCCACCGAGGCAAGCTTGAGACCAGAGTGAGACATGTGACATTAGAGTGACAAAATACAAAAAAGGTCACTGAAGAAACGAGAAAACAATCTGTAATGTCGATGTATAGAAAATAACAAAATGCGCATCGTGATATTTTGTCCCGGTCAGTTAATCTCGGTTCTGTAGATTTGCCTCGCAGGTTATGTAGCCTGTTGAGAATTCTTGTCCTATGACGCGTGGCTTACCAAGGTTGTGGCTAAGTCTTTATTCGATCTCCGATTCATGGACCGCTGTGAGTCAGCTGATCGGCAACAACAAAATTATAACCTCCTCTGCGTCTCCTTTTTTACTTGGTTCCGTCTTTTCCCTTCCTCTTGTTCTTGTTCTTCCTTCAATCCCACTTCATATTTACTGCCTCTGACGTCACAAAAATGGACGTTGACATGAAAAATAAGGACGAGATCGACGACAAGCGCGACAGAGAGAGAGACCGCGAGTTTGACCGCGACAAGGACCGTGAAAGAGAGCGCGAGAGAGACCGTGACAGGGATCGCGATAGGAGGGACCGCGACAGGGACCGTGATCGTGACAGGAGGGACACGGGTGCGTAGCATCCCTCGGTGTGGTATGCAAAAACTCATTTTCTCCCATATCGTTAGGTCGGGGCGGTAGGAGCCGGACTGACCACTGGGAACCAGACGACAGACGGAATGGAGATGTGAGTTGCTTGTTATCGCTTGTTTTTACAATCCTGACATTTTGTTGTAGCGCCGCAAGCGTTCGCGCAGTAGAACACCACGTTCCAGGTCCCCGAGGCGTCGTTCAACTTCGCCTCGTGACCGCAGGCATTCACGCCGTTCGCGTTCTCGCAGTCGTAGTCGGACGCCCTCGCGTTCCCGAAGTCGTGACCGTGGCGACCGTAAGCCTGCTGATCCGTTCCCTCGCTCCCTTGGCGGGCCCATGAACGCGACTCATGAAGAAGCCGTCGAATTTGCCAAGATCAGCAAGAGAGAAAACCGAGTTTATGTCGGCAATCTCAGTTACGACGTCAAGTACCGTGACCTAATGGAATTCATGAGGGGAGGTGGGTTGGGGAATTTAGATTTTTCTTTGATTGGGGAGAGAGGCGGGGTGCGACCACTTTGTAAACCCGTTCTGCTGAGGCTCAGAAGGCAGCTGGTGCTGGCGAGTGTGAGCTGATGAGGGAGAGTGGTGTGGTGCCCTGGCCGGTTTATTTCCTTGGCTTTTCGATTGATGGACGGTTGGATTGAGAGGATATTGATGGGAGTTTTCTTTTGGGGATTGATAGCTGGTGAGGTTCTATTCGCCGAAGTACTCGTCACGCCAACAGGAGTGTCGAAAGGCTGCGGGTAAGTGACTTTTACAATGTCCCCATAATCATAACTGACGTCACATCAGCATTGTCGAATTTGCTTCGCCTGAAGATGCGCAACGCGCCATCCGCGAACTTTCCGAAGTGGCCATGCTCGGTCGCCCTGTCTTTATTCGAGAGGTACGACTCCCCTATCTGGTTGGTGTTATACCCACGCTGCAAAATAGGACCGGGAGAACGAATCGCGCTTCGGCGCCACGCCTGTCCCAGGCAAGATTGGAATGGCGATGGCAGGGCAAGGTTTGCATGCGCAGCCACCTCCGCGTCCACCCCATCATAACTATTTTGGGACTCACAACAACCCCGGCAATCAGCTGTATGTTGGTAATGTAGGTTTGTCTTTTTGTCGACTGTTATCTGTGCTGAATCATCGCAAAGCTACCGTATCAGGCTGGTTGGCAGGACCTCAAGGACTTATTCCGTTCGGCTGGTAATATTATTCGGGCTGATATTAACATTGGTGCCGATGGGCGTCCCAAGGGCTCCGGAACTGTAGTGTTTGAGACTGCAGCTGATGCTAAGCAAGCCATCGGTACTTGTATTCACATCTTTGTAGATGTCGACTAACCCGTCATGCAGGTATGTACCACGGCTTTGACTGGTATGGCCGGACACTCGAGGTTCGGGAGGTAAATTAGAAGTATTACTTTATCTCCGATATGATGCTGATGATCTTTTAGGATCGCTACGCGGGTCTTTCTGGCCCAGGCTCGTTCCGTGGCAGCCCTTTCCGTGGTGGCGGCTATGGTGGTCGTGGTCTGCGTGGTGGCTTCAGGGGTAGCGCCCGTGGCGGCTACCGCGGCGGGTTCGCACCCTCTGGTCCTGCTCGCGATTTCTCGAATCAGGACTTATACGCAGACTACTCTGGTCCTGACCAACCTGCTGCTCACGGTGGCCTGAGAATGGATGGCTACAGTAGCGGCTACGGGAGCGGCGGCTATGGCGTGCCAGGTAGTGGTGCCGGTGCCGGCGGTGGATACGATGCCGAGCCCAGCCAGCAAATCATGGTTCGCAATGTGAGTGATTTTGAGATTGTTCTCTTTGAACAGGATGTTTTATAAGCATGTCAGCTTCCTTGGTCTACCGCAAATGAAGATCTTGTCGAGTTATTTGAGACTACCGGGCAGGTTGAACTCGCTGAAATCCTTTTCGATGGCGCTAGATCCAAGGGATGTGGTGTTGTTCAGTTTGCTCAGGTCCCAGAGGCAGAGACGGCTATTGGTGAGCAACCTTTGTTTTGATTTCTATAGATCGTACGCTAACGTGTCCTTGCAGCAAAATTCCAGCAGTACATGTATGGTGGACGCCCTCTCGATGTGCGGTTCAACGATCGATGGCATACATTTACACCTACTGCAGCCAAGGGCGGCCAGGTGATGCCCATGCAGGCGGAGTGATATTTCTGTACCCTTGCCACCTGTTCTCTCGACATTTGAACCCTGACCGCGTCCAGGTCGATAAAAAAATATTGTGAATCATCGTTAAATTTTGTCCCTTCCAAGGTTGATTTGTTTTTAATTAATCGTAAAGTTGAATGTGCGTATGCTTGCAATGAATTATTGTTTGACAAGACCTGTGCGCTTGAATTGTTTTTACTGTCCATTAGTACATATCATACTATCTTTCACAACTGGCCGATAGGGACACCATCCTAAACCTCGATGACCTCGAGCTCCTATAGACTAAGAATCAGTTTGACTTGAGACAGGAAAAAACTTGCACTTGCCGTATTGGTATGATGTTCCCGCTACCTCTTTAGTGGGTCTTATAGCTTGCTAATTTCACCGTTTTGCTGTAGATTCGTCAGATTTTGGCGACCCTATTTTTTGGGCTTTACATGGTACACCGCCAACCGAAAAAAGCATAGAATCTATGCCCAAAAACAGGGTTATAGAACTTATATTGGTCCGATCTCGACACAACAAATCTCGTCACGTACATTATATATAATTATATAATACATATTTGTTGGACCCATAGGCTGATATAATGTCAATGATGCGGGATCATAACAGCGATGCTTGTGGGGTGTAAATTCATCGGCTGGTTTTGGGTGCACATTATGTACTGAGACCGAGTACCGGAACTATCCTAGTTGACAAACATAGATCATATACTGAGACCTAGGCGTTGGTAATATACTGGTTGACCAGTGTACAAGCTATACATTTCCGGCATATGCACGACACTGGAACATATATAGAGTATATACTTATTGATATGCTGAATGAGTACTGCCTGATTTTTTTTTGCACTGATATTGCACCATTGGGGATCACAGAGAGCACAATAATGGGATCATGGAAAGCACGACAACTGTATTATTCATGTATCAAATGACTACTGGTAAGCTCGAGTATTAAAATGAAGGATGGGGTTGGAGGGGGTGGTGAAAACGAATGAAAGTATAACTCTTTGGAATTACCAAATGAGTCCAGTCTGAATAGCGGTCTGCCAGCGTGGGTTGGTCTTCGAAATTAGCTTTGAGACCTTCTTGCCACCAGGAAACTCGGCGAGATCAGCTTGAAAGATCTCGATGAACAACCTAACGAAAAATCAGTCTGTATAATGGCACTGGCTAATGAATACATACTTCTGCAACTCCTTATCCTGCTCGGTGACGATTGGGGAGGATTCAACGGATATCTTGCGCATAATTGAGAGTGAGTGGTCGACAAAGTTCCAGAACTTAGTGGTACTGTTGTACCGCACTGCCATGCCTTCCGCAAGTCTGAATCCAGAGTCAAGCGGGTTGTCGAGTAAGACCACGCTGTTTGCACCGCTGCTCACATCTGACTCCTCATCCTCTCCATTGGCATCCTGCTGCATTCCACTTTCGTCTGCAAACTGTTCGACATTCACGTCAATGTCCCTCCTGGCACTGGGCGCGTGATTGGTATTGACTTGAGTTTCCGTGGGGGTTTGACTTGGATTGACATCAGTCTCAGGCACATCATCGAAATCACCCTCGAATATGTCTCTCTCAAGCTGTTTGACGTCAATATCAAGCTCACGTGCGACTTTGTCCCGTAAATCCTGCTTGAGCGATGGAATAAGGTAAGGGGAAAATAAATACTTGATGGAAGCAGTTTTATAATCGCTGACACTGATGAGAAAAATCCGCAGGAGACGCCGCTGTCCTCATACTAATTAATATTGATATTAAGCTACAGATAGTAAGACTTACGAGCAGTGCGATCCTGTTCCAATGAGTAGAATCAACCTCCATGCCAGACCTGCTACGCGCAAGTGACCTGGTCACATCAGCAATGCTTGTGCATTTGACAATTGATGTAGTGAGCTGCGCAGTAATCATACCATGATTGAAGTTGTGTCAACAAATAGAGCGAGACTTACGGTGGTTTTGATGGAACTGCGAATATTTGTGAGTAGCTTCGTGACCACCTTGCCCAGTTGAGATCTGAGCTCAACGTCCTCGAGAAGTCCAGGGGGAATTTTGAAGATGTCCCTATTCTTGCCGATAAAGTCCTGAAATTTGTTAGCTTTCATTCAGAATAGTGAATACTAAAGCCCGACCATTATATGAGACTGCGTGTCAGTGACATACGCTGTGAGATTTGGCGAGAGTATACAAGCAAACAAGCGGTTGTAAAGTCCATTCTGTGAGTCCAGTTTAGCATATAACCATGCAGAAAGCAAAATACTGTGTCGTTACCTCGAAGTCTTTTGATTCCAGTGCATCCTTTAATTCCTGCAATCTCCTGGCCTTGTTTCCCTGACAAAGTTTGACGAGGGTGATCTTCAAGTCTATGAGCATATAGAAAATGTCGCCAGACTGCATCGAGTGAGCCAACATGATAAACGAATAATTCAATGAGAACTTAGTACATTGATGAAAGTCATAACGTCTTCCTCTGGAACATCATTTTCTTCACAAGCCTTCTTCGCATGCATTTTCAAGTGTTTCGCACGTTGAGGCGTGAGCTTGGTGGGATCACCATGGTTGGGAGGTCCGCTGTCCCTGCGTCGATGAATTCCTGCGCTGATTGGCTTGTCAAGTGATGACGTTGGGCTGGAGGGCGGTTGGACTCCAAGTTCAGGTATATCTAGGGCCTCGCTGCTGGTGGAGGTAGAACTTTGGGGGCATGAAATGTCTGCGAAGTGCGCCATTAAATTGAACAATAACTTGTATCAGAAGACTTACTTCTATGTCCTCTTGGATCAGACGTGATACTTCTATTCCTTACGGATCCTGCCTGTGAAGTTCCTGTGTTCGACCATGGCCTCAACGACTGGGCTCCCTGTGAAGGTAATCCCAAATTTTGGCCACCACTGGAGGACACGCGCAGACGATATCCGCGTTGAAACATTGCCACAAGCACCAAAGTTGCTCACCGTGAGTGGCTGCTTGCCAAGGTTTGTCCCGAGGCACTCTGAGCTGGGTGACTGAATTGAACACATTGTCGGCAATAGGAATTTGAACCTTATTTGGTTGTTGTTCGAGTGTTGACGAAAATTTGGGGACTCTTGATGTGTTCTGGGCAGAAGTAAAAATCATGCGGCATTGTTGTATTTGTGTTGGTATATGTAAGGTGTCTGCAATTCTGCGGAAGTACATAGAAATTGGACCGTTCAATGATGCCACCACACTGAGGACGGTTAACCCCGAACGTTGGAGGAAAAATTTCAAAGACAAACACTCGAACGTTGGAGGAAAAATTTCAAGGACAAACACTCGAACGTTGAAGGAAAAACTTCAAAGACAAACACGCGAATTTGTCCAAGAAGATGCATTTCATGTGAGTGGTCTAATACTGTCTTCTGAACTGGTCTTGATGCGATGGATGTGGGGCTTGAGGGTTCCATATGTGCGGTGTCATCACTGGCGAAAAAGGTTGCAAGGGTGGCTGCCCCAGGTGAGATAATTGTCGTAGATAATCTGAATGGAGGGGCGGGGGATGGTGGTACTGTGGCTGAGGGATGGAAGCCGAAGGAGAATGTACGGGCAGTAGTTGCTGTGATGGTACCATGATGGGAGGTGAATGTAACGAAGGGAGAGGTCTAGATGGACTGAACGTGGGAGATGATTGCCACGTCAGTACCATTGGGGGCGGGTGCAACAGGTGATGGGAAGGGGGAACTCTAGACGAAGGAATAGGAGATTGTTGCCACTGTAATGGTACCATTGAGGGCAGGTGCATCGAAGGCATGGGTGCCGATGATGATGATACATGGGAAGATCTGCTGGTGACTGGCACCATGGGGGGTATTGGGAGCTGGGAACTTGAAGATGCAACTGACTGTGTGATCGCGGGGCGTCGTGGATTTGCACGTGGACGAGGTGCCTTCTCCTTTGCTTTCTGCATTGGCTTTGCCTTGCTTGCTGCCTTTGCTGCTGGGTGGTCAAACACTGCAGGAACTCTAGCCACACCATTGGGTGGTGCGCTCGCAGATGCAGCACCAGGTGTTTCGCCTGCTTTCCTCGCTGCTTTCTTCTCCCGGATTTGATGAGCTGCTGCAAGACGAACATCTGCCACATTAGTGACCCTCAATGGTGTCTCATGGAGAGACTGAGGGATTACAGATTGAATCTGGGCGTAATTGTGAATTGAATATGCGTTGAGAAGGTAAAATGGTGAGGGTTGGTGCTGAACGACAGGCCTTGTGTGCGCAGTCTCGGTTCGTTCTTGAAGGACACAGCGTTGACTAACATCCATGCACTGTGCTTTGACGCAGTCATGCTGGATATTTACAATACAAATAATGTCCTAGATTCATCGTGTACATATGATAAAGACTCTGAATTGGAGAGAAGTTCAAACTTACTTGTGGGCTAACAACAATCTCATGGTCTGTGAGCTCAAGAGCGGGGAAGTGAAGCGAGGGATGTAAAGTAGGTCCGAAAGTAAATTTCTGAATGGCGACATGCTGCACATCCCGGCAAAGATTTGATATCAGAATCTCGCAAACACGTCCAATTCCTGAGGAAGACGTCAAGGAGTCATTAAATATAACGTGTCCACCTAAGGATGCCTTCTCGCCATTGCTAATGACTAAAGAGATTCCATGACGGTATTGAACAGTGGCAGGTTGCAGAAGATCGAGCACCTTTGCGCAGCGTGTTGCTGTCCATGATACAGGCTTTTCTACAACAAACTGTCCACCTACAGCGGCAACTTTCTTGAGTTGACCAGTTCCTTTTGAGTGACAGAAGTTACAATTGAACTGATATCGAAGGAGCACGCTACCTGTTATAGGAGATGTTTCCATATGAATTCCCAAAAGCCGCACTTGTTCTGGATGCTCATCAATGTAGCTTAACACCTTGTCACCTGCCTGAACCCACTTTTTACTGGCAGTATCAAACCAGTAGCCACCCGTAGCAATGTGCTTGATAATATCTTGTCTCGCGAAGGTTCTGCACGTATCTTGACTTGGTCCTTGTCGATTGCTGTGAATACATGCAAGCCGGAAAACATGATTAAAAGACTCGTATCATTCAGTGGAAAAGAGAATTGCAGGTCCGAAGCGTCGGATGTATGCAGGAAGATGAACCAAGAAATGAAACTTCGGTTTTGAGATAAGGATACTAGGTGCACATTGAGCCGTAACGTTGAGGAAATCTTCGATGGTCCGGGAAAGCTTGGCCTGTGAGTTGATCAGCATTGGAACAGCATCGGCAGCTCGTCATCGTACCAAGTATATTTCTGTATCATCTATCTTGGTGTGCCAAATATGCACAATGAGCTCGCCAGTACCGTTCTTGGCAACAGATCTTGAATGAGAAATGGCATTACCTGAGCTAAACTCTTGAAATGTTTCCCAATGAGACTGCCTTTGTAGTGGCAAATGTAATCAGCGTTGAGACATGGAGAGTCAAGTCCATCCTTTGCGATCGAGTCGCGTTTGAAAAAGATCCAAAAGCTTCGCCTTCTTGAGAAGATACACGGTCTGACCCAAAAAATACTTTACAACCCCCAATAGCACTGTGTGGAGTATTTCCATTGGCGTGTCTTGATGAACATTGAATCCTGACGAAGATCAGTGTGCAGACAGCAACACGAATTCAATACTCACCCTCCACGCCGAGTAAAGGATTTATTGTGTCATTGAGTGTGCTCCCTCATAAGAGATCTTCGAGTTCCTTGTTTAAAATTGCCTTGACGTCACTCTCCTGTTTTGGCTGGACACCAGCCACCCGTTTGCACAGTTTCTTTCCCATCTCAACAACTGCCTCGAGAATGTAGCCTGTTGTAGTATCTTTTATACCTGTTGAAGAGACAGATTTCTTGATTTTCTCAGAAGCGCCTGAATCGAGTGCAGTGACGAATTGAGCACGAATCTCAGCTGCTGTTCCAGCAGGAGTACGAAGTTGTCCTGGCTACAATTAAGAGTCAATATTGCGAGGGGTAGGGCAGGAACATCTCACATACCACAAAAATGCTGTTGTAGCCCTCATCCGACTCCTTATACTCCTTTGTTCCACCAACTTCGCATGTCCGACAAAAGTAGTTACAATGTAAGCCTGCGTGACTACACTCCTCAGCATGCATAGGGTTGTCGCCACCGAGAAAGAGACCATATGGATCCAGCATGACTTCTTCGTTGTCTTTGCAGTCCCAAGCGAAGATCCCAGATTCTGCAGCCTTCCTATGATTGCAGGTCATATTGTACTGTAGTAAATATTACTGTATCACGTACCCAATTGAGTCTTGCATGGCACTCATCATCTCCATGGGAGCTGCATGAGGAGAGGACGTGACGAAATGAATACAAAACTCTTTCTCCAGCATTTCGCGAGGGAGATTCGCATTTGACATATATATCGCATGGTGCTTGTTCCACTGTTTGGAGATATTCCCTGACACGTCATCCATAAAAATAATGAGAGGGACAGCGTATACCATACGACCTCGAGATTTTGCGCGCAACGGATTTGGTTCGAGTTTGGCGTATTTCTTCGATGACTCTGTCAGCCCGCACGCAAGTTCATTGACATCAAGAGATATCTCTCTGAATGACCTCCTAAAGTTAGATGTTGGGATGATTTCTTGTTCGTCGCTGATAATGAACCCTTCCTATGCGTATTATCAGCAAGGTTAGTTAAGACACATAGACGATGGGATTACCTCCGTTCGTTGTACAGCACGCCCTAGCGCATATAACAGCTTGTCTGCTGTATCACTCGTTGGCTCAGATGCATATGATGCGAAAAAAAAATGTTCGGGAATAAAATAATCTCCCGAGCTATCCTGCAAGAGCTCCTTGATGAAGTATATCTCCCCATTGACTTTAGCTGCCGGGGGCGAAGGAAGCTCAAATAACATCTTCTCCCCATTGAACACCTGGGACATTCCTCTTCCTCCATCTTCCGGGTAATCCTGCATCGCAAAATGAGTCAGAGGGTTGGCATAGTCCTCAATAGAAAATTAGAAGTCAGTATGAGAGATGCGCACAAGCGCGCAAGATTCCACATACCTTTGCAACTGCTTTCCCGACGTCGTTGAAATAGAATATGTTCCCTGAACGAGCAGTGACCTTTTCTGTCGGATTCCCGACAAGCGTTTGGATAGTCTCTTGGAAGTGGTTCAAGGCGTACAGTGAGGGAACATCACGAGCACCGAGTTCCTTTGCCCAAGATAAAATCGCCTTCTTCTGCGCCTCAGAAAACAGAAGCCTTGGAGAACTGAATAGTAGCGCAGTGATGAAATGCTTAAATGAGATGTCAGCGTAAGGAATACAAGACAGCTGTCGACATACAGCTTTTGACGGCCATGGGTACATTGGATGGTCGGGCGATACTGGACTGTTGAGATTAACATGACTCTTGGTGGTTAATGGACAGTCATCTGATAATTGAAATAAGTCTCGTTCAAAGTCATGAAGTAGTGCATTACCTTCAAGTTCAATGCCAAAATTTGATTCCATCTCGTCATTGAAGCCAACCTCTTCGGTCATGGGTGCGAGCGGCATAGAAAAAAGAGATTCACCAGAAGTGAGAGCACACTGCAGTTCGTCGAATAAATCCCTCGTTTCGTTGAGTTCTGAGTTGTAGAAACGGCTGCTTGATATTGCGTTCCAGAGTTCAGAGATGGGTACGACTGGTTCCGAGTCTGAACCAATTGGTACATTGTGGTCCGGTGCAGGAGTACCAGGGTCGTCTATATTGATGTCCATACCACTTGAGATGGTAAATTCCATGTTGTCGTTGTTGTCCTTACTGCCGGCGCACAAAAGGTTATGAAGGTGGTACTGCTTTGGAGGATGGACTTTTGAAGGCAGTGGATTGTTGGCACAACGTTTGTGTGTTGCCATTGTAGAATGTTTCTGGACATGTTTGATATGCATTGTACGCAAAGATCCATCAGCGCGCGTCGGACAGACATTGCACACAACTTCAGATGGACAATGAAACTCAAAGACTACATCATGTGTCAGCACATCACATTAATATCGAGCATGAAACATACTTTTACCGTCGACAAGCTTCAGCGATGCCAGACTCATGCTGATGTGCTTTTCGAGTGATTGTAGCACAATGAAAGACTTGGTGCTTTGGAGGCGGCGAAAATCACGTGATCCAACCTCTGCATCAATGGTGAGGGAGGACAAGAAAAATGTTATGCCCGCACCTCCCAGCCGCGAGGCGTGCGTATAAATAGATTCAGAATGTGTCCTGTAAAGTAGCAGATGATATGTAGAAGGGAATAGAGAACCTGCTCCTGAATATATAGACCTTATAGGGGGCAAAGATAAGGTGGAGTAGCGAAGGGAGTGAGTGATATGTAGAAGGGAATATGATAAAGAACCCGCTCCTGAGTAGAGAGATGTGGGCGGCGAAGGTAGGATTGATGGATAGGAAGTGGCAGATTATATGTAGAAGGGAATATGATAAAGAACCTGCTCCTGAGTAGAGAGATGTGGGCGGCGAAGGTGGGATGGATGGATAGGAAGTAGCAGATGATATGTAGAAGGGAATATGATAAAGAACCAGCTCTTGAGTAGGGATATGTGCGCAGTAAAGATAGTAAGTAAGTAGCAGATGATATGTAGAAGGGAATATGATAAATAACCTGGTCCTGAGTATTAAGTGTTCGCATTGGGGCGGATGGATGGAGAAGAGCGGGTGACACTCCTGAGGCCTGAGTGCTGCGCTGAGGGGCGGCAAAGTAATAGTAGGGTGGTAATGGCGAAGAAAATGCTTCTTGATAGTCCGTGGATAGAGGAAATGCCACGCCGTGCATGAGATAGACCAAGAGTGAAGAGAAAGACAGGTAGCAGAGGAGCAGATGCATACAATATGTGGAAGGGAAATTCAAGACAGCTCCGAGTCCTTCATAAGCACTGAGATGAGGGGATGTATTATGACTTGAGTCTGGGTGCGAGTAGACTTTCCGACACCAGAGTCAACGCCAGCGCAGGACGCAGTGTGCAGGCCAGCTGTGAAATTTTGCAAGTGGAGTGATGATCCGTGCTAGCGATCCAATAAAGGGTTTGTTGAAAACACGTGACTCGTATTATTCTTCCAAATTTCTTCCAAGTTCAATGCCAAGCACAATGCAACCAATGTCAAGCACCAGGGCACTTGGACCTCACGAATTTTCAACTTCCACCTTCTGTCCAGGATTTCTGCGAGCCGAATCAGAAGACGTACTCTTGCAACCTTTCTCAGTCTCAGTATGGTTTTCCGGTGCGATTCCTCGACACCTCGCTCACTCAAACATTGTATGTCGCCCAATATTTCTACATATAACCACTACTTATATCAATGGGTATTTAGCCCATTAAAATCAGTGTATCCCTGAATGAAGAGTATCAATTATTCACAGTACCTGTGATTGAGATAGCATCTAAGCGCTCCAGGGAACCTTCTAACAATGTAAGTAATTTACGTTGATTTTTTGCGCCATGGCTGACCTTGGTGCATATGAAGTCCGTAGCTTCCAGTCAATATGAACCCTTCTCCGCATCTGATGGCGACACGTCCATTCCATTCCTCCCCTTACCATCGACATTCAATCATATGGACTCCGACCACTGGGCAGAACTCTCCAGCACTATACAGTCGTGGCTTGTGACGTTAGCAGATACAGTGACGCCTGAATGGACTTGGGGTCGTGATGCGTTCTGGTATGCATTCGTTGCTGCCAATCCCGACTTCCCCAATGGCAAGTGGGCTTTCTGGAATCCCAGTATCCCCCTTGAGGGTCAATTCATCGAGGAGTGGGTGGGGGGTGACATCAATTTGGCTGCTGAAGATGCTGATGACGAGCTCGCTACCCCTTTGACGCACGATGACACCCTGGACTTCATATGGACAGAGTTCTCCAAACACATTGTGCTCTTTTACCCTTGTCCTTTGATTTCTGTTACATAGTTAGTTTTTTTCCCTGGAATGGGCATGTTGTATCATTGCATATCTGTATATATTATCATGCCAATCTGCAATACAATTTCGTTTTATGTTCTGTTCTATTTGTGATTTGAACGCGAAGTGTGCAATTCAACGCATGCTGAGTACTCAGTGAGTGTTGATGATGTGCTATACTTATTGTGCTGTATGGTAGTACTACTTGTCATATGTATATCCTATATCTTTCATCGTAGGTTGTACCGAAACAAAGGTGTCGTTATAGATCCCGTACTTGCCGTGTGCCTCTCCTGTACTTTGGGTATATAGATCCTATACCTTGGTTCGTGTGCCACCAGTTTGTTGGTATTGTTGCTGTGCCGATACTTCGCTCCCAGTACGGAAATAGAGCTATTTCACATGCTCATTCAGTGCGCGTCCAGGCTCTGGTCAATATTCTGAACTAGACCTCTTATGGTGACTGGATGTTGGATAATTTTCAAATAACTGTATTATTTATAAGAAATATGCTGTTTATGTACAGGGTTCTAGCTTTATCATACACATCTAAATCATTTTTCGTCAATTACACAACATGTGAATTTGACAGTTGGTGGTGTACACAAAATCGTCAGTCATGAGAGAACGGCCATTGTAGGAGGCTGTGAGAATTTTGGAAAACCGCGAACCTAAATCAGAATGGCCGAGCGAGCGAGCGATAGAAGAAACAACAGAAGAATGAGAATCAAACGTCAAAGACGACGGATACAGGCAGACAAGCGATGAACGAGCTCATGGTGGTAGCTAAAGAAAAGGAGCGTAAGAAAGGAGACCATAGCCGTCATAAGGCGAGACCAGATATAGAAAGCGATCGATCAACAACAGCTAATTACACCACCAACTGTCAAATTCACATGTTGTGTAATTGACGAAAAATGATTTAGATGTGTATGATAAAGCTAGAACCCTGTACATAAACAGCATATTTCTTATAAATAATACAGTTATTTGAAAATTATCCAACATCCAGTCACCATAAGAGGTCTAGTTCAGAATATTGACCAGAGCCTGGACGCGCACTGAATGAGCATGTGAAATAGCTCTATTTCCGTACTGGGAGCGAAGTATCGGCACAGCAACAATACCAACAAACTGGTGGCACACGAACCAAGGTATAGGATCTATATACCCAAAGTACAGGAGAGGCACACGGCAAGTACGGGATCTATAACGACACCTTTGTTTCGGTACAACCTACGATGAAAGATATAGGATATACATATGACAAGTAGTACTACCATACAGCACAATAAGTATAGCACATCATCAACACTCACTGAGTACTCAGCATGCGTTGAATTGCACACTTCGCGTTCAAATCACAAATAGAACAGAACATAAAACGAAATTGTATTGCAGATTGGCATGATAATATATACAGATATGCAATGATACAACATGCCCATTCCAGGGAAAAAAACTAACTATGTAACAGAAATCAAAGGACAAGGGTAAAAGAGCACAATGTGTTTGGAGAACTCTGTCCATATGAAGTCCAGGGTGTCATCGTGCGTCAAAGGGGTAGCGAGCTCGTCATCAGCATCTTCAGCAGCCAAATTGATGTCACCCCCCACCCACTCCTCGATGAATTGACCCTCAAGGGGGATACTGGGATTCCAGAAAGCCCACTTGCCATTGGGGAAGTCGGGATTGGCAGCAACGAATGCATACCAGAACGCATCACGACCCCAAGTCCATTCAGGCGTCACTGTATCTGCTAACGTCACAAGCCACGACTGTATAGTGCTGGAGAGTTCTGCCCAGTGGTCGGAGTCCATATGATTGAATGTCGATGGTAAGGGGAGGAATGGAATGGACGTGTCGCCATCAGATGCGGAGAAGGGTTCATATTGACTGGAAGCTACGGACTTCATATGCACCAAGGTCAGCCATGGCGCAAAAAATCAACGTAAATTACTTACATTGTTAGAAGGTTCCCTGGAGCGCTTAGATGCTATCTCAATCACAGGTACTGTGAATAATTGATACTCTTCATTCAGGGATACACTGATTTTAATGGGCTAAATACCCATTGATATAAGTAGTGGTTATATGTAGAAATATTGGGCGACATACAATGTTTGAGTGAGCGAGGTGTCGAGGAATCGCACCGGAAAACCATACTGAGACTGAGAAAGGTTGCAAGAGTACGTCTTCTGATTCGGCTCGCAGAAATCCTGGACAGAAGGTGGAAGTTGAAAATTCGTGAGGTCCAAGTGCCCTGGTGCTTGACATTGGTTGCATTGTGCTTGGCATTGAACTTGGAAGAAATTTGGAAGAATAATACGAGTCACGTGTTTTCAACAAACCCTTTATTGGATCGCTAGCACGGATCATCACTCCACTTGCAAAATTTCACAGCTGGCCTGCACACTGCGTCCTGCGCTGGCGTTGACTCTGGTGTCGGAAAGTCTACTCGCACCCAGACTCAAGTCATAATACATCCCCTCATCTCAGTGCTTATGAAGGACTCGGAGCTGTCTTGAATTTCCCTTCCACATATTGTATGCATCTGCTCCTCTGCTACCTGTCTTTCTCTTCACTCTTGGTCTATCTCATGCACGGCGTGGCATTTCCTCTATCCACGGACTATCAAGAAGCATTTTCTTCGCCATTACCACCCTACTATTACTTTGCCGCCCCTCAGCGCAGCACTCAGGCCTCAGGAGTGTCACCCGCTCTTCTCCATCCATCCGCCCCAATGCGAACACTTAATACTCAGGACCAGGTTATTTATCATATTCCCTTCTACATATCATCTGCTACTTACTTACTATCTTTACTGCGCACATATCCCTACTCAAGAGCTGGTTCTTTATCATATTCCCTTCTACATATCATCTGCTACTTCCTATCCATCCATCCCACCTTCGCCGCCCACATCTCTCTACTCAGGAGCAGGTTCTTTATCATATTCCCTTCTACATATAATCTGCCACTTCCTATCCATCAATCCTACCTTCGCCGCCCACATCTCTCTACTCAGGAGCGGGTTCTTTATCATATTCCCTTCTACATATCACTCACTCCCTTCGCTACTCCACCTTATCTTTGCCCCCTATAAGGTCTATATATTCAGGAGCAGGTTCTCTATTCCCTTCTACATATCATCTGCTACTTTACAGGACACATTCTGAATCTATTTATACGCACGCCTCGCGGCTGGGAGGTGCGGGCATAACATTTTTCTTGTCCTCCCTCACCATTGATGCAGAGGTTGGATCACGTGATTTTCGCCGCCTCCAAAGCACCAAGTCTTTCATTGTGCTACAATCACTCGAAAAGCACATCAGCATGAGTCTGGCATCGCTGAAGCTTGTCGACGGTAAAAGTATGTTTCATGCTCGATATTAATGTGATGTGCTGACACATGATGTAGTCTTTGAGTTTCATTGTCCATCTGAAGTTGTGTGCAATGTCTGTCCGACGCGCGCTGATGGATCTTTGCGTACAATGCATATCAAACATGTCCAGAAACATTCTACAATGGCAACACACAAACGTTGTGCCAACAATCCACTGCCTTCAAAAGTCCATCCTCCAAAGCAGTACCACCTTCATAACCTTTTGTGCGCCGGCAGTAAGGACAACAACGACAACATGGAATTTACCATCTCAAGTGGTATGGACATCAATATAGACGACCCTGGTACTCCTGCACCGGACCACAATGTACCAATTGGTTCAGACTCGGAACCAGTCGTACCCATCTCTGAACTCTGGAACGCAATATCAAGCAGCCGTTTCTACAACTCAGAACTCAACGAAACGAGGGATTTATTCGACGAACTGCAGTGTGCTCTCACTTCTGGTGAATCTCTTTTTTCTATGCCGCTCGCACCCATGACCGAAGAGGTTGGCTTCAATGACGAGATGGAATCAAATTTTGGCATTGAACTTGAAGGTAATGCACTACTTCATGACTTTGAACGAGACTTATTTCAATTATCAGATGACTGTCCATTAACCACCAAGAGTCATGTTAATCTCAACAGTCCAGTATCGCCCGACCATCCAATGTACCCATGGCCGTCAAAAGCTGTATGTCGACAGCTGTCTTGTATTCCTTACGCTGACATCTCATTTAAGCATTTCATCACTGCGCTACTATTCAGTTCTCCAAGGCTTCTGTTTTCTGAGGCGCAGAAGAAGGCGATTTTATCTTGGGCAAAGGAACTCGGTGCTCGTGATGTTCCCTCACTGTACGCCTTGAACCACTTCCAAGAGACTATCCAAACGCTTGTCGGGAATCCGACAGAAAAGGTCACTGCTCGTTCAGGGAACATATTCTATTTCAACGACGTCGGGAAAGCAGTTGCAAAGGTATGTGGAATCTTGCGCGCTTGTGCGCATCTCTCATACTGACTTCTAATTTTCTATTGAGGACTATGCCAACCCTCTGACTCATTTTGCGATGCAGGATTACCCGGAAGATGGAGGAAGAGGAATGTCCCAGGTGTTCAATGGGGAGAAGATGTTATTTGAGCTTCCTTCGCCCCCGGCAGCTAAAGTCAATGGGGAGATATACTTCATCAAGGAGCTCTTGCAGGATAGCTCGGGAGATTATTTTATTCCCGAACATTTTTTTTTCGCATCATATGCATCTGAGCCAACGAGTGATACAGCAGACAAGCTGTTATATGCGCTAGGGCGTGCTGTACAACGAACGGAGGTAATCCCATCGTCTATGTGTCTTAACTAACCTTGCTGATAATACGCATAGGAAGGGTTCATTATCAGCGACGAACAAGAAATCATCCCAACATCTAACTTTAGGAGGTCATTCAGAGAGATATCTCTTGATGTCAATGAACTTGCGTGCGGGCTGACAGAGTCATCGAAGAAATACGCCAAACTCGAACCAAATCCGTTGCGCGCAAAATCTCGAGGTCGTATGGTATACGCTGTCCCTCTCATTATTTTTATGGATGACGTGTCAGGGAATATCTCCAAACAGTGGAACAAGCACCATGCGATATATATGTCAAATGCGAATCTCCCTCGCGAAATGCTGGAGAAAGAGTTTTGTATTCATTTCGTCACGTCCTCTCCTCATGCAGCTCCCATGGAGATGATGAGTGCCATGCAAGACTCAATTGGGTACGTGATACAGTAATATTTACTACAGTACAATATGACCTGCAATCATAGGAAGGCTGCAGAATCTGGGATCTTCGCTTGGGACTGCAAAGACAACGAAGAAGTCATGCTGGATCCATATGGTCTCTTTCTCGGTGGCGACAACCCTATGCATGCTGAGGAGTGTAGTCACGCAGGCTTACATTGTAACTACTTTTGTCGGACATGCGAAGTTGGTGGAACAAAGGAGTATAAGGAGTCGGATGAGGGCTACAACAGCATTTTTGTGGTATGTGAGATGTTCCTGCCCTACCCCTCGCAATATTGACTCTTAATTGTAGCCAGGACAACTTCGTACTCCTGCTGGAACAGCAGCTGAGATTCGTGCTCAATTCGTCACTGCACTCGATTCAGGCGCTTCTGAGAAAATCAAGAAATCTGTCTCTTCAACAGGTATAAAAGATACTACAACAGGCTACATTCTCGAGGCAGTTGTTGAGATGGGAAAGAAACTGTGCAAACGGGTGGCTGGTGTCCAGCCAAAACAGGAGAGTGACGTCAAGGCAATTTTAAACAAGGAACTCGAAGATCTCTTATGAGGGAGCACACTCAATGACACAATAAATCCTTTACTCGGCGTGGAGGGTGAGTATTGAATTCGTGTTGCTGTCTGCACACTGATCTTCGTCAGGATTCAATGTTCATCAAGACACGCCAATGGAAATACTCCACACAGTGCTATTGGGGGTTGTAAAGTATTTTTTGGGTCAGACCGTGTATCTTCTCAAGAAGGCGAAGCTTTTGGATCTTTTTCAAACGCGACTCGATCGCAAAGGATGGACTTGACTCTCCATGTCTCAACGCTGATTACATTTGCCACTACAAAGGCAGTCTCATTGGGAAACATTTCAAGAGTTTAGCTCAGGTAATGCCATTTCTCATTCAAGATCTGTTGCCAAGAACGGTACTGGCGAGCTCATTGTGCATATTTGGCACACCAAGATAGATGATACAGAAATATACTTGGTACGATGACGAGCTGCCGATGCTGTTCCAATGCTGATCAACTCACAGGCCAAGCTTTCCCGGACCATCGAAGATTTCCTCAACGTTACGGCTCAATGTGCACCTAGTATCCTTATCTCAAAACCGAAGTTTCATTTCTTGGTTCATCTTCCTGCATACATCCGACGCTTCGGACCTGCAATTCTCTTTTCCACTGAATGATACGAGTCTTTTAATCATGTTTTCCGGCTTGCATGTATTCACAGCAATCGACAAGGACCAAGTCAAGATACGTGCAGAACCTTCGCGAGACAAGATATTATCAAGCACATTGCTACGGGTGGCTACTGGTTTGATACTGCCAGTAAAAAGTGGGTTCAGGCAGGTGACAAGGTGTTAAGCTACATTGATGAGCATCCAGAACAAGTGCGGCTTTTGGGAATTCATATGGAAACATCTCCTATAACAGGTAGCGTGCTCCTTCGATATCAGTTCAATTGTAACTTCTGTCACTCAAAAGGAACTGGTCAACTCAAGAAAGTTGCCGCTGTAGGTGGACAGTTTGTTGTAGAAAAGCCTGTATCATGGACAGCAACACGCTGCGCAAAGGTGCTCGATCTTCTGCAACCTGCCACTGTTCAATACCGTCATGGAATCTCTTTAGTCATTAGCAATGGCGAGAAGGCATCCTTAGGTGGACACGTTATATTTAATGACTCCTTGACGTCTTCCTCAGGAATTGGACGTGTTTGCGAGATTCTGATATCAAATCTTTGCCGGGATGTGCAGCATGTCGCCATTCAGAAATTTACTTTCGGACCTACTTTACATCCCTCGCTTCACTTCCCCGCTCTTGAGCTCACAGACCATGAGATTGTTGTTAGCCCACAAGTAAGTTTGAACTTCTCTCCAATTCAGAGTCTTTATCATATGTACACGATGAATCTAGGACATTATTTGTATTGTAAATATCCAGCATGACTGCGTCAAAGCACAGTGCATGGATGTTAGTCAACGCTGTGTCCTTCAAGAACGAACCGAGACTGCGCACACAAGGCCTGTCGTTCAGCACCAACCCTCACCATTTTACCTTCTCAACGCATATTCAATTCACAATTACGCCCAGATTCAATCTGTAATCCCTCAGTCTCTCCATGAGACACCATTGAGGGTCACTAATGTGGCAGATGTTCGTCTTGCAGCAGCTCATCAAATCCGGGAGAAGAAAGCAGCGAGGAAAGCAGGCGAAACACCTGGTGCTGCATCTGCGAGCGCACCACCCAATGGTGTGGCTAGAGTTCCTGCAGTGTTTGACCACCCAGCAGCAAAGGCAGCAAGCAAGGCAAAGCCAATGCAGAAAGCAAAGGAGAAGGCACCTCGTCCACGTGCAAATCCACGACGCCCCGCGATCACACAGTCAGTTGCATCTTCAAGTTCCCAGCTCCCAATACCCCCCATGGTGCCAGTCACCAGCAGATCTTCCCATGTATCATCATCATCGGCACCCATGCCTTCGATGCACCTGCCCTCAATGGTACCATTACAGTGGCAACAATCTCCTATTCCTTCGTCTAGAGTTCCCCCTTCCCATCACCTGTTGCACCCGCCCCCAATGGTACTGACGTGGCAATCATCTCCCACGTTCAGTCCATCTAGACCTCTCCCTTCGTTACATTCACCTCCCATCATGGTACCATCACAGCAACTACTGCCCGTACATTCTCCTTCGGCTTCCATCCCTCAGCCACAGTACCACCATCCCCCGCCCCTCCATTCAGATTATCTACGACAATTATCTCACCTGGGGCAGCCACCCTTGCAACCTTTTTCGCCAGTGATGACACCGCACATATGGAACCCTCAAGCCCCACATCCATCGCATCAAGACCAGTTCAGAAGACAGTATTAGACCACTCACATGAAATGCATCTTCTTGGACAAATTCGCGTGTTTGTCTTTGAAGTTTTTCCTTCAACGTTCGAGTGTTTGTCCTTGAAATTTTTCCTCCAACGTTCGAGTGTTTGTCTTTGAAATTTTTCCTCCAACGTTCGGGGTTAACCGTCCTCAGTGTGGTGGCATCATTGAACGGTCCAATTTCTATGTACTTCCGCAGAATTGCAGACACCTTACATATACCAACACAAATACAACAATGCCGCATGATTTTTACTTCTGCCCAGAACACATCAAGAGTCCCCAAATTTTCGTCAACACTCGAACAACAACCAAATAAGGTTCAAATTCCTATTGCCGACAATGTGTTCAATTCAGTCACCCAGCTCAGAGTGCCTCGGGACAAACCTTGGCAAGCAGCCACTCACGGTGAGCAACTTTGGTGCTTGTGGCAATGTTTCAACGCGGATATCGTCTGCGCGTGTCCTCCAGTGGTGGCCAAAATTTGGGATTACCTTCACAGGGAGCCCAGTCGTTGAGGCCATGGTCGAACACAGGAACTTCACAGGCAGGATCCGTAAGGAATAGAAGTATCACGTCTGATCCAAGAGGACATAGAAGTAAGTCTTCTGATACAAGTTATTGTTCAATTTAATGGCGCACTTCGCAGACATTTCATGCCCCCAAAGTTCTACCTCCACCAGCAGCGAGGCCCTAGATATACCTGAACTTGGAGTCCAACCGCCCTCCAGCCCAACGTCATCACTTGACAAGCCAATCAGCGCAGGAATTCATCGACGCAGGGACAGCGGACCTCCCAACCATGGTGATCCCACCAAGCTCACGCCTCAACGTGCGAAACACTTGAAAATGCATGCGAAGAAGGCTTGTGAAGAAAATGATGTTCCAGAGGAAGACGTTATGACTTTCATCAATGTACTAAGTTCTCATTGAATTATTCGTTTATCATGTTGGCTCACTCGATGCAGTCTGGCGACATTTTCTATATGCTCATAGACTTGAAGATCACCCTCGTCAAACTTTGTCAGGGAAACAAGGCCAGGAGATTGCAGGAATTAAAGGATGCACTGGAATCAAAAGACTTCGAGGTAACGACACAGTATTTTGCTTTCTGCATGGTTATATGCTAAACTGGACTCACAGAATGGACTTTACAACCGCTTGTTTGCTTGTATACTCTCGCCAAATCTCACAGCGTATGTCACTGACACGCAGTCTCATATAATGGTCGGGCTTTAGTATTCACTATTCTGAATGAAAGCTAACAAATTTCAGGACTTTATCGGCAAGAATAGGGACATCTTCAAAATTCCCCCTGGACTTCTCGAGGACGTTGAGCTCAGATCTCAACTGGGCAAGGTGGTCACGAAGCTACTCACAAATATTCGCAGTTCCATCAAAACCACCGTAAGTCTCGCTCTATTTGTTGACACAACTTCAATCATGGTATGATTACTGCGCAGCTCACTACATCAATTGTCAAATGCACAAGCATTGCTGATGTGACCAGGTCACTTGCGCGTAGCAGGTCTGGCATGGAGGTTGATTCTACTCATTGGAACAGGATCGCACTGCTCGTAAGTCTTACTATCTGTAGCTTAATATCAATATTAATTAGTATGAGGACAGCGGCGTCTCCTGCGGATTTTTCTCATCAGTGTCAGCGATTATAAAACTGCTTCCATCAAGTATTTATTTTCCCCTTACCTTATTCCATCGCTCAAGCAGGATTTACGGGACAAAGTCGCACGTGAGCTTGATATTGACGTCAAACAGCTTGAGAGAGACATATTCGAGGGTGATTTCGATGATGTGCCTGAGACTGATGTCAATCCAAGTCAAACCCCCACGGAAACTCAAGTCAATACCAATCACGCGCCCAGTGCCAGGAGGGACATTGACGTGAATGTCGAACAGTTTGCAGACGAAAGTGGAATGCAGCAGGATGCCAATGGAGAGGATGAGGAGTCAGATGTGAGCAGCGGTGCAAACAGCGTGGTCTTACTCGACAACCCGCTTGACTCTGGATTCAGACTTGCGGAAGGCATGGCAGTGCGGTACAACAGTACCACTAAGTTCTGGAACTTTGTCGACCACTCACTCTCAATTATGCGCAAGATATCCGTTGAATCCTCCCCAATCGTCACCGAGCAGGATAAGGAGTTGCAGAAGTATGTATTCATTAGCCAGTGCCATTATACAGACTGATTTTTCGTTAGGTTGTTCATCGAGATCTTTCAAGCTGATCTCGCCGAGTTTCCTGGTGGCAAGAAGGTCTCAAAGCTAATTTCGAAGACCAACCCACGCTGGCAGACCGCTATTCAGACTGGACTCATTTGGTAATTCCAAAGAGTTATACTTTCATTCGTTTTCACCACCCCCTCCAACCCCATCCTTCATTTTAATACTCGAGCTTACCAGTAGTCATTTGATACATGAATAATACAGTTGTCGTGCTTTCCATGATCCCATTATTGTGCTCTCTGTGATCCCCAATGGTGCAATATCAGTGCAAAAAAAAATCAGGCAGTACTCATTCAGCATATCAATAAGTATATACTCTATATATGTTCCAGTGTCGTGCATATGCCGGAAATGTATAGCTTGTACACTGGTCAACCAGTATATTACCAACGCCTAGGTCTCAGTATATGATCTATGTTTGTCAACTAGGATAGTTCCGGTACTCGGTCTCAGTACATAATGTGCACCCAAAACCAGCCGATGAATTTACACCCCACAAGCATCGCTGTTATGATCCCGCATCATTGACATTATATCAGCCTATGGGTCCAACAAATATGTATTATATAATTATATATAATGTACGTGACGAGATTTGTTGTGTCGAGATCGGACCAATATAAGTTCTATAACCCTGTTTTGGGCATAGATTCTATGCTTTTTTCGGTTGGCGGTGTATTTTGACCTCTGATGTTGTCGTTGGCATGAATTGTATTGCCGCATGGCGTGCCGTTGGTGGGGCACGAGATGCGCTCGCTGTCAACCCCTGTTCACTTTCTACTCCTATTTGTGATGGTTTTCCAGGTGAATTTTTATTTCTTTTGTTCATTGTTTTTGCGTATCTGCTTACATTGATTTGTTGTTTCAGACACGTCGTGTATCTTTGATCGTGATTCGGACCATATACAGTCTGTTCGATGTGATATTTTTGATTCATCTCAGTCAACGTCCCTCGGTGGGGCAGTTTTGTCATCTCGTCAACGCTCTGAGTCTATTCTAAACGATGTTTTTCTTGGGATCGTATTCCTCAGGCATTCGTTTCAGTCCTTTTTCGCCCGAAGTTGCACTGCTCAAAAAGGCGTGTCTTTTGCACGGTCTAGATTTTGATAAGTCTTGTTCGTTGACCGAGCTACGTAACTTACTGTTGAGACACTTACTTCATGGGCAGTGCGTTGCTTCGCATGCTCGGCCTAAGCATCGTGATCATACTGCTTGTTGGGAGATTGCTGCAAGTTTTAGATCGTCCTCTGATTTAGTCGCTTACTTATTGGACATGTTTGACTTCTGTGGATGTTTGCGCATTATCAGGTGGTCGATTGTGGATTATTGCCCAGAGTATCTGCAATGATCTAGAGCATGTAAATTGCCCCGAAGAGACATACAGACGAAAGGTTATTTGTATATTGAATATCTTTCTCAATCGTGGTATGTATGCGATGCGATAAATTGTTTGACATAATTGGATACCGCGAACTGCCGAGGACAGGTAGCGGGTTTTGCCACTTTAGCTGGCGCTATAGCTTATACGTATATCTCTGTCAACCCGCACTATGGGCTCTAGCAGGTAAGTACAAACAACTTGTCCGACACAACTCAACATAAGGCAATGACGTTGTTACCAACTTTCCTTCTAACTCTACAGTAGATGGCTCTGTTACCACTTGTCCTAGACCATGTCGGTGCTCAACAGCTAATGGCTGAAGTCCATCATATGTAACCTATACTCACGATGCCACTGTCTGCTCTTTCGACAGGGGTGACCTTCAAGACTCGACTCCCACCGACGCCAGGGCCCGTCCAGACCAACCTGTCATCATCGACCTCGAAAATGCGAGAATTTAGAGGGCCCCCAATATTTCCATGGTATTCTCGTCTCCATTCCTTTAAAGAGGTCGAGCTGGAAGAAAATACGGGTGGAGATGACAAACTGGAGAAGAGGAAAGGATGTGACCAGAAATAGCAATCGATGTGGAGGATCGGAGGTCCACATTCTTCGTTTGCTGCTTGTGAGATCGTCCTTTGAAGAGAAGCATTGTTCAAGCTCCACTCCTGCGGGAAACAGGAAACATGCCAGCAATTGCGGTGGCTGGGACATATCCTCGATTGAATAGAGCTTGAAATCGTTATCCGAGACGATTAGGAATCTGTGGCCTCCGAGGAAACAAAAATCAATTATGCCATAGTAATCCAACATAGTGCCACCAAGGACGCACTAAGCGGAATGTCAACAATTCCTCCAGCTACTTCTGACATGGCTCACTTACATCGGACATTGTGGAATATTGCCAGTCCCAAATCTGCAACCACCATTGGAGCCCATCACCCGAGTCGAATGCCAGGTAATGCCAGAGAGCGACATGCCTCCCCAGGCCCTTTAGCCCCCACAGTCCAATGTCGGGGTCAGGATGTGTAGCTTCAGAGGACATGATAAGCCTCTTCCCAGCAGCTTGGGGGTGAACGTCATCTCCATCCAAAGCTAAAAGGTTGATATAGACATTGGACCCATCGATGACATATGCGGCAGCAATCAGGTTTTGCTCTGGGTCCATGAATACATCGATTATTAGTGCGTTTGGAATTAAAAGCAGCGATTCTGGTGACCATTCACGGTCGATTGCTTGTTGTGAAGGTTCTGGTGCTACAGGAAAGATCTTGGCGAAGCCTTTATAACTAGGTTTGGCGTCGGTAGTGCAGAGGCAAATATGGCCTTCGGAGATAAATGTGTGCCTATTATAGAATGTTTTTGGTACAACGACTGTTTTGACAGGTCGAGTAGTCAAATTTGAACCATGCGCGGGCTTTGTCTCTCAGGAGCTGTAGGCGCTCTGAAATAGGAGTGTGGTTGTCTACTTGGAGAGTGACGGGGAGCAGTTGTTGACCACCGAGTTCAACGATGTACTGAAGCTCAGAAGACGACAAGTACGTCTGATAAAGGCTTTTGCATACCTGCATGATTGTCAGTACAAAAGTCCACTTAGGAGTATCGATAGCGACGAGTATAATGATGCTCACAGAAGCACACCGAAGAATGTCTCGGTGAGAAAGGAAGGTCAGGATGTAAGTGTGGAGATCTTCTGCAAGAGACAGAAACTGAGGCTTCATATTCTGGTTACGAGGGTGAAACTTCCAGGCCAGAGCCTTGGCAACAATATTAAATTATAAACCTAAAAACAATCCCCTATCCTACAAATTTGGCTTCGGAACCATATCAAAGGAGGAAAATAGCAGCAGCGATGAGTTCAAAATGCGGGAATGACCCTGTTCCCATTTCAAAACAGAGTACGAGCTATGCAGATGCCGACTCACAATGCTACTCCCTAATTCCCGTCGCAGCTTTGAATCTTTGCCGCATCTTGAAGCTTCCCCGAAGTTTGAACCTTACAATCGATGTTCTAGGATAGTCTCGCCGCAATACGCACCGTTGACAATATTTTGTCTACTTCACCTGCTGCCAGGATCGACGACAAATTGATGCCTACCTTCGTCTCGAATCAGGACGTACGCAAGGCGGAACAATAATCCAATTGATGAAACTACTTTGAGATGTTGGCAAAACAGTTCAATGGCGACTCTATTGATACAAGGATAAGTCATGGAGTTTAATCCCAGACTCAAAGCTGATGGATACTCACGTTTCATTCACAATCTAAGCCAGGGCAGCAGTCTATGTTTTGGACAATTGGGCTCGAGCCGCAAATTTCGGTAAGAGGTAGGTACGAGCTGGTTACTGCTCTGCCACCAGTGACGGACATAGATGTTGTCAAAGCAGCAAGGAGGAATGAAAAACGCACGCCTCTTGCTAGATGGGTCGAGGGATCCCAATCGATAGTTCTCTGTTCTCAGAGTCGACAGCTTGCTTATATATGGAAGCCCAAGCTCAATAGGTCCATCGGCCTGAATGGTTGTGGTTGGCAGATTTTCATAGGCAGAATCACATAGTCTGTGGAAAATCAACGTAGAACATGCAAACTGAAGGCGTATGAGTTGACCACAACCTCTAGATCCACGGTAGGAATGGCCTGACTAAGGAATGGTAGTTATTCGTGACTGAGACTACTTTCCCACAACATAGCCGCTGAGGTGAGGCTTCCAGGACGAGACACGTAATCGTCCAGCCTTATTTGGCAGGTTGTAATCAATTCAATGCACCCCTGGTTCTGGTAGAAACAATTTTCATTATGGTGAATTTCACTGATACTTCTGGAAGAGGAGAGAAAAAAACACGTCGAGAAGAATTACAACATGACACCATTCAGGACACACCTTATGTAGAAAGTCTTTTGTTTCTCACCTGTCCGTCGTCACGCTAGTGTTCTTTTGCTGAAAATGTTGCATATTACAGGGAATGATAGTACTAGACGCTGTGCGGCAGCAAGTTCCATCTACTTTGCACGACCCCAATATTAATCAATAGCAACTTTGGTCGCTTGTTTCGACAACCTCTCAAACCCAACTGTAGTAGACCACAAGCAAGATTAGGCCCAGTCGGTCATTTCAGATAAATTCAAACATCCTTGCCTGAGTAGTGCGAAATTTCATGATCCACTCGTTGGCTCTGAACTAGGCATTGCCACAGGTATCACCAGTCTAAGACGCGTAGGTGAGTTATGTGATTCTAGTTGCACAACGACTCGGATCTGCTCATACTCACGGGATGATAGGAACAAACTAAGGCATCGCAGCATTTGGGATGGTAAAAATCGCAAGGATCACCATAATTCAAACATGCATTGACAAGCATAGACACTGTGAAAGCAACAACAACGGTGAGGAGGGAGAAATGCATTTTCTGTGTGAGACAGTGATATGGAGTCTTCCGAGGATGAAGAAACATTATAGGACGACAGCAAGATTTTATATCCTGCATGTACTTATTGGAACGATTCTTATTACCATGTAATTTTGTCGCTACGCAGGGTCACTGTAGGTTCAAATGAGGAAGCGATGACTGAGAGGTTGGCTTATGGTAGTCAATTCGCACACCCCTGCGCTGGCAGGTTCTGCCACCTCACAGCAATAAGAATCCTCCGAGAATCGTGCCCATAAGTACATGCAGGATACAAAAGCTGGCCGTTGTCCTATAGTGCTTCTTCATCCTCAGAAGATTCCATATCACCTCCACAGAAAATGCGTTTCTCCCTCCTCACCGTTCTTGTTGCTTTGACGGTGTTTATGTTTGTCGGTGCAGTGTTCGACTGGAGTTTGCACTAAAGAATTTGCTACGGTGGTTGGTCTTGTAACGTTCTTGCAGTGCGTGTCTGGTCTTCATCAGTCTTCGTGTGCCTGGTGTCGTCCTTCTGCGTGGCATTTTCATCAGAACCTCGTTGTCATGTCCGTATCTTCGAATTCTTGTCCTGGCACGCAAACGTCCGCCTCTGGGCCATATCCGCACCAGCGGACCAGGTATTGACAGCCGCAGCCTCGTGCTCATTTGTCGAGTATTCTCTCTACTTCTCATTCTTCCGTTCCGGCTGCTGTCACCATTGGTCCTGAACGTTGAAGTTCATGTGATGGGAACAGCTCCGATTGTTTGGCACATGGCGCTTCAGTTCTGAAATATGAAATGTGGGAAACATGTTAGTATATTCTGTTAAATCTAGAGTGTAAGTTGACGACTCAGGGTTCGCAGACACTACGGCATATGGTCCATCGAACCGCGGCATAAACTTAGCCACCCTCTTGTTACTCGTGTCGTCGATGTGCTGTTAACAGATATACAAGATCACCTGTTTAAAACGAAGTTCATCAATTTGGTGTGCGTTTGCTGCGTTCGCCTGTGCTACCTTTGATGTCAGTAAGGCATCATGTGCTTCCGCGATGTCTGTCTTGAGCAATATGATCGCTTCGGGCGCATTCGTCGTGTCGACCAGAAAGTCATCGCGTGTCGCGTGTACGTTCTCCGGTGTCAGTGGTGGTATCAGGCGTGGTGGTCTGCCAAGGTTAGATGGAAGTGCGTATAACCTGTCGACGCGTTCTTTGTCGACCTCATTTTAGATCTGATATGCGGGAGTGCGTTTACCCATCCTGTTTGGTGTCTGTCGACGAAGAATCTGAGGGCCTGATTAATTGTTTTGTTAGTGCGTTTGCTAGACCCATCGGTCTGCGGATGGAATGCGGTTGACATTTTCAATTTCACCCCGGTCAGGTGGTGGAGTGCTTTCCAGAACTTACTTGTGAACAGGTTATCGCGATCGGATATAATGTTCAAAGGGAGGCCGTTTTCACAATACCAATGGCTGAGGAATAGATTGACGGCCTCGCGAGCGTTCATGTTCATTCGGCAGGATATTAACGGGATGTGGGCCTAGACGGTCCGTGCATCAGTGAACCGGGTGAGGAAAGTAGAAGACCATGTATTACCATATATAGTACATAATCATAAGCTCTTGGGAAACCCAGGTGGATACAACGCACCCCTGCCGTGGCAGGCTCTGTAGGGTTCGGGAGAAAACTCGTTGCTTATTAGCCGGGTGCTAATTAGCGAGATATTAGCAAGCTAATAACACGCTAATAATTCAATCCCAAAAATCACCATGCTAATAATGCTAAGAACTCCCCATGGCTGCCTGTGCGTCATATATCAGAGGTACATTGTCAATCAGGTGATTCAGGTCAGGAATCGTGTCGGAAGGCTAAATTCCTGACATATAATGAACTGGTTGCCATATATTTATTTCAAATTTTCTAATTGGTGCAAGCCTGCGCGTTCAATGATAATCCTTAGGTCCTAAGTTCGACGCCCAACTGTTTGGGTCCGGACCGAAAGTAGGCAAACGGCACCACGATACGAGGAACAGCTTGTTGTCGACCGAAAGTGCTGGAGGAGATGAAGAAATCGAAGATGATGAGTCCAGTTCTTGGTTGGACAATGCGGAAGAGAGTTTCACCGCATGCAATGATGCTGATTTCGACGTCGAATCTGAGATAGATCTCAGTGCAGAGAGATTGTTGGCTGTATTGGCGGAGGTAAGTCCTGGTGGCACACACAAAGACAAGGGAAAAGGCAAAGTCACAGCTGAGGCTGAGATCGAGGGGAATGATAACGTCGATAACGAGTGGCCGGAAGAATGGGATCCATGAGCGGCTAGCTAGGTCATTAGCAATGTTTTTGCCCGCTAAACACAACGTCACGTGACTTGCTAAAAAGTGGCTAATAATCCGCTAGTTAATAACTCCCCAAGAGCCGCCTGGCTAAAAAGCAGGCTAATAATTCGTCGATTAATTTTATCCCTAACCCTAAGGTTCTGGCAAAATTTTCTGTCATCTTGCAGCAATAAGGATCGTGCTAATAAGTACTTGCAGGATATAAAATCTTGTTGTCGTCCTATAATGTTTCTTCGTCCTCAGAATATTCCATATCACCTCGCACAGAATTCGTTTCTCCCTCACCGTTTTTGTTGCTTTGACAGTGTCTATGTTTGTCGGTGCATGTTCGAACGCGGGTCAAACTTGCACCAAAACTTCCGATTGCTGCACTTCTGACTTGTTTTGTTTCAAAGGTTCCTTGACTGTGAGTATGAGCAGATCGTTGTGCAACCAGTACCACAGGACTCACCTGCGCGTCTTAGAAAATTTTCATCTGTTTAGGGAACGGCTATGCACATCGAGCTGGTAGCCCGAGCGGCACGTCGCGACAGTGGTTGATGGTGCAAGATTTAGTTCAGAGCCAACGAGTAGACAACTTTCGCACTACTCGAGTAATGTGGATGTTTGGATTCATCTGAGATGGTCGACTGTGCCGAATATTTCTACTAAGCTTGAGTTTGAGAGGTGTACCATTATTCCCACTATGGCCGCTATTGGGGTCGACGGAACTTACTGCACAGCTCTTCAGTTGTCTATAGTACTATCATTCCCGATAATATTCAACAAATATTTTTAGCTCCTCAAAACCTCACCGTTTGTATTTGCCCCATCATACATGTTGGACTTCGCGCCTAAATTTGACTTCTACTACTACCATGGCATCCAGCAGTCATCCAGTCACGATCTCTCCCATCTTGGATCCATTTGGTTCTTTTCCTCTGCTGTGCATATCCTAATGCCAGTCGTCATTGATATTGCAGCATGTGAATACCTGTGATTTTTGTGGTCTCAAATTCTTTTGTTATCTCTTTGAATTCTTGGTGTCTTTCGCTAGTTCATCAATCTCCGTGTAAAAAGAGGTCCCACCCTCGACTTGGGTCAAAGTCGCATATATAAACTTTATATTGCAACGCTATGTCATATGCAGCTACAACAAGTTATACGATACGCGTTGCTCTACTGTGCCCTTCATTCCCCAGTGGAACTCGCGTGGTCACCCCAATCAACACCAAAGCCAAATATCACCCACGCTATGAGAACTACGGTAAACCCAGCCCCGAGCGCTACCCTGCGTGCATACAATGACACAGAACTTGCAACGGGTCTTTTCAACGCTTCTTCCTTCTGCTTCAGAGTCAGGCTCTTGTCCCTCGGGCCTTCTTCCATAACCGTATGCCGACGTAGCTCCCAAAGTCTCTCCACCTCGCTCTCTACATGTTTCGGGCGCACCTGCGAGAGCCGCACAGCAGGTAGATAGCGCTGTCCCAACGACGTGTAGCAGGCACCCAGGAGCGCGCCTGAGATGAGCACAGAGACAAACGCGTATGCAAGCCAGACCGTCACAGCATCCACGAGGGTGTCATTGGGGGATTGGTCTTGGATCTTCCCCGTTGCTATCACGATGATGATCACAGAGCCCTGAATAATCGACTCTGTAATACACGAAGGTGAGTATTCTTCCCTCTCAAGAATAACTATGCATACTCTTGATTGCGAAGCTGGAAATCGTGTCAGAAAGGGAAGCACAATATATTTGTCGAGGGACTCACGCTGTCGCGTAGTAATGAGGATCAGGTATGATGCTGCGTACGATCTCTACTTGTGGAGCTGAGGTGATGCTCTGCAAGATAATGTTAAAGCCCGAAATATTTAAAGGGCATCTGGATACACGCACCCCAGCAATTGCATAAAATACATATCCACAGACTAAGTCAAGTTTAGTATGCCATCTACTTGAATCAAATCTGACTCACTGAATGTCGGTACTGTCTGCGAAAATCTTAACAGGAGCATGGAGATGAGGAACATACACGCCGAAATAAACACTGGCCTTGCGATCAGTTTCTGCATTACTCAAACGATATAATGCTCACAAATCGTTATACGACGCCCATATGCATCAATGAACATGCCCAAGAAAGGGGTAAGTCCGATAGGAAGGATCAAGTAAAAACTCGACACCCATCCGCCAACTACGGCTCCTTTCTGAAGCCTTTGCTGTGCAAATTGCCTGCGCAAAGTCAACATCTATCACATCATTACAAAGCCAATAACTCACGTAGATACCGATATAAACGACGCCATACCAGCATTCTGGAAGATTGCGAAAAGAATCACAAACCAGAACGTAAGGGGCATTTGGCGCACGATCGACCAATTAGAGGTTCTAACTGTGACGCTACCCGCACTTGGCTGTTCAAGTTGTTTGCAGCGATCGACGACCTCGTAATATGAACGAAGGTATTGGTCGAGGATGAAGACGGAAACAGCGCATAGAAACGAGAAAAGGCCTATGATAGCGCCTGTCCACAGTGGCCAGGAATATGAGCCAAGATTTTGAGACATGACGTTCGCGGTGCTCTGTCCGACATATTGGGCCACATTTGCCATCGACCTGAAAGGTGGGCGTATGCATGAGATGTGAAAAAATAATCATGGAGCCTACCATATGAAGCCTTAAAAACCATCAGATAAAAATGAGACCAAGCACTAACAACTATCGTTCGACGGGCCGCCGCACTCACCTATGGACAGCGCAAAACCATTCCCCGGTGCAAAATACGTAGTGAATATCTTGTGCTGCGCGTTGTCTAGGGATCCGCCCCCGATGGCAGCAATGATCTTGCCCATCATGAGGACGTGGTAACTATTGAGCCCATCTGTCGTCGCGCCAGCCTCTACTACAGCACCCGCAAGACAAAATGCGGCGAGTACGGCAGACAGTAGTGGGCCTCCAAATTTGTCGATAACGAAGCCCAAGGCGATGCAAAGAAATGTGTTTACCTGTCAGACAGTAAGTACAACGATCCCGCGCCAGTAATATGAGATCGACCGTACCATATTCGTCACAGATATCTAATCAGGCGAGGCACACAAGAATGTCAATCCCGCCACATTTATATCGAGTAGATTTCTTACCAACGTAGCAAATTCGGAATTATTGATCTTGAGTTCGTGTTCTATCGTTGTCTTCAGAGTCGTAATGAGACCCTGTGAACATTCAAATAATCTGCATGGTGTATAAAATTTAAAATATGATGCCTACGTTGGACCAGTGGTGTCCGACTTGCACCATACATGAGCTACCAGCGAAATTCATGGGCGTGATCACTTACATGTGCACATGCATGTTAATCCAATCATCGCTACCTGCCATCTTACAGGTAGCTTCGGCTTGACGGAAGAGCAAGACGGAACACTGATTGATGACGGGCATTTATCTTTGCTTTCGCCATCGGTAGGAGTGACAGCGTCGATGAAGTGAACACTAGCGGTGGTCATGATAGTACCGAGACGCGAAAGCTAGAGCTTTAGTACACTTATGAACTGGCGTCCACCTTGAGATGGGGAAATCCCTCGCAGATATGAAACTTGGCAGGCTAATTGTGCAAGTTATGGGAGATGCTCAAAGGTGTTCGAGAGATGCCGCTGCTTTATGTGCAGTATGATACTTGATGTTACGTCCGCGACACTTAAACCGGATGAGTACTAGTTAAATGTCGATATCGTTAGTGGAAATGAATCCTACTGCGTTGGGTAGCCCGTGATGGGGAAGATCCATTGCGATTTGATTCTCTTTGGAACAACTGTAGATATCCAATGACTAGTCTATCAGCACTCCGTAAATGTAGGCCAGAGATCCGAAAAAATGATTTTGGAATGTATTCAATGTCGTACCCGTTGATGACCACTGAGCAATAGCGCTTGCATACTTCTCTTCGCGAAGACTCCGTCGAAGGGCGGGAGCGACTTCCTAGAAATTCCCGTACTTCTCTGCCTTAAAAGAATCCTAGCGATGCGGTGCTGGTTTGGGCATGGGATGAGAGGAAGTATATGATTACAGCCTGAGTGCACATAAGAGTGTGTCAATACCGCGCCTGTACACTTCTTTTGAATCTTTTCGCGAGGAGCGGTGACGGCTGCCTGAGATTCTCCTGTTTCTCTGGTTTGAAACTTTCCATACTAATCTGAGCAAGATGAAATGCCACGAAGTATAAGATTTTTTACGCGTAGAATAGGATGTTGCGACGTGAGCACAAGTGTCGCGTACTTCAAGAGTTTGTAGTTTGCACTGTGGGCCAACGTCACGGTTGGTTTCGTCACGTCTCTGGTGTCACGCTCGTACGTGTTTCGAATTCATGATTATGTTCATCCTTACAAGATAGCGCGACAGCGCAAGTGTTCTAGTTCTCCATACTAATGTGACTATATAGAATTTGGAGTTCTTTTTCAACTGTTGCACCTCTGATCAGCATATGATGTTGGCGACGTAGAACACGACTGCATAGTGACACGAGCATCAAAATACCGATAACAAAAGTTGCATGTTCGATAGACCGTAATCCTACATCTGACCGTTTTTGAGCAACACCTACCACTGATCCGATAACAAACACATTCCTCATCAAAACTCCCGAAGGAGCGGCAACAAGGAAAAAATTCATAACAACCAGTCCAAGAGTAGTCTGAATCGAGTTTCACGGTCCACAAAAGATACGTGAGCCACGAAGTGAACTCAAGGACAAACCTAGTCCCACCGCAGTCCAGTCGTGCCTCGTACGCAAGGAGGTGATTAGCCTCTTATTTCACGATGACTGACAACGACGAGCACATGTACTCATCGTTGTGGGTAATACGGGTACGCGAACATATCCGCGATACAACGCAAGTAATCATGAGCGCCCTCTTCACAGACGCATGCGCGATAACGATGTCGAACCAAACGGCAGGAAATAAGTTTGCCCGATCCCCGCAACGTTTTCAAAGCCTTCGTTCTCGCCCTCTTCTGTGATGAACAGAATCTTCGGGACGATGAGAAACAAAGCTGCTTTTCTGGTACGTCGCGCAGCTGATAACAGCTGGGCTCTGCTGGAGCCTATCGAGGGGGGATTAGAATGCTCAGACCTTAGCCCGCTCAGGGACTTGGATGCGTAAAGCGATCCTGTGCGTGATGAGCATTCGTGGCTTTCGAGCTGGTTGAAGTAAGAAACAATTTTTGAAGTCCGCTTGTTGCTTAACCGATTAAGTTTTAACTGAATAAATACGTGCGTGTCAAAAATCACGCGTCGGTCACGTGCATGACGCGACCGACTCAGAAATTTAAAACATCTTTGTTGCACTCCATTACAGCCTCTGTGGCTCATCGTTGCTCAACGTCACGGTCATGCCTCCAACGGCTTCCTCTTGCAAAGCAACGTCAGTCTCGAGAAATTTGAAGCCTAAGGCTGCTGTCACATCTTCCGATGAACTCGTTGAAAAGCCAGTGGATGGGCGGACAGCCTTCAAAGCGAAGGGAAAGCAGAAGGCAAAAGACGAGTCTCCGGAACAACGAAAGACTTCTGCAATGATTGACGTCAACACATCTCTGCAGACATTATCAACAGTGGCACAATCTGGCTGGAAGGCAAATTTGGAAGAGGGGAGAACAAAGTCGAGCGCACTCAGTAAGGTGTCAGCTGCTGTCTGTTCTGCAAATGAAGCTTTGTCATGCCTTCGTGTTCTATGTCCGGATAACCTTGACGTAGAGCGTGCCGCATCCAGTATGATGAGCAAGCTGCTTGCGCTGGAGATGGTGCGTAGTAAATGAATTCTCCTGCGAGTTCAACTCAATCGTACAGTAGCATGATGCTACCCTTTCTTTCCTTAGTGATATGCATACCCGTCTACTTGCTTTGCTTGGGGTACCTGACCCCGAAGTATCAGCCCACTCTGCCTCTACTTCAAAGTTGCCAGTTCGCCTGCTTTCCCTTCCGCTGCCAACGATAACGCCACCAACAGACGTTGTGCTTCTCACCCTCATCTCAACGTATCTAATGCACGCAATAATTTCCTTTACACATTTTGCGACGTCCTCCTCGTCATCAACTACTACTCCGGATTTGTTCTCCAGAGCTCTGGTAGAATCCGGTACGCTCTTGACGTGGGTACCTCATTGTGTGTCTTTGCCTCGAAAGCACATAGACACCACGCTCAAACGGGCATACACTGTGCTGACAAAGTTATGCTCCTCAATGTCTGTGAACTCGCGCTCGACCTTCCTCATTCGCATGTATGCATTCAAGTGCCTTCTATGCACAAGCCCTGGGACCGTTCAGCCAAACACATTCTGGGATCAAATTCAGAAGTTGTGCACGGTGTATTTCAAATCTTCTTTTCCCATGTCAGAGGCTGAGGAACTCTCCGTTGCAACGCTCGTGTCAGAGTCCCTTTGCGAGGTCGTACAGATCGCACAGTCCAAATCATCGTTTGTGGAGGGAAAGTCGTTTATCCTGCTCTGTGAGACATGGACAAGTTTCGCAAAGCGCGTGCGTCACAGTCGTTAAGATATCGATATAACATGGCGCTGACCTGCTGAACAGAGTAACGATTTGCGCACCCTCGATCGCATAACAGACCTGATGGGTCCGGCATCTTCATCTTGCTCATCAGCCGAGGTCGATGGCCTAGTCAACAATCTTAGTAAACTCGACATTTCCGCTCCTTCGCCCAAGGACAAGGACACTGCTGTTCTCGAGTGCGCAAGAGTTTTGGCAGTGTTAACTAAAGTCACTGCATGCCTGGATGCAAACTCCGGTCCGTGTCTATTCTGATATCTTTACAATACCTGACAAATCCATTTGCAGGCGAAACGGATGACTTCTCCAAACGTGTTCACGAAGCAACGAAGGTTCTTCCTGGTTTGGAGGGCCTTTTATGCCTTTCGACTGAACCGAATGATGAGCTGTACCGTGCGCAGGGAAAGCTCCAACGTACCCTAGAGAGACTCAGAAGAGCTTGCATCAAGGTTCTAGACGGCGAGGCGAAGGCCCAAAGTCATGTAATAATTTCCCTACTAATGGCAATCTCTACTGCATTGGAAGGCGCCTTCAAGCAGGTAAGCTTCAACTTAGCCACGTATGGAGGAATTAACAGGTGTCGTCACAGAACCCAAGTAAGGACATCTTGAGCGCATCCTTCGATTCACTATTTACCCTCGCACGCATACGGCTCAAGTGCAATGATCCTGACACTTATGCACCCACTCTCGATCTCCTCAACCGTACCATAATCCTTTTAGACTCCACCCCCGACCATATGAATGCCATCCCGGCTTCCGCGCGTGCCAACTATGTCCGCTGCATCTCTGGGGCGTATCATAATCTAGCTGGCACGCTGTATCAAAGCTCGAGGTACGGGGGCGCGGTGCGTTTTCTGAGGGAAGGATGTTCACTTGGGGCACGGGCACTTCACATGCGACCTGGTAATATGCAGAACGACACGGAAGATGGCGAACGGGATGAAGGGTGGAAACAACTCGAAGAACAGATGTTTCGGAGGTGGGAGCTTCTTGCAGTGTGCTATTCTAAGATAGGGGACCGGAAGGTAATCGTTTTGCATTGCTTACCTACCCGGCGTGGAACGCTAATATTTGTGGGCGCTATCAGCTTGCGTGTGACGCGTTTGTGGAGAGCGTAAAAACCTTTCCGTATGGCTCATCCAGTCTGGAACACCTGGCTAGGTCGGCAACATCAACAAATGCTTTCAGCGCGAATGCAACCACAAAGCAGCTTGGTGGGATAATTGACAGACTAACGTACGCAGCGACATGTGAACTTTTTCTCCCTGCAAATGAAGTCTCCCTTCATACCGCACTGAAGCCGGGTGTCATCAGTGACGAGGTTCTAGGCCTGCTGCTCGAGCGTCAGGTTTCGACTCTCGAACCTTGCCTTCGGAAGGATGGTGTGCACACTATTGTGCACAGGCTGTTACAAGATGCTCTATCGGTGTACAAGGCTACCGTTCTTCCGTTGCGGAGGGCTAGAGTCCTCTTAAAATGCATGGAGTTGTTGTGGAAGGATGGAAATGCCAACGGTGGAGAGACTTGTTGGACCTCGAAGCACCTAGGTGAAGAAGTTTTAAGCCTGCTCACTGTTGAGGTATCTCTTTGCGTCGTTTCTGCTTCTGGATGTCATAATTTCTCCATTCCAGGATCTTGGGCATGACTCAGCCCTTGTAGCATTTCGCTCACAGTACACCGTAGCGGTTCATCTTTGGTTGAGCCTCTTCGCGTATCGTAGCGCAGGGTCACCAGTGACTTCAACAGTGTCATACCATGTGGAGGAGGCGTGTAACATCCTGCGCAGTCACATTCCTAATTCTTCGACTGAAACGGATCCAAAGACGACGCGACCACCTGCCCATGGGAAGAAGGAAACTGCGCCTGCGAAGAAGCCGACAAGAGCTGCGAGCGTACGCACGACAAGCAAGGCTAGAGCGCAGAAACTTGTCACACCACGTCCGCGTAAAGGTTTGTTGTTTGGAATTGCTTGCCAGCAATATTACCTGACAAAATTCTTCCACGAGCAGCTTTCGGGAATGTGTCGAATGTCATACAAAGCACTGTAAAGGAGGCTGGTGTCACGATTGGTGTTCAGAAGGCAGTGATTGTGTTCGACCTCGAGATAATCGTCGGTCAACTTCGTAAGCTTTGTCAATATCCTTTACTAAGCGCCATTAACTGATTGAACAGAAATGAACATCCATTTACTTGAACTTCTGGGTCTGGTCTTGTTGAAGATCAAGCTTCTGGAGGCTCTTAAGCGTATCTGCGAGCGTCAACTCGTCGTATTCACTGATTGTGAGTATATCATGTCTTTTAAAAGTTGCTATCCTCATTTTTCTGAACAGTATACATCATTATATGCGTCGATCTCGCGTCAGAGTATGTTAAATTGGGTAAAACGAAGCGTGCCAATTCCATTTTTGCACGGAGTTCAGCAGTGCTGAAATCGAGTGATGTCTCCGATGAAGTACGTATCAGTTATTTGCTTAGATATGCAGAAATTTTGGCTCTTGGAAACAACATTCTTGGAAGGTGAGATCACTTCGCACTAAGGGTCTTCTACTGTGGTTCAACATTTTGCTCTTCAGTGCTTCCTTCTACTGTGAAGCCATGGGTTTATCGGAAGCTTCTCCGCCCGAAGACAAAGCTCTACCGACTGTCGAACGGATAAGGCTACGTGTTGGACTGCTCGAGCGTGCGGCGATGGCTTGCAGAGTCTTCGCAGCTATCCAATACTCCAGGGTCTGTCATTCAGTTGTCCATCACACGTTCTTGTCTGATTTGATTCCCTCAGAACAGTGCGAGTGGTGCTTTAGAGTACACATTGCAATCATTGCGACTATGGAATCGTGCCATGGACACGCTTTCTCGATTAAGCCAGCCTTCCTCCAGACCCACCAAGGCAACCGATGATTCAAATCCATTTGAGGCTACCCCTCCAGAATCGTCATCCACCAGCAATACTCGGTCCAATGATCACCCGAGATTGTTTGGTCAGAAATGTCTCATGGATGGGATGGAGTGGCGAATAGTTGAAGGACTACTTTCAACTATGTTGACGCTCACTCACGCCTACTTCACTCGTGGTTCTTCCCGCGAAGCTGAGTACTTCGCTAAGCAAACACAGGACCTTGCCGAGTCCATCAACGCCCCGACTATGGTTGCTCGTGCACTGATGCGCACGGGTGAGATTCAGTTGTACCAGAGGCAGTTAGATGCAGGAAGGGACAGCTTGGCCAAGGCTGCGGAGTTACTACGAGATCTGCCAGGTGTTGATGCAGCTGATATGAGGCGGCTGAATGGAGACTGGAATCGCTTGAATGAGCAAGCCCAGGATGCCGTGGACCTCTATGAGGAGGCATCTGCGATGCTTGGCGAACTGGAGGGAATGTTGGCATCTTTCGACGGCAGGTGAGAGCCACGGCCAGCGTTCAATGCGCTTCCTCTAATTAAAATTTCCAGTCGCCGTAAATCCAGCGTAACGCTTTCACCACAAGTTACCTTAGCTACCGCCGGACAAGGAGCAATAGTCCCTACCTTGTTGTCTGACATTCTCCGCCGCCATAGTAAGGAGCGTCGCTTTTAAACCTCAAACTCACTAACAAGTCAACTACAGTCTGGTTACTGCGCGATGATGGAGATGCTACGATCAAGGATCTGATAGAGCGTCTTATGGCTTTGCCCGCTTCGCAAGACACAAAAGTGAGACTTGCTTTAGATGTCAGATTTACAGCTGAATCTTTCAAAGGGAGAAGAGCATGCACTCATGGGGAAACTTACCCTGCATAGTGTATACGACCAATTCCGTTCAGATATGTTCCTGAACTCTTTGGCTGAATCTAGTAGGTACACTGCGCATACCAACCCTCAACAACTCAATGTTTGTGTATAGCGATCGCACTACCGATGGGCATGACAAGCAACCGAGCATTATTGCTTACACCTTCGACCCAAGATATCCTGAGTACTCTGGACCAAGCAGAGAAACTTTTTTGGGCCGACCTTGCACTTACTGCAGATCGGGGGAACGTCCCTCACGTCCGCGAAGCGACTGTAAACCTTGCACTCATTAAAGCACTTCAGACATCCCTTGGAAAAGGGGGAAATGATGGACCCATTATTGCTGGACGTCTTCTTGGTAAGATTATGATTTTTTATGTGATGATATCTTTCCTGACGCCAGATTAGATGCGTCATCCGCAATCACTTTACGCCGTGAAATGTTAGAGGCTATTCAGTATAAATTCCCCAGCGTACACTTTAACGATCTTGAATGGCCCCTTATGACGCCCAGCGGTTCCCCGCTGTCTCGGAAGAGAGCATCTAAGTTTCGGCGGCTGAGGACCTCTAGCACTGAGGAAGCATCTGACGATGATGACGACTCGAATGCAATCATGAAGGCGTACTGGGATTCTATCCGCGAGACATATGCAGAACACTCTTCAAACACTTCCTTGCTATCAAATACATCCATGTCACAGTTTCCACTTCATTGGACAGTCGTCCATATCAGCCTCACACCCGACAAGAGTACCCTCTTTATCTCTCGGCAGAATGTTTCTTCTGAGTCGTTGATGTTCTGTGTGCCTCTCAAAGGCCGACGCGAATCGGACGAGAACGAACACCTTACATTTGACGATGCGGTGAAGGAGCTCGCTGAGATTATACACTTAAGCAACCAAGGAACACGCAATGCAGTCAACGTACGCAACGATGATCCGCAAGCAAGAGCTGCTTGGTGGGCGGAGCGGAATACCCTTGATAAAAGGATGCAAGAGCTGCTAGAAAACATCGAATTTTGCTGGTTAGGTGCATTCAAAGTGGGTATTCTCTTTTGGTAAATGTTCTTTGACTGAACAACGTCCGTAGACCATTCTCAGTCCTATCCTGCCTATATCAACCGAGCTGACCACCGACCTCCGCGCCCGTTTTGAGAAGGTGTTTAGGCGCATTCTTCCTCCCCCAGATAAGAAACAGAAACAGCATCCTCGTTTGTCTGATGTGCTCCTTGATTGCTTCTCATCCCTGAGTCTCAAATGTCGGGAAGAAGAGCTTGAAGACTTATTATTCTTCATCCTTGACCTGTACACATTACACGGCATCCCAGTCGCCATCGCAGATATAGACGTAGATCAGGTAACGGTGGACCTTCGCTGTGCATTGGAGGAGCATGCCGCCTTCAAGAACAAGCGAGGAAGGGTGAACTCAACTCCGGTAGATGACCCCCACTTGTTCCTCGTCCTGGACCACAATGTACAGGGCATTCCTTGGGAATCGATTCCGGTCTTGAGGGGCCAGAGCGTGAGCCGCATCCCGAGCGTTTCGTTCTTGCTTGATCGGGTTAGACTTGCGTCTGCTGAGAACCGAACAGGGGGTGCTATCGATCGAATATCCCTGGATCCACGCAAGACGTTCTTCGTCCTCAACCCTAGCGGAGACCTGAAAGGGACTGAGGGGCGATTCAAACCATGGCTTGAGCAGATGCGAAGTGTAGGTTGGGAGGGTGTCATTGGACGGCCGCCAAGCGAACAGCAGTTCTTAGATGCCCTTGCACGGAAAGATCTAGTAGTGTGAGTAACTCTCGACTAATTGCTGCATCAGACCTTGATGACTTCCAGGTATTTTGGACACGGTGGAGGAGAACAATACGTGCGGTCACACAAAATCCGTCACTTGCCGCGCTGTGCAGCGACGATGCTGTGGGGGTGCTCCAGCGGGCTATTGAAGGAGATGGGCGATTTTGACAGAGTAGGCACCCCGTTCAATTACATGCTTGCTGGATGGTACGTCGCACGCCTGTTTTGTCTACCCTTCCTGCTCAACGTACATTATGCACAGCCCTTTACTAGTGGCGAATCTTTGGGATGTAACTGACCGCGATATCGACAAGTTCTCGCAAGCAGTCTTCGACTTGCTGAGATTGACTCCGACTCGTGGAGGGGAGCAGGGTATGTCAGCAGTTACCGCAATTGCACAGGCCCGAGAGGCATGCAAACTCAAGTATCTCACTGGGGCAGCACCAGTTGTCTATGGGATTCCGTTCTACCTATAATAAAAAATGACACTTTAAGTACTCCATGCTCTATTTATAGAATTTTTACAAGGTTATTGACGATGGTGCAATATTTCACTGCGGAAACGAGATTTTAACCCTAACGTAACCAGAGGGTGTTTACATAGGTGCATAACCCGACGTAGTACAAACGTAAGACCTTTTCCAGACTCAAACTCGACGTGGACGGAATTCGAGCGTCTGGGAGTTGCAATAACACGTAAACGGATGCAAATCCAAACCTCAGGTTAGAAGTAAACAGCCTAACTCGACCAAATACAGACCCGAGTTTTCACCATCACCTCCATCATGTTAATGCTCATAACTCAACGATATCCACCCTCTGGAAAGAGAATTTTTCTAAAACCCGACCTCGGAGTTTATGTGAAGTGAGCTCATTCGTTTTTTTTTTCGCCAAGTCTCTCCAGCAAGAAACTGACATGCAAGGTCAAAACGTGGTTCAGCTGCAGCTGCCTTCGGGCACTAGACAATGATTTTCCCATGGGCTGAAAACGGAACAATAACAGGCTATCTCATAAGGCAAGAAAGTTCGTTGTCACCTCACGATAAATTCTCCCTTGCAAGTCCCGCGTATCTAGCATCCCCAGATACTTGTTGACATCCTGATGCTTTACAGCTGAATGACATTGCTCTTGGGTTGCAATACCGTGAGTTTATCGTTCACTTAACCCCATCTCTCAAATACTCACATTGGTTCAGTCCACAGCAAATCAATTATCCATGGGGACCTGACAGGGGTGTGTACGACCACACACAGAAGAATATCATTACTGACGTGCCAACTCTCCAGTCAAATGTCTTGATTTATGGTAACGGTCAGGCATGCCTTGCTGATTTTGGTCTCTCCACTATAATCCTGGAGTTCGTCGGTACCTCATATTTCACGAGCTCCATCCAAGGGAATGTCCGATGGGCAGACGCAGAATTATATCGAGTATCAGAGGACGACGAGGTCGCTTCGTCCCGAGTGCGACATATACTCATTTGGCAGTATCATGCTCCAGGTTGGTAGCTCTATTTTGAACGAAATATATTGTTGAATTTGCACGCGCTCTAGATATTGACTTGCAAGGTACCCTACTACGATGTAAAGAAGGATATTGCGGTGTTGGGACGAGTCATCGAGGGGATGAAACCGGAACCTCCTGAGGAATCGCAAATAGCGCCTGGGCACTGGGAGTATACAGCGATGCTGGTTGCCTCGTGCACGTCGTCCGTCGATTGCAGAAATCATCACGTTTATAGCATGTGAACGACAAGCTGTGTCATCCTAGTCACTAATGGTACCAATGTAACAAGAGTTGGGGAGTGTATATAGGAAGGGGTTAATGCGGTCACCCTTCTGGAGTATTCTCAAATACGAGGAAGATCATTTTATATTCATCATTCAATGTGTGGAAATGATGTTCGTATATAAATTACGGTACAGGCTGGTCACGAGCCTACGTATACGCATCAATAAGTACTGACCTCATACTCATCAGTCTGAACTGTGTACGTAGTAGGCCCTCTTCTCACAGTCTCGACGACTGAATCCCCCATTCACCTTGACCTGCACACTCAGCATCAGTATGCCCTCTTCTCCCATGCACCGCGATCATTGTATGCACCTTCTTCGGGTTCTACACTGTCGGCCTCGCTTCATGATGGGGATTGGGCAGCCTGGCTTGTGTGTCATGACAGGATGATGCAGAACTAGACTCCAGATACTGGCTGTATCAATGCCCGGGGAGGTTGATCATAGCATTATTGCGCAGCGAACATAAGCGACCCCTGTGAATACACCCGCTCTAATAATCATCATATTAGTCCAGTCGCTGACGAGACGTACATAACAGACCAGTGTACATTGAACTGCCTCAGAACCGGACCGAGGAAAGATCCAATGGTAACACAGCCCTGAAATGCAGTGTAGCAAGGCGCCTGTAACCACAGCATGCAAAACTGACCCAAATAACAGGTCTCTTTCTCACCTTCACCCCGTATCTTTGCTTCCCCTCGATTATTGACTTTGCGCAGTGTTTCGCTGTCCAGTCCGTTTGTAGAACCCGACATCCTTTATCGATCAAGGTCATGCCACACGAAGAGGCCGAGTCAAGCACGTCGACGAGAAGGGGAGAAGCGCTAATGAACTCACCGATATATCGGACAAGCGCGAAGGATCCACCACCATATGGTGCACAGCACCGCCAGGATGCACTTTGGGAAGGTGAGCAGCTCCCTCATGATACCCATTAGCTTACTCAATTAGAAGCAGGCGGGAATGAAGTGCTTCCTCCTAAGTGGCGTCACTCTAAGACATCGTCGGATGCTGAAACACAATATCAAGACGACACGCTCGTGATGAGCTCGTGGAACCGGCCTTTACCGGGAGTGCGACTAGGTGAGGGAGGAGATTGCGACAAGGAGCGACGAACTCACGGTTGAACATAGATGAACCTGGAGATCTCGTTGTTCCCGGATGGGAATGGCACATCTCACCACTGGGTCGGTCCTACTTCGTCAACCACAATACTCGGACCACGTCGTGGAAGAAACCCAAGCCCGAACGTCCAGCAGGAAGCTTGAAGCCGGAGTGCGTCATCGAGGGTCACTCTGATTGCATATGGGACCTTGCCTACTTGGGTATCAGTGGCAATATAATGAGCGCGTCTGGGGATGGTTCGATTCGTCAGTGGAAAAGAGACGGAGAGCCAGTAGGAAAACCTTTGAATAGTGATGGGGGAGCGATGCTCTCAATGGCGGTCTCGCCAGATGAAACAATGGTCGTTTGTGGAAGTGCAGACGGCTCACTGCGGTTGTGGGATATGAAGGAGGGTAGGATGATCGGAGATCCGTGGGAGGGGCATGATGCTCAAGTGAGGTGCCTTGATTGGTCTCGCAATGCCCTGGAGATAGCAAGCGGATCGCAGGACTGGGACCTATACGACGCTGGAACCCGGATACTGGTCGACAAACAGCACCACCCATAAAGACTGGGTGGGTCGAAGCCATCAAATATGCTCCACATGGCGACAAATTCGCGAGTGGCGGCGTGGATTAGGTGATCCGCGTGTGGTCAAAGGACTGGCAAGCTGCTTATGGAGATCAAGGGACACTGACTACGTGGTGACTGTCATTGTGTTGGACCAAGGACGGCGCACATATATTCTCCGGGTCAGCCGATTATACCATCCGGAAAATGGCGGGCGATCGATGGACAGGAACTCGTGGTTTTTCGGGGTCACATCCCAGATCGTCGGATCGATCCGTCTCACTCCCGACGAAAGCCATATTATTAGCGCATCGAATGACTACTCGATTCGCATCTGGGATCTCAAGACCAATCAAGCAGTCGGAGATCCACTCTTGCATGATGACCAAGTGTTTGTTGTTGCCATGTCCCCAGATGGAAAATACATTGCCAGTGCTGGAATAGACAAAAAAATCTATGTGTGGAGCCTAGAGGCGACACTCAAAGTTGCGGTATGTATGCGTTTTGTTGCTTAACTTCCCTGCCTAACGGTTTGGGCGATTTAGGGTGCGGATACAAAGTTCAAGGCGAGTCATCTCTGCTGCTCTCTCACACTACATCTCACTTTCAACCAGGAACATCCAGCCCAACCGAGAGTTGTGCGACAACCAATCGTGAGGAACCCGTCTTTTCTCGTATGTTTCGCTACATTCTAAACGTCCATTCTCCATTTCAAACAACAGCCCATTACCAGAGGCTCGATGAAATATGTTAGTATAATTTTTCATTCCTCAGCTTCAGCTAATTTGGCTTTGATACAGGGCAATGATTTTTTCGGCAATGATTCAAATCGCGCAGCTCCATCTCCAAGTCCATCTTTCCCTCATCGGCGCAGTTGGTTTGGTTCCCTCCAGTTCAGTGCCAAACCTAGAGATACGCTCCCACCATCCCCTCGCCAATCCAGACATCGGAATTTCAACTTACTTCCCATAAGAAAGTCAAGCCGCACCGTCGATGTGCCTCTGGCTCAAGATGAAGATGTGAGTGGCTTTCCTTTACTCTCCTTTCATCCCATTAAAACATAACGCAGAGATATGGCATTGTCCCTGAAACCGATGCCGAAGCGGCCGCAGCTATGCAACGCACGGACGGCAACGAGCCTGGCAATTCAATGCAATCAGGTCAGCCAACAGGGACACAAGCGTCTCAAACACAACCAATCCAAACACAAGCACAAGGCCCAACTGATGGAGCGGAGGACATTGTGTGTGGAGTGAACTGCTGCGGATTTTTCATTGGTCTTCGTCGCCCTCCGCATCAGTCATGAAGGATGACGTGTGGCACGCGCACCCTTAGTTCAGCTCTCTTTTTCCCCGCATATGTCTCACCCCTCTCATGTCCAAGATTCTCCGCTGCGACTGTCACCTATGCACTTGGATCTCGCTTGGTGCACCTCCTTCCCTTGCGCTGATTTTCCCGGATCCGCGCCACTTGCTGACAACACAACTGGGGAAGTTGGTTTTGTTTTATAGAATGCAGCTCTTGGTGGTGCAGTGGTTTTCTGCTTCTGCGTGGGAGAGCTTGATGTTCGCTGGAAAGGCGAAGGATTTCCGTCCATGACTTATCCTACCCATACTTCTGCTCCCACAGGCAAAATTATAGATCCAAACGATTATGCACTTTATCATGCTTTCGACGCCCCATAGACTGAGAATTTAGTATATAATATCAAGATCAAGCCGTCCGCCTAGCCGTGTACGACTGACTTGTTACAAAGATGCGTGACCACGGGGTTCAAATGGTAGCAAGAGAGCAATAAAACCAGAGACGACGAAGATAGCTCCCGAAATCCAGATTGGCATAGATGTCGTGAGGTTCGCGTACAGAGCAATGATCGGGGCCTGTGTAGTGGCAAGTTAGAGAATAGCAAGGGCACCGTCGACGACGATTGGACCTACCATGACACCGAATATCCTGTTCGCAGTGGCCACGATCGCGTTACCAGTTCCACGATCTTTGGTAGGAAATAATTCGGGTGAAAGGGCGTATAAGACGCCATACATGACGTTGCTCGTGTAGCTATAACCACAGTTCCAGCCAAGGAGCGCATTGGACGTGCGTGCTGTTGTAGATGCCAGTATGAATACACCGGTCAATACTTGATGACAGATTGAATCAGCTGAGGCGTGCAACTCATCCTAAGGGGTCTTACCAGTAAATATCGCCAAGGTGCCTCGCCTACCGAGGTACGGAAGCTCGACAAAGTATCCTGCCATTAGTGCTCCAGGAACGCCTGTCACACTGAGGATAACTTGCTAGGTAGCATGTGAGTCCATCGAACGGCAGAATGTAAATGAGAGTACGTTGCGATATATGATATATGTGGAGCTGTCGCCAAAATTTGCCCCCCGAGTGGCCAAGCTGGCGAAGAGTTGGTAGGGTGCAAGCCATATCTTGAACTACTCACAAGTAGGTTACGAAGCTGTTGTACCTGAGCAAGTCTGAGCAAGGAAGGCTATAAAAAGATTAAACGAACCTACAGCGGAAACGCGAGGCCGATGAAAGCTAAAGAACACGAAGACATCACTACTCGAGTCATCATCAACCTCATAACGAAGACTTACCCCAAATAATGATCAAAATAGTAGTCGACCAAGCCATTTGTCGAGTGGCAAACAACGATTTTACATGGTTATCGCTAAATATGATCATCTTCCTCCGCACGGCAGCCAAAGCGGATGCGTCCATACAGACGTTATCGTCGACGGCAGCATCAACCAATTTTCCAGCCCTCTGAAGATCTTCGAGGGTAAGACTGCTTGTTTTCCCATTGTAGGCTGCAATTTTGTGGACGACCTCGACCGCCTGTTCATCTCGACCTCGTCCCATGAGGTATTTTGGACTCTCGTATAGGTTGAAAACGAAAAAGCGGATTACCCAGAGGAACATTATGAGCCCACCCATAGTGAATAAGAAATATCTCCACCCATCGTTTGAGGATCTTGGACAGGGAGAAGGGGGGACAGTAGTGGGACAAGAGTAGTTGGCAATGAGGGGCCATGCAACCTGAAGCGAGTCAATATGCACCATAAGCAGCAATCAGGCGGATTTCTGACCAGACTACCCAACAATTGTCCAAAGGCCCACCAAACGGAGAGCACCGTCAAAAGATATTGGTGAGAAGCGGGGACAAATTCTACAAGACGCGTCGTAATAATTGAAACTGTATAAAAACTGTTTTCTTTACCTAAGAAGACAGCAGAATCGACGGGCAAATTGCCGCCCACACCTACTGACCAAACCGCGGTCATGGAACAGAGCGCAACGTAGTTCATCGATCCCCCAGCCGCAATGGCGAACAGACCGGTCATACCCAGAGTGATGTTGAAGGCCCACCTACGTGCCACCTGTCAAGACAGCACGAGAAGAATGTGAAAGGTAATTCATACCTCCGACCCCAAACATCTGAAGAGATGCCCCAAAATGCAGCTCCCACTAGCAAACCGATATTTTGAGCGAGTTTCAGCCATGGACCTTGTACGTTAAACTCGTTCACTACGGGCGTCAATATCAAACCAGTGACGATCTATGAGGATAGTAAACAACTAAACACCCGAGACGCGAAGAACGCACATACCGGCCAAAGATTATCGCTATACGAAGAAGTTTAGCAGGTACGTCAACGACATTTATTTGTTAACTCACGACAGCCAGCCGAATCCAGCTACCAGGAACAAGTACCACTTCTCTCCTATCAACAAACGAGCGCGTCGAGTACGAGTCTCTCACCTGATACTTTCCCATTCCAATCTCCTGTAATGCATCATTAAGAATCTTGGCTTTGGCCTGATATACAGGGTCCAACGAGTCCTCAGCGAATACGTCCCGAGTCTCAACCTGCACACCAAAACTCTCGTTCTCATCTTTGCAAAGTTCAGCCTGCTCGACCGACATCGCGAAGGGGAAGCAGAAGACAACTGCGGGCGTATGTGGTCTCCATGGATGGTGCTTCCTCAGTTCATATATGACACGACGTCCACCTAATTGACAGTCACTGAGCCCGTTGGAGACATTTGGTTACTTCAGATGAAACTCGCGCCAAAAGAGACGATGACTGTGTCATATATGGTGCGCACATGTGGAAGACAGATCAATCATGATTCATGATCATCCACGAAGGCGCTCCGGGTGGGGGAATCCATATACTTGTTTCTGAAATTGTCCGCAGTCACAGTATAAGCCAGGCTAGTTACAACTCACGAGCTTAGAATCTACTTTCAGGATGACAAGTGCGCCTGAAACGTAGGTTGAAGGTGAGGTGAGCTTGATGGTACAGTCATGCTAAAGTCAATTGATCATCGAGTCTGAGGTCATGGGATATCTAGAGTCTAGAATTTGACATCTTCGATACTGTGAACACGAGTGTCAACAAAATCGCAGGCGCAGCAGGCCAGCAACTCAGAACATTGACATCAATCTCGAGAGTCGAGCGCAACTTTCTTCTTTGGTTCGGTCTGACTATACTCGTTATGGAAACTATATTTGACCCTAATCCACTCTCACGAAAATTCTCGGCGTCAACGCTCGCAAGCACGTGCACATGTTCGTCATGCTGCCTAACCAACTTGCTACCACCACTCTGCTCTGTCCGCTCATCCCAGACTCTTGCCATTTTCACTAGCTTTTCTTGGGATCCAATATAGTGGTATAACCTCCTTATGTCTCAAGCATCAGGCACCGACGATATGTCGAGGATCAGCGCACCCACAACGATGAACAGCCTCCCCCGCAAAATGATACCGTAGGACCTATCGAAAAGTAAGTTGCAGCTTCCTCTGATCTGTCACTAATCTAACAACAAGACAGGGAGAATATAAATGGCGAACCTTCAGCGGAGTTGCTATCAGGGAGGCAAGTGTTCCTGCCCTGATACATCTGCGTCACTCCTTACCAGGACTGCAGCTCGAACATAGGGCTTCCTCAACCTTCAGAACCTGACTTACATCCAATGTTGTACCGGACTAAGTCGCTCGCTAAACAAAGTTGAGTCGGAGCTTGGAATCCCCTCCTCAGTTCGGACTTGGTGAAGGAGCATCTGGTTGATAGCAACATAGGTGTGTCATATCGAGCCTCGCGAGTGTTCTCCTAGATCTTATTATTATACACATTTTACGATCCAGTGAATAAGCATAACTATGCAAATAGAGTCTCAACCCTTGATTTTAGCATCACTGGTACTTTGTATTCAACATCTGTAAGCCACTAATCATACTCATCGATGTCACTCTGTTAAGTACATACTGAATTTGAGAATCGTATATCTTTTCTCCCAAGTAGCTGATAGACATGGCAATCCCTAATGAGGATGTTCGAGCTTCCGTCCCTAACAAAGCCAAACATACTTCATGGTGAAATATTTTCCGAACTAGCCCCACGGTGCACGATGTATTGCTAACATAATGCCATTTGAATAGATTTCCATGAACCTTCAAGTAACTGTATACGCGTGTTGCTACAGGCGGCAACATGTAGAGCTTACGATTTCATCCCGTAGTGAAAAATTGCCGTCGTGCTCATTGTCGATGATCGACGGGAGGCTCTCATAGTCACCATGTGCGTAATTCTGATAGAATTAATAGCAATACCTGCTTGACTTTTTATATCACCTTTAGATTGCTTGCGATGCGAAGCGTCTTTATCGGTGTTGGGCAGCTTGGACTAATAAAATACAGTCGGTCAGATCTGCGCTTTGAAGGTACGCTGAGTAGTCTTATTAAGTGAGACTGTCGAAGGAGGATGCTAGCTGTTTTTTTCAGCGTCTCTGTACATACCATACCCCATCTTTGTATTACATGCATCAAATTCATCGTGCTGATGGTCATCGCAGGTCATTTTTATCGCGTGTTCAAGCTATGAGGTCGAGAGGTTAACGAGGAAGACGCGTGATGCATTCATTGGGCCCGCATGTATCAGCTCTACTCTATAATTGGTTGGTAATTGTATATTATACCTTTGTGATGCAAATGCAGCGACATTGGTGGCATTGATTTGATCCTAGGTGAGCAATCGGAGTATTCGCAAGAGCATTTACACTTGTATTGCCTCCGGATATGGGCAATTACTTTGTGGTTGTGGATGTGATTGTGGATGTTATGGTACGTCCACAGTAGCCCAGCATTTAAATTTCTGACATGCTCATAACCTTCACCATCAGACACACCACCACCACCACAACCACCTTACAGTATTTGCAACGTTGCATCTTCTCTATATCAACTATGAATTCGTTCAGGAACATTTTCCAAAAGTGAGTCTACCGTTCTCGTGCTCTACTCGTCGTTGTCATACTAATTAATACACCTCAGGTCCAACGATGACCGGAAGGCGTCGCTGAAGCACTCCAAATCAATGACATACTCACAACACATACACTACCATGGGCCGACTGACGCAAACGTCGACTCATGCACAGACTTGTTGGACAAGTCTTCCTATTCCCCTGAACCAACTGAGCGCGTCCCTCGACGTGGTTTCAGAGCGCTTTCTTTAAACTCAAAGAACTTCAGGCCTCAAGTGCCTGTAAAGCAGAGGTATGTTAATAAATCTTCAGCAGATGTACTGCAGATCCCTAACGACCTTACTTTCATTGTCAGACTGGCAGAACGTATTCGCGCCAAGTCCAATGCTGGTCGCTCAAATATCCCTCCTCCATCCGCCCCTGCTCCCCCTCTTCCCAGCCACCGCTACCTTCATCGGGTACTCTCACGCTCCGCATACAAATCACTCGTAAACATTAGTGAAGTTGCGTCCCACGTCGCCGTCCAGACTCTGGCGCCAGCCCATCCCAAATACGATGAGATTTTGCAGGAGCAGGACCCGACTGTACTGCGTAGAATGATCAATGATCATCCCTTGTCGCCTGTTTGCAGCGAACCCTTCCCAGAACATATGCATCCCATGCATTTTGACATGGACGAGCCGCAGCTCGGGTGTCCCAAGAAGACACTTCGATTCTACATCAACGAGGCATTGGCCCAAGGCCGTCCCTTGGATGTACGCGCAGGTGGCCGTTACCGCCGTATCGTTGACGCGCATGACCCGATGGACATCGTTTCGGAGACTGGATCTGATTGGGATGAGCGGAGTGGAGAGTAGTGATTTTATGGACACCAAAGTTTGTTTTGTGAAGAGAAGTTTGGCGCTAGTTTATCTACTCGTATATGATGCCTATGGATATGGATATGATTTATGTAACGAAGTCTATTTACCATTCGAGCGAGATCATGTTCAGTAGGACTCTTCGAAGAAAATTTGAAATTGATTCGATTTAGTAGCATTCACTCACACACGGACTCGGATCCTCCAACATATGTTTTCAATAGTCAACATGACCAACGTACAGTACCAGAACAGATGAGACATCCGCTCTCTTGGATTGCGGCTTGAAACCTGCCAACAAATAATTTTTTACCTTTTATCACACTTGGACATTTACTCACGTACAAATGTTTATCGGATGTGCATCATGGCGAAAGTGGTGTACACAGCAGAGTTTCTCTTAGATTGATGGGGCTCAAAACCTGCTGACAACGATTCTTTTCATTGGAGCACCCTTTGACACAGGGCAGAGCTAGTATGAATTAACAGAGGGAGGGTACGAAAGCGCATATCGCAAGACTGAGGAAACAGTAAGCGGCATTGTCTGGAAAAAATATATCACCGAGTAGCAGAGTGTAAGAAACTCGCGACAGTAGATGAGAAGCGAAACAGTGTACAACAAGGGCCTAGGATGATACAAGTGAGTCATGACCAGGTCGAAATGTAATCGGTACTATACGAGGTAGCGGTCGGACACGGACGAGGAGCAAGACAAGGTGAAGATGCTATCGACAGAATGATAAACGATACAGTTGTGAAGAGATCTAGAAAAATGCACGCTGGACGATGAAAGGAGGATATACGAGCGCGCTGGATAAACAATGCGAATCGAAAACAAAATGACGAAGGACCGAGGGGAGGAGAGGGCGAGTCACGCACGAGTTCTAGATCGCAGTCGACTTAAGCTGAGATGAAGGGTACCCATGTATATGCATCTAATGATCCATTATCTTCAGCGACATGAGCTAATTCCGGTAAGTTCTCGATGTATTAGTTCGTTCGGCGAGAGGGTTGGGCTGAGGATTAGGCCTGTGATAGATACTAGTAGAGTGTCGCAGGTTCCACCTGCCAGTCGGAGCTGGTTCAAGATTGAACCGGCAGCCTGAACGGCATGTCATGACAATGGGTAGTATCATGATGCGATACCTAGTTCGGAGCCAATCAGTACAGTTGTTTTTGGACACATTCTCGTCCTGTTCAAATCATGTTGATGCTCGACTGTGCCTAGTCTTGCTTGTGGTCCACTAAGCTGGAGTTCGAGAGCTGCCGAAATGAGCAACAATTGTTGATATTAGTAGGAGGCCGGACGAGTATAAACCAACATGACGTCACTTCGTTGTCGATCACCTTTGTGCACTGGCAGTAATTGCAGGGTCACTGGCCTAGCCAAATCGCAGACAAGTAACGAATGAGATATCAAAGCAGTACCAGTATAATGTTAGGGCATGCATAATGACCTAGAGGCTAGACTAGACCACTAAGTCCGAATCTAAGCAAAGTTGAGTCGGAGTTTGAAATGCCTCGACAAGTTCGAACTTGGTGAGGGAGCATCATTCCCTTGGGGACCATGTGTGCTCGAGAGGTTCATAGCAAACACAGGTGTGTGATATCGAGCCTCGCGAGTGTCGGCTGCCGCTTAAGCTCACGCAGGCCCCTAGATTTTATTCTACACATTTTTCGATGTAGTGAATAGGTATAACTCTGCAAATAGAGTCAACCGAATAAACTAGTATGATGCGAATGCCTACAGTTCGGATAAGAAGACACCTTGTCTGGGCCCACAAGCTAAGTTGGCCGAGTTCATTGAATAGCTTGGGGCTGTTGGTACAACTTGGATCATCTGCGGCTCACCAGTCCTTTGATGTGCTGTCGCAAGGTAGACTTGTCATGCGCGCAGCTTTATCGCATGAGGTAAATCCTTCCTAACTACATACATGAACTGGTAGAACAGCGCATCCTCGGGTCCGAGTGGGGGAGTCCCTTGTACGAGTCATTCGCGAGTTTCACCATGTATGGTAAGCACTCCTCAACTATTGGTCCATGAATAAACTGGTGGAACAGTGCATCCTCATGAATGCCGTTCCTGTTCCTCACGGCCAAAAACAGTTTATCTGTCCTGAAACGTCGCTCCGATGCGCGCACAACAAGTCGATTATTTAGTTATTACTGTTTTCGCCTTCTTCACCTGAGGGGGTGCGTTCCATACGGTTCAGTCCTCTGAAGATGAGACTAACCACGTGCTCACAGTGTTTTAACTAAACACATCTGGTGGTACCATCAACCTCTTGCAGCACGACCAATCTCGCGCAACCGCTCTCAAAACCGTCAGCAGAGACACTCTCAGCCGTCGTACTGGTAACGTCAAATGATGTTGTATGCTACACCGCAGCAGTTGGCATTGGCGACCCCGCCACGATCTGTAGGTTTAACAATGAGAAAACACCGCCTGTTAATGTGTTATCACAGACAATTTGCTTGTCGACACTGGTAGCTCACTCACATGGGTTAACGCTGCATCGTACGTGAAGACCAGCACTAGCGTTGACACTGGACAGGCTATATCGAGCTCCTACGGTTCTGGTACGACATACATTGATGCCATGAGTCGAGAATACCTACGATTATTATCTCTAGGAACTGAATACACCGATACCGTCACTCTCGGTAATCTCACCATCATCCAGCAGCCAATCGGTGTTATTTCCGAGTCTACTTTTACGGGCATCACCGTCGGTGTCATTGGCATCGGGCCCCTAGACTTGACAGAGGGTATCCTGAGAGGTTCACCACCCACTGCGACGATCCCAACTGTCACTGACAACCTATATATCCAAGACATGATCTCTCAGATAGTTGTTGGTGTCTCTTTCGAGCCCACAACTTCGGAGTCAGACACCAACGGAGAGCTCACCTTCGGTGGAATTGATGCTATCAAGTACACTGGTGCCGTTGCGTACACGTAAGTTACTGCGGCTCAGATCAATCCAGACTAGCGGTGATGGCTTAATTCAGTCCTCTCACTACTACCGAACCCGCATCCTACTACTGGGGTATCAACGAGAGCATCACTTACGGCTCTACGACCATCTTGTCTGAGACGGCTGGTATTGTTGACACTGGCACTACTCTCATCCTTATTGCCTCTAGTGCGTATTTGGAGTACAGCGAGTGATCTTAATCTGACCGATGTTCCATAGACGCCTTCAGCGCGTACCAGTCTGGAACCGGTGCTATCGAGGACGAGACGACTGGTCTTTTCCGCATTACGTCTACCCAGTACAGTGCACTCGTGAACCTGAACTTCAATGTCGGCAATGTACGCTTCTTCTATCTCAAGTCTTGATGCCCTCGTTCACCATCTTGTACAGAACACCTATGCTCTCACCCCTAACGGCCAAATCTGGCCTCGTGCCCTAAACACCTATATCGGTGGCAGTACCGACTACATCTACCTCATCGTCAACGACTTTGGCACTCCGAGTGGTGAAGGTCTCGACTTCATCAACGGCTACACTTTCCTTGAGCGCTTTTACTCCGTGTTCGATACCACCAACTCTCAAGTCGGTTTTGCCGCGACCGCATACACGACTGCCACCACCAACTGATGCAACTTTTTTGATCAGGTATCGGGTATCTGTACGTCACAATATCATTAACTTATCATGACCAAGTTGTCTCAGTTGAATCTTCGAATGTTAGCTATTGCTGTTTCACGAAAACACCCCAGCTCCCCCGGCCCTGAATAATGAAACCGCTCACGCTCACCTAGCATAAACTCATCCAAGTCTCTCAGCGTCTAGATTCATAAAGGGCTACAGCAAGGGACAAATCATCTTATAATCAATCTTGCGGATAACTCTTCCCTGAGATATGTGTGCTCACTGCTCATGTTCGTGTTAACGTCAGGAAAACCATCGTACCCGGCTTAGAACAGTTCAAAGGAGCACGAGTCTATTGTCGCGCTAGATTCATCTGGTATGTCCACTCCTTGTTGAAATTTGAAAAGTCGCCTCATTACTACTTTCTACATCACACTTTCCAGCTGGCGCTCGTACATTTCCTCATTGTCATTATTCTTCAAGTTTCGTATGTTCTTCCAGGCCTCATGTCTATTTAAACCCGTGTGTCTCAAAAATCTGTATTAATGGTCACCAGTCACCTTCCTAACACGTCATTTGGTCAAACTACAGAATAGAATTCAATGCTACGCAAAGGAACAGCGATACTCATACGGTTCCAGTATCTGAACGCGACCATAATGCTATCTAAATGTGCAAGTAATCGAGAAGATGTGAACTTATGCACGTCTATCAAGGCGTCGCAGCTACAGCGGCGCGAAAGGTGTGTAAACCTTACTGGCAGAGAAGATACTGCAGAGGAAAACGTGCATGAAAAATGGGTGTTCCAAGACCCAATGGTGACATCTCGCATAAAATGAAACATAGTGGCTATGGAGCGCAATCGACGCATCATTGAATGAATCCCCATTCGGAGACGCATTATTATGGGAGTTTCCCTAGCTAGGTCAATCAATGAAAGAAAGACATTTGGTCGTTCCTTGGTGTTCGAATTCAGGAGTCAATTCCGTAAAAGTAACTCATTTTGGAGGAACACTTTCGTCAGGACATCTGAGCATGCCTCACATGCTAGCGCATGTCAGAATATTGTGGCTGTCTGGATTTGGTCTAGGATATCCAGACTCTTTGAAAGAGTTTACGCGTAGATCTAGAGTTTCTCCCGACGACCATGAATCACAATTGCGAAACATAATATGTTCTGTTTGTTCGCATCGCTGCCCCGAAAATCACTGGGTATCATGAGAGGCGGTGTAACTCACTGACAGGCAGTCTTGATCTTGATATATTCTAGACTCCGCTAGGCGGACTGAGAAAATAACAACTCGACGGGCCGCACTCATCGTTCGGAGAACTCTTTTCCTGTACACAGCTCCCACATGCCCCTCTTTCCGCGAGTCAACCCCAGAAACATGTACTTTTCTCGCAAAAAATCAACCCGCTTCACCCCCTCCATCCGTTCTTTCTTATTCTTACATCGTTCCACCCACGCGCGCTTAAGCTCCTCCCTGTCTTCGGCATCTAGCTCATCGTTGTAGTAATCCTCATTGCGTATCGGTCCAGCGAGGAATTGACATATACCCATGAGCAAGTCTGAAAGCGTGACGTAAGAGCCATTACCCATGGGCCGAATATCGATGTACCACGGTAAGCGCGTGTGATAGAGACGCATGAACAATGTCGGTGGGTTGGTGCTTGGTAGCATGAGGTCGTTTGTGACTGCTGGGCGCCCCAGCGTTCGAATCATAATCACGGGTTGGCTGCAACGGAGATCGAAAATTATATTTTCTTCTCGTAGGACAGAAGCAGGTTTGAGCCGGGCGCTATCGGTGGATGCTGCTGCCAATCAGCATCGCCTGTAACGATTATTAAAGCATAACTTACCATCAAGTAGTCTTGATACAGACTTTCTTCGGAATAGTAGGGATGAAATACCCGACTTGAATTTGAAGCCACGTCTCCAGCTTTTGGGACGCTCTCCTGGCCAATCTGGAGGCATATATGTTGCAGATAATGACTGTGTCATGGAGACTGCGGATGTGGAGATGTATGAACTTGTGCTAGGGAATGTTTGAATGGGAGGCCTGGCTCCCCACATATTCCAAGGCGTGCCTTGCTGCGGTACGTTGAAAGGAGTGTTGAAAGGACCAGCTGGAGGGGCGCTATTACTTCGCTTGCGGAAGTGGTCGTATTGAGGATTCATGGGCAGGCGTGGTACATAAGGACTTGGCATAGATTGTTGTGGTAGCGGTGGTGGCGCACCCTGAGCTTGGCAGTATTGAACCCACCTCGCCCATTCGTCTTGTCCTGCTGGCTGGAATTGAGGATACGACTGAGGCGGCATAGGCGCATTCCACCCCTGGCCAGCGAATGCATTTTGTGGGGGTGGATAATTTGCCATAAATTTTGCACCTGCTGGAGGGGGTATATTTGGCCGCGGCATATTGGTGTTCGCGTCAACTAGGGGGGGCATGTCAGCAAACATGTCATCATGCATGCCGTTCATGCTGGACTATCGGTGTTTAGAGGATGGTTTAGAGGATGTGAAGAGGTGATAATATCGATAAATCGGACCTCCCAGCTTGATAAAGGTGAAGCAGTGTGCACTGCCGTGACGAATGCACCGGCACGTGAACAATGATTGCTGTAGAATCCTGTACTGCCTTGTATTACCCGACTGTTGCAAAGAGTCACTTGCAAACCAGTGCAATCCGACAAACGCTGGCGGCGGAGACTCGGAAGGCCTTACTGATGGATGTGTGTGTTATTATATGTGGGGAGATGCACACTTCCCACAAAGCAAAGCCAGCTAGCAAACCCGGGGAAATGTGGCGTAATACCTGGGACATGATCCCGTGACGGCCTGTACAAGTCGAGAGTCAGGAACAGGGTCAGCGTACCTACGCCACTCACCGAGCTGCACGGACTTTGAATTTAATTCTGAACTCGAGGCTGCTCCCAGACCACGTCCTGTAAATCTTGTCAACGACATCACTCCGAAGATAATAGCGACGGCCCCGAGCAATCACAGAAATGAAAAGATTGGACGTTCCAATAAGCGCCTATTAATGCGATGTAGTTTATTGCATATCTTGGCAGGTATGTCACTTCGAATCTCTCAAGAACAAGAACAAGAATCAGTTTACAAGGAACATCACCGTTTAGCTGATGTTTCCTTCCTCGCTTGGCCTATAGCTGGCGAACATCGCCTTCAGATATCATGGTGACTATTTTCTTCTTTTGACGTCGACAGCCCCGGTGACTAGCTATCTTTCCAGGTATCAATCCATTCGGGCGATCATGTTTGAATCAACACCCTTGGCCCTCATCCCGAATACAATTTGTCATGCAATAGATTTCCTCTCCGCGGAACCTATTGTCCTGCAGGTGGCTTCCGACTCTGTTATATTGTTGACAACCGTTGACCACGAAATGCATCGTGAATAGGGGCGGCCTTCCTTAGCCCTCGTTCAAAGCTGTCATAGGCTGATCCAAGTATTTGTCGCCAGAAGTCTAAGCCCCCGAGCGGGGCCCGCGCTCCACGTTTGATCAACTCATGCAGAAGATTCGACACGACCCCAGTTTCCTCTGTCCTATATATAACGGTATTCCCCGCGTATGATTTCCCTCGATATTATTGAACCATACATTAATACACCTAGCGCGAGAATAAACTGCAATTCTTTTGTCAGGCACCTCGTGAACATCCAGTTCATCACCGTGTGGTGCCCGCGTCTTCAATTCATATTTTCTTTCTTTTCGTGTCTTCAGTCTTGGAGAATTTTCTTCCGCAAACCAGTGTTTGCGACCCGACTCAGCCCCTCGGTAATAAGGTCAGCCAATGGACGGTTGCCGACCGGACATGTACTTGTTCTCTTTTGATTCGGAATAGCCGTCGCTAGGACTGAACCTGACTGAACATCCTTTATTCTATTTTTGATCACATTTCCGACCTTGTAATCTGAATTGGGTTGACAACAAGACTGACCCTGGCATTGTGCGTCTTTTGTCGATGTTGTCTTGAGACAAGGGCCCCTGAAATGTCAACGCAGGTCGAGATATGACTCTCTCGTACGTACTCACCCTTTTCTTTACATACGCAACCACTCCTCATCACATGCCCCATACACGTTTACCTTTGATTCTCCGTCTCAATCAACGTATTAATTCGTCTTCCTGTCGAATATCCGCCCTCAGGCTCAGTCTTTTAATCCAAGGTCAGCTCTGTGCTACGTACACTTTCTTGACTATTACCCTACCTAGTCCCTTCCCATTTCTAGGTATGATCCATAACACAGTCTTTTAATCCAAGACCGAGTCCCTCTCCCGTTCCTAGTCCAAGCCTCCTCATTCTCTGAGAGTTTCAAAGTAAGTTTCACACTTCTCCAAAGCATACGTCATAATTCGACGTTTCTCCATGAGAATGCCGCACTCTAGTGTTCGCCGTTAGATTTAGATAGATAACTACAGCGCAGTTCCCTTTTTTCTCGACCTAGTGACATGTCGCTGCAATGTACATTCGGTCAGAGTAAATGTACAAGACGGGCCGTCTAAAAGGGTGGGCTCACTTGAAGGATAAGCGATCGGGTAGGCTATCGATGATCTAGATACTCGACATCTAGATGCTTAGATCCAGATATATCGAAGCCAACCAAGAACCATCATCGTGATGAGATGCTTGATCATGATCATGATCACCGATTAGATCAGGATGCAAGGTACGGTAGGGTACGGTCCACTGTTTCAAATTGCTTCCATATCAATTTAGGCTCACCGCTACATTACATTGCAATTGGTCCATAAGCGTCGAACATAGTTGAAATCCTCAATCCTCAACATCTGACTGAATAGGTGCACGATAAACTCTTCCCAAGAGTGCTAGTGAAGGTGCATTCATATGAGTATCATGCGCTGGTATGTCCGAATCGTCCTTGAATGACTTGCGAGGTGCGCGTGGAAGTTCATCATCGTTGTTTGGGCTTCCAGCGGATTCCTGAGACAACGACAAAACACTGAGAGATTGGGAGAGCTCATGGTGATGAGTCTCAGGTCCATCTAGTGCAGCGGGCTCTGCATCAGAGTGGGAATCGGTCTTGGGAGCCTTATTCACTAACCAGAGTCCTGTCATCAGTATTCAAAACACTCAGAAACTTGAATACTATCAGCACCTTCGTGTTCGGACCTGCGTCTGGAACGTTTGGGCGGGGGCTGGTCAGCGGTGTCGGTGTCCTCGCCCGAGCTCAAATCGCAAATTCTTCGACGGTTGTTCGAGGATGTGACCTTTGTTTTGCTTCCATCATGCAGACGCTTTATTAGTCTTGTTGCGCAATTCATCCAGAGGGATATATTGTCATCTGAATCTGAGCCCGAGGTTGGAAATATTGTTGTACTCGTGTGAGAGGGTGGGAGGGGTTCTGCCTGCACGACAGACCCGTCTAAACCATGATTGTTTGTAGATTCAAAGTTAGCGTGCTCTTCGTTGTGCACACCACTGTCGTGACCCACTGCAAGATTGTCGGTGTCGTTGTCCGGTTCATAATCACCACCATCCTCTTCACAAACTTCCTTTTCGTAATCGTCATCATAATCACCACCATCCTCTTCATAGGCTTTCTTTTCGTAATCGTCATCATTCTCATCATCATCAACTACAAATCCATCACGCTCGTAGTCATCATCCAGCTCCACAGATCCGCGGTCATCGTCCCATCTTCCAAGAAGTTGCCCTGTAGGATTTTCCACGTGCGCAGGTGCTCTAGGATGGCAGGGCCGTCGGTGAGTGTCGAGATGTTTCCTGTACCTGACAACTAGGTCTTTGAACCTGTAATACTGGGAAAAGTAAACACCAAGTATCAGGTACAGCCGCGCTAGGGAACTTCCGACTCACCCACAGACATTTGTTACGCTCTGGTTTCAGACAGAATTTGATGAAACCAGGACGCTTGTACACATCATCGAGCCTATGTCCCAGATACCGCTTTCCAAGCCATATTTTGACCGATCCTGGGGACTTCTGGCCATATACCTTGTCTAAGTAAAGACGATTTGCCTCTGCCAAGTTTTGGTGCTATGGTTTTAGGGTGATTGCAGCGCATGCGCTGCTGACTGGCGATCAACTTACCCAGGTATTACCAGCCCGTAAAGAATCGATACACCACCAGATGGAACCTTCTGGTACTTTATCGAGTCTTTTATTTTCGTGCTCTCCACAGGGAAATGGGTAGGCTTCGGGTATTTGAAGGAGTAATATCTCGTATCGTTGATGGGCCTTTATGTAGGCGGAATACTAAATATATTATCAGTGTCAACCGTAATTACTGTACGGAGTTCTGACCCAGGAGTTTTTTGCAAGATAGGAATGTGTTGCCTACCACTTGAGACAGAATCGAGCCGTTTACCAGTAAATTGTCCACATGGGAATGGGTATGCTCCAGGATCGTCATTTTTGTGAGAAAGCTCATCGCTATCCACGACACCTTCGTTGTTATGTGCCATAGCTCGTACGTAGTGATTCTGTGGTGATTGTATTCAACTTGGGCGTGATACCAATTGAAATTTGAACGCCACGTGCACGTGATTCGTCATGCCCATAAATATTCATTCATCTCAGGCTACTACTGATAGTACTATGAATTTATGATACTCTGTGAGTCGTTGTCGAGGGACTCGCATCATACAGACATGCTTCGAAGTCGCAGAGACTTGCGGGGTGCGTGTGGAAATTCATCATCATTGCTCGAGCTTCCAGCGGATTCCTGAGACAACGACAAGGCACTGAAAGATTGGGCTAGGAGATGTATCCTGTACCTGTAAACTAGGTCTTTGAACCTGTAATACTAGGGAAAAGTAAACACCAAGTGTCAGGCACAGCTATGTAACTTCCGACTCACCCACGTGAATTCTTCATGCTCTGGTTGCAGGCAGAATCTGACGAAATCAGAACGATTGTACACATCATCGAGCCTACATCCCTGATACCGCTTTCCAAACCATATTTCGACCGATCCTGGGGACTTCTGGTCGTACACCTTATCCAAGTAAAGGCGATTTGCCTCTGCCAGGTTTTTGTGCTATGATTTTAGGGTGATTGCAGCGCACGCGCTGCTGACTGGCGATCAACTTACCCAGACATTATGAGCCCGTAAAGGATGGATACTCCACCAGATGAGATTTTCTGGCACTTCATCGAGTCTTTGGTTTTCATGCTTCCCAAAGGGAAAGGGATAGGCTTCGGGAGTTTGAAGGAGTAATTTCTCGTATCGTTGATTAGCCTTTATGTAGGCGGGATACTGAATTTATTATCAGTATCAACTATGATCACTATACGTAGTTCTGACCCAAGAGTATCTTGCAAGATCGGGTCCTGTTGCCCACCGCCTCAACCTATGTGAGACAGAATCGAGCCGTTTACCAGCAAATTGTCCACATGGGAATGGGTATGCTCCAGGATCGTCCAAATCTTCGTGAGAAAGCTCGTCGCTGTCCACAACACCTTCGTTGGTATGTGCCATGTGTTGTACACGACTAGATAGACGAACTAAAGACAAAATAATGTGAGATAAAGCCGCCGGTATGCAGGAGAAACGCGAAACATACCTCAGAGTTCAGGTACTACTAAGAACTGCTGAGGTTTGAACAACCAAAAACGAAAGATTATAAGGTCAGAGTCCGTGATAACATAGACAAACTGAGTGGCGATGTTGCACTCACTACACCATGGCTGATCATGAAGGACCCTGACTGGAACGATGGGACCTGTGTTGATTTTCTGTTTGTAACGTCGTCAATAGGGGGGCAGATTATGAAAAAAAATTGTAGTCACATTGTTTTGCGTTGTTTGTTGCATCACTTTTGCGTCGTACCTGAGATCGTTACCATGCTTTTAATCAAAGCGAATGTAACTTTTCAAGGATGAAGGTACTTCAATTATGTATGTCTCGCAACTGTACCTTGGTGGATAAAAAGTTCCGCATCTCTCTCCGCTGTCTGAGCTTGACTTCACGTATTTATTCATTCTAGTGTCCTACTGTAGACACTTGTACGGTTCTTGCTACCTCCCTTCATACCATAGACTTGGTAACCTTGTGAATAGCACAAGTTTTGGTCTGCAACAAGCTTCGGTTTTTCGTTTACAACCTCCTACGTAAGACTCGTCGCACAGATCTAGAGTCAGGCACTGTATCAACTCTTAGTACTCCAAATTAGTTGAACTTTTGATATCTGAGGACAAGATGGTGATTATGAATGGAATAAGAGACAGTGCCAGGTACGAAATAGGCACTGCAGATGGGTTAAGCGGTTGACTCATGAGGAGCGACTTCGGACGCGAACATTAACATCGCCGCTCCAGACTTGAAAGCTGATAGCAAATCTAAAATAGTTATTCAGAAATTTGTGACATCTTTGATCAATCGCGGATAGTTAAATGAGAGCTTAGCAGAAGACTCGACCATGCTCTTGGTAGTATATGTACACGATGCTTAGTAGTGTAAAGTACTGTGAATCACGTCCAGCAAAAGTCACCTGCAACCTAAACCTCACTAAGCCGTCGCAATCTCTTCTGGGGGCTGCCAGACTAGCGACGACATAGGGTGCTGCTCTGACCGATCACTGTTTCGAATATTCTCGGACTCCCAAAGCCGGTAGTGCATACGTGTTGCCAAGAGTGCATGCATATTTATCTGAGGGCTGTTGATTGCGATGAAGTCAGCATTTACGACGAGCACTTGCCTGAGAACGTCACGCACCTGAAGAAAATTGCGGCGTATTCGTACTATGCGTATAAGCGGGATGTCAGTTCGTGTAAAAGCCTAGCGACAAACGGATCAAACTGACTTTGAACAGCGCCACACACAGGACGTTGATAGTGCTGAAGACTAGAAGGAAAGAGTTAATTGTACTGTCATAGATGTAGAACTCACGCACGAAGTCCGCAACCATAGTAGAACAAATGGTGCGTGAGGAGAAGTGTAAGGAGTGGCGTTGGTGTCGATCTGAAATTCTTTGCAGCCCTTGTAGTGGTAAGGATAACAAGGACTGACAATGGAAGTCAGAACTCCGGAGGAAGCTATGACAAAAAGTTCTTCATACCAAGTTCTAACATCAAGAGCGCCAGGAACGCCACCAATAACTGGGGCTTTTTTGCAACTTGAAGTGGTTGACATTCCATAATATCAGGTACAAACACACCCTGCCTCGGGACAAAGATAAACATGATTATCCCAGCAACTGCTATACACTGTTATCGCGAGATCCCTGAGTAAAACTTCGCAGGAAATTTGATAAAGGATACATACAGCTATGATCACGAACATGACCCAACGTACAGGGCGTTTCACCCCCCACATGGCGCAGGTTCGGAGTATGAAAATGGCTAAGAAACGATGTGAATTAATGAAAGTTCAAGGTAAATGTCACAAACATTCTGCGCAGAATTCTGCCGCCATGCTGAGGGCTAGATATAATAGTTGTCAGCACAACCTTAACATCAGCGATAATTAAAGAAGCCCTGCCTGCTGCAAGACTATCTAAACTCTGACAGTCCTATGGAAACAGTGAGAGACACGTATACTACTGTCAAGGTCACCCACGTACAGCATTTCCCAAGCTAGACACGTTGTCAACTGGGATATGAGTGAGCTTAAAAACATAACAGAGTGTATGGCGCGGGCTCACAGATGAGATTAGGAATAGGTACGAACAATGGTATATAGCGGGCTCCAATATACAGAAATTTTGCAAGATTCGTGTTGGCTTGGGCGAGAAACGTTGCCTGTGTGAATGGGGATGAGACCAATAACTGCGAGCATAAACGGTATCATCACCTCTTGTTGGAATGTTAACAATAAATCATAAACCTTTCATTTGGATAAATGAAAGAAGTTGAGCTGAATATTCAAGGGACACTCACCCAAAAAGCAGCAACCGCGGCTATGATGTTTTTGTCAGAAATTCCTTCTTTCATAATGCGAGAGGACACACCATCGCTATACTAAGAGTAGTCTCTCAGTTGGAATCAGTGCTGCTTTGGTTCAGACAGACACTTACATTCAGAACCCGAATGCTCCATACTACCGTCAGGAAATCATCCACTGAAGGTACGACGGAAGTGGACATGAGGATGAGACTGAAGGCTGGCCGGGAAGAAGTGTCCATTCATCCTTTTAAATCGACAGGTAAGTGGCCCAGTAACCTGTGCTTCATCCACGTAGATAATACTTAATATTTGTCGTATATTCAGAGTGTCGGACGTTCTCAGTATCACCGCATTCCCGTTGAAAGTGATGGCATCAAGAACGTGAGTGATAGAAACAATCGCGCTCATTCTTGGGTTCAACGTTCCGTCACGGGGTATCATTTAAATTAAATTTAATGCTGCCGCAGTTCGGGAACAATAGATAACTACCTCTAACTTGTGATAGTTTATGGGACTCAGTTGGATTTAATCTATTTGTATCTAAGTTATTGCAGGATGGATTTCCTGATGCTCCAAGCGAGCATCCAGCGCCAAAGCCATATAGGCTTTCTTACAACAGTCATTCAGAAATTTGTGACATCTTTGATCAATCACGGATAGTTAAATACAGCTTAGCAGAAGACTCGACCATGCTCTTGGTACTATATGTGCACGATGCTTAGTAGTGTAAAGTACTGTGGATCACTGTCCAGCAAAAGTCACCTGCAGCCTGAACCTGACTAAGCCGTCGCAATATCTTCTGGGGGTTCCCAGACTAGCGACGACATAGGGTGCTGCTCTGACTGATCATTGTTTCGAATATTCTCGGACTCCCAAAGCCGGTAGTGCATACGTGTTGCCAAGAGTGCATGTGCAATGATTTGGGGGCTGTTGATTGCAATGAAGTCAGCATTTACGATGACCACTTGGAGAACGTTACGCACCTGAAGAAAATTGCAGCGTATTCGTACTATGCGTACAAGCGGAATGTCAGCTCGTGTGAAAGCCTCAGGGGTGACAAAAGGATCAAACTGACTTTAAACAGCGCCACACACAGGACGTTGATAGTGCTGAAGACTAGGAGGAAAGAGTTGATTGTGCTGTCATAGATGTAAAATACACGCACGAAGTCCGCAACCATAGTAGAACAAATGGTGCGTGAGGAGAAGTGTAAGGAGTGGCGTTGGCGTTGGTCTGTAATTCTTTACAGCCCTTATAGCGGTAAGAATAACAAGGACTGACGATGACAGTCAAAACTCTAGAGGAAACTATGACAAAAGTTCTTCTTACCAAGTTCTAACATCAGGAGCGCCAGAAGCGCCACCAATAACCGTGGGGTTTTTGCAATTTGAAGTGGTTGGCATTCCATAATATCAGGTACAAACACATCCTCCCTCGGGACAAAGATGAACATGATTATCCCAGCAACTGATACACACTGTTGTCGCGAGATCCCTGAGTAAAACTTAGCAGGGAATTTGATAAAGGATACATACAGCTATGATTACGAACATAACCCAACGTACAGGGCGCTTCACCTCCCACATAGCGCAGGTCCGGAGTATGAAGATGGCTAAGAAACGATGAGAATTGATGAAAGTTCAAGTTAAAATTCACAAACATTCTGCGCAGAATTCTGCAATCATGTTAAGCGCTAGATATAATAGTTGTCAGCACAACGTTAACATCGGTTATAATTAAAAAAGCCCTGCCTGCTGAAAGACTATCTAAACTCTGACAGTCCTATGGGAACAGTGAGGCACGTATACGATTGTCAAGGTCACCCACGTACAGCATTCCCCAAGCCGGGGACTTTGTCGACTGGGACACGAGTGGGATTAAAAACATAATAGAGGATGAGTATATGGCGCGGGCTCACAGATAAGATTGGGAATACGTATAAACAATGGTATATAACGGGCTCCAATATACAGAAACTTTGCAATATTCGTGTTGGCTTGGGCGAGAAACGTTGCCTGTGTGAATGGGGGATGAGACCAATAACTGCGAGCATAAACGGTGTTATCACCTCTTGTTGGAATGTTGACAATAAATCATAAATCTTTCGTCTGAATAAGTGAAAGAAGTTGGGCTAAAAATCCAAGGGGAGACTCACCCAAAGAGCAGCAACCACGACTACGATGCCATTGTCAGAAAGTTTCTGTTTCACAGTGCGAGAGGACACACCATCACTATACTAAGAGTAGTCTCTCAGTTAGAATCAGTGCTGCTTTTGTTCAGAGAGACACTTACATTCAGAACCCGAATGCTCCATACTACCGCCAGGAAATCATCCTGAGGTACGACGGAAGTGGACATGAGGGTAAGACTGAAGGGCTGGCCGGGAAGAAGTGTCCGTTCATCCTTTCAAATCGACAGGTAAGTGGACCAGCAACCTGTGCTTCATCCACGTAGATAATACTTAATATTCGTCGTATATTCAGAGTGTCAGACGTAGTATCACCGCATTCCCGTTGAAAGTGATGGCATCAAGAACGTGAGTGATCGGAGGCGCTGGTAAGCATTATGCGGTGAATAGATATCTGTTTGACCGCGCACTGTCTCCTTCTCGGATTTTTAGAAACAAGAAAATTAATCGCGCTCATTCTTGGGTTCAACGTTCCGTCACGGGGTATCATGACATTTTTAAAAGGTCCGCAACAGCCCACGACCTGCGATGCGACGTGCGTGAATGCGAGCATGGTGCAATCAACACAGGCTGAACTTCAAGCACATCTCTCAGGGAAAGTCCAACTCCTCATAGGACTCGTAGCTGTCACCTACTGAACGTCAATAACGATGAACTCAATAAGCTCGGGCTCACCAACGATGATGATATTGATTAACCTGATTCCGATGCATTGCTCATGGCAGCTCTCGAAAATCGATCCCTTGCAGTGTCTGTGACTGGTGCCGGTGATGGGTCCAAATGTTCATGAAGAGTCTTGGTCGATGACCGATTCAGACCGTGCTGACTAGAGGAGTTCCAAATATAGGAAGAAAAATAGGCACTCATCACTCATTCCAACAAACTTCTACTAGTTACCTGCGCGACATCTAGTAGCGCAAGTCCGACCTGAATGCTAATCACGGATGCTAAAACTTGCGCAAAAACCCAGTGGATCGGCTCGACACTTTCACACCTCTGCTCGAGTAGCTGCACTCGTTCAGAAGCAGAAGCAACATTTTAACCATATACAACCGCGACCTGTCATAGGCGGAGTTGATGTGAAACAAGGAAGAGAAAGAGAACGTGACGTAGTCCGAAAAACAGTCAAGCATGGTGCGCTATGGATTCAATCTCATTCTCCCGCAACTAATAAGATTGGACAGTCAAGCGCAATGAGCTCGGAGTTCAGCTACTTTCTCGGGAATTGCATTCACAAATATTTCGCAACGTCTCATTTCCTGCACCATCGAAAGCATACGTTCGTATTGCACAGGAACATCTGGAAATGCATGGATTAGACCCTAAACAAGGCTCTGTTCTTCCTGATATCGGCTTCACCCTCCCACCCCTTTTAGGCTCAAATATCGATGAGCATTTCTACAGAATGGGTAGTCAGTCCGCTGAACCATGGCTAGACATTGCGAAAGATTTCGCATCCATCCAACTTCCTCCAAAACCCGATCATTGGGATATTCAATCGGGATGGACGAAATACCACTTCCTTGCTGATGGTTCGAGCTACAGCGAGCATGTCGATTTCCCGCAGCACGAAGGCAATGCAGAAGAAGTGCTCACATTTGACGTAGAAACCATGCCCGCATATCATCCTTATGCTATCATGGCATGTGCTGCCTCAAAGAATGCCTGGTACAGTTGGATATCGCCCTGGTTGCTGGGAGAATCGGTTGAGCAGCAACACCTCATTCCCTTAGGGGATACGCTTTCTCCACGCGTAGTCGTTGGTCATAACGTCTGCTACGACCGAGCGCGCATTCGGGAGGAGTACAGCTTACATGGAACTCAGACCCGCTTTCTCGATACGATGGCTTTGCATGTTGCAGTGAAGGGAATATCTTCTCACCAAAGACCTGCTTGGATGCAGCACCGCAAGTCCAAAGAGACTCAGAAAATACGTCGTGCCGAAGCGGTTGAGGCCGTCGTAGAACTCATGCGTGATACGGAGTTTAAATACGAGCAAGAGGATGATGAAAATAAACGAGAAGAACTACGCCGTCTCCGTGCTGATCTCGAGGAGAGTCTTCCGCAGCTCGAAGCTGCCGATACCGATGCCGTGGAAGCTGATCTCTCAAGTAAGCGCTGGGAAGATCTGACATCTGCCAATTCACTGGCTGATGTCGCCAAGCTGCACTGTAATATCGATATGGACAAAGAAGTTAGAAACGACTTCATGAAATCCACGCCAGCAGAGATAGCGGATAACATCCACGACTACCTTAACTACTGCGCGCAAGATGTCTTCGTTACTCACGCTGTGTTTTCCAAGGTCCTATCAGCTTTCCTTGACCGCTGCCCAAGTCCCGTATCATTCGCTGGAATTCTTGCGATGGGTTCCAGTTTCTTGACGGTGAACGAGACCTGGGAATCATATCTTGCGGACGCAGATAGGGTCTACAAGGAGTTAAATGGGAAAGTGAAAAGGCGCCTTGTCGAACTCGCGGAGAAAGCCAAAGATAGGATGGATGACGAATCCTGGAAGGATGATCCTTGGCTCTCCCAACTCGATTGGACACCTAAAGTAGCAGGGAAATCTAGGGGTGTCGTGCCGGCTGAACAGGTGTGTTTCAAGGTTGATATACCGAACTTCTATTGATTTCTTCCTTTTGCAGCCGAACTCGGCGGCGTGCCAATCTGTCCCCGATTCTTCCTCCCGACGTAAAAAGTCCTCTCCTAAGGAGCCCAAGCCAAAGGTGTTTTGGCCGAAGTGGTACTGGGATCTCGCAAAGCCCAAGAAAGACATGCCTCCCGGCACGCTGGATGTCACCGTACGGAATCGCATTGCTCCCATCCTCCTTCATTTGTCTTGGCAAGGTTGGCCACTCTTCCACTCTCGGGAACACGGCTGGACCTTCCGCGTTCCTAGGGACGTCAATTTCCCTACCCGCTTTTCTCAGCTTGATTTCTATGATCCTAAGGATGACATCCTACAAGACATGTGCTCGAAGGGAGGTTTTGTGTTCTACAAGTTACCACATAAAGACGGGGAAAAGGCGAACGTGGGCAGTCCGCTTGGAAAAACGTTCATGAAATATGCACAGGATGGGACGCTTACTAGTCCTGGCGATGAAGCGAAGGATGCACTGGACATGAACGCGCAGTGCAGCTATTGGATCAGCGCGCGTGATCGCATTATCAATCAGATGGTAGTCTGGCAGCGGGGAGCGTTAGATCTGCAGTTCAAACCACCTGAATCTTCCGACGAACCCCAAAAGTGGGGTATCATCCTTCCTCAGGTGATTACAATGGGCACTGTGACGCGCCGCGCTATCGAGAAGACGTGGCTCACGGCGAGCAACGCGAAGAAAAACCGCGTTGGCTCGGAGCTCAAAGCCATGGTGCGCGCACCCAAGGGGTACGCCATCGTCGGCGCGGATGTGGACTCAGAAGAGCTGTGGATTTCGAGCTGTATGGGTGACGCACAGTTTGGATTACACGGTGCTACGGCTCTTGGATGGATGACGCTTGAAGGCACCAAAGCCGCGGGAACAGATCTTCATTCAAAGACAGCGAGCATCCTAGGCATCTCTCGTGACCAAGCAAAAGTGTTCAACTATTCCCGAATCTATGGTGCTGGGATGCGCCATGCAGTCCTACTCCTTCTACAGTCGAATGCCGGTATGCTGCCCGAACAAGCTCAACGCCTCGCAGAAAATTTGTACGCATCAACTAAGGGCAAGAACACGCATCGCACGGATTTGTTTGGGAGGAAATTCTGGTATGGTGGAACGGAGAGTTTCGTGTTTAACAAGCTAGAAGAGATCGCGCTTTCTGAACAACCACGAACTCCAGCTCTCGGATGCGGAATCACAGCTGCCCTGTCAAAGGAGCTTCTTCCGGAAAAATTTGGATCAGATTACATGACATCACGCATAAACTGGGTTGTGCAGTCCTCTGGTGTCGACTACTTGCACCTCCTCATTGTCGCAATGGACCATCTTGTCAAACAATATGGTATCAAGGCTCGTTATCTCATCTCGGTCCACGACGAGTTACGTTACTTGGTTGTCGAAGAAGATCGTTATCGAGCTGCACTCGCGCTGCAAATCGCCAACTTATGGACGCGGAGCCTTTTTGCCTTTAAGCTAGGAATGGATGACTTACCTCAGGGGGTCGCGTTCTTCTCAGCTGTTGATATCGACAAGGTACTCAGAAAGGAGGTTGATATGCCATGCGTCACACCTTCTCATCCTGTCCCTATCCCTCCTGGAGAAAGTTTGGGTATTGCTGACGTTTTGGAGAAGACAAACAGCGGTTCATTGTGGAAGGATGGACGCCCCATGAGTGCGGACTTTACGCCTTCCAAAGCGTCCGACCAGCATGAAAGAGGCTATGAACCTCCTAGGTGCCTCATTCATCGTGCTGAGAGTGCGGCTTGGCTGCGAGCTCAAGCTACCTCCGAGTTTCCTGAAATTAAGCATCTTGCGCAGACATCAGGGCGGGTGATCAATTCCAAGATCAGTGGCGCACAGAGCGGTAATGAAGAAAAAAAGCGTGGGCGCCGGGCGAAACACGCATCGATGGATGTGGGTGACTGGGAGGCGATGCAAGAAGTGTTGAAATCAGGTAACCTAGGGTGAAGTGTAGCACCTGACGTACCGACGGATCATGTTCACAGGGATATCTTATCATTGCTGTATAGTATTTTAAATTAGACCTTGCATAATATTAGAGTATACCCTTTTCTGTTGACTGCGAGATCCGTGTAGACTTGAACTTGTGGGTCCAGGGTCATCAATTCATCAGCGGTTGAACGGATTAACAGTTATCGACGTGTTCTCGTGAGACCGCCATCAGCGCGACGCTTGCCTTTTATGGGTGACCGGTACCGCAGAATCCCGCCTCATAGCCATACTTGGAAATCCCGCCCAGCGCCACATCAAAGGTTCGGCGTCTGTTCTGAAGTTCTTGTTCAACTTCACCATATCCAACGATGTTCGCTGTCCCGCCCATATCACTCGTGCACAGCGCTCTCCAATTAAATCCCGACACACGATGGGCGCGAGAAGTCTACAAATAACTTCTTGACGTCTCCTACGGGATATAAAAGACACGCAGCATGATAGTCGAGTCATTCAGCGTACTGCGCATCTCCAAGTCTGGTAACGCCCCGCCTATATTATTTCTGACTCGCGCAATCTCTCTGACTCCAATCTAACACGATGAACTATCGGATTGGATTCTCTGCCTCGTCATCGCATCACAGGTCTTGGGCTGTGCACAATGCACAATCTAGCTCCAGTAGCCAAGCCTTCCAAGGCCATTGGTCTGCGCTCCAGGGATTGTCTCCGACCCCAATCCCAAAAACTCCTCATCTCCACTCAGTATCACTCCCGCACCCAAATGCAGTTTCACATCAAACTCCTATGTCTTGTATGCAATCCTCCTTTTCGTTCACACTTTACGCAGATCTCACATCTATTGTCGTTAGACCAACATTCTTCTACACCCCACTCTTCATTCATAGTCTTGCACTCACTCTTGAGTTATGGTCCCAATTTGAGATTTAACATCACACAAGATCTGGCACATGTGCAACTACGACCAGGCTGTTCACCTAGCATGCTTCATGAGCTTGCGGTGCAACCTCCAGTCTCTCATATGATTATCACTTCTCCTGAGCTTTGTGCTTGGACGATAGAAGTTGTGAGCCCTCGTGGTATCACTGTGAACAACGTCCTTGCCATGATATGTGAAACGCTCAACCGGAGTGTTGCCTCGCACGAGATGCAAAGATCTTCTCGTGCGGTCAATGCTGCTATCGATTCTTTCAGGGCCAGGTCCCGCGCTGACCCGCGCGAACATGCGCAGGGCGTGAAACGCGTTGACTTTTTGGGTCCTAAAGTTTTCTTTGCTGGCCTTTCCCGAGCTCGAGATGGTTCAGACAGCTGGGAAATTCATTTCGCCCAAAATGTTTGATCCTCGTCATGCGCGGGTCGCCTTGGCTCTTCCTTATCTTTCGGCAGATTGCACTGGTCTAGGTATATCTAGCTCAGTCTCAATGGGCTTTGGTCGGATCTTCATCACTCGACACTGCCCGGTCTAACTTTACTTGGTAATTTGCCGTCACCGCTCTCTTCTTCGCATCTATATTCGACAGCCCCTAATTTGTTTTTATCGCTATCTCTGTCCGCAATTTTTTTTTTTTTTGATTCATGTAACGGAATAGTTTGGAAAGTTTGCATTCATATACCAGGACACTTGTAGTTTTATTAACCACGTACTCAATCTCCACGGCAATCCAGTGTATTCATTACTTGATATTTGACTTGTGATACTCAGTGGGTGGTTCGAGCGGATGAAAAATCTTGATTCGTCAGAGTCGGTATGATACCATTGACAAGTGAGTACTAGTGCGTTCACATTCAACGTTCAGCAGGGGCGCCGCTTGCAAATGAATACTGAACTTTAACACCGTTCATTTCCATGAAACGTTTCCCTCCTGTCAGCGCAGTAAGGGGGCGAACGAATCCTACAGTAATGACTCTCGAATTAATTGAAGAACGAGCTAATGGAAGCCGCGCACTTTCTGTGAGGCTATCCCATATACTTACGTGGTTCCCTTCCTTGTGGTTTCCTGTTGACGTCAGCCCAATAGTAGAAAGTTGCGCAACTTCAAATTAATGGACGCTACGCCGCATTGTATCATCAGGTGCTCAAGATTAGGTTAGATCTCCTACACTCGAAATTCTGGACAGAAATATCAAGAACTTCATTTCTCATGGAGTCCGACCCCCTGCCGCATACCCAGACACTTCGAATAGAACTTGCCAAGTTAGGATTCATAATAAAAATCATTTCACGTGACGTGTGTCAACGCGTTCGTGTCGACGTTTGAACCAACTTCCACCCCCATCACTACCTTGCCCACGAATCATTAAAACATGTTTTTATCTTTTTATCTTTTTATCGTACTCGCGCACGTATTGCTGGCAGTCGCCGCGCGGTCTACGAACAGATACCAAGGTCTCAGGGTCGATACGATACATGCAGATCAACGGCACAACGAGACTCTCGCCACGAGAACGAGCTTACAGAACAAGAAACCTTATCGCTCTAAAAAAACAGGCGCGAAACAGGTCGCCCGCCTCCAAAGGCGATCTCGCTTGCTATTAAATAATACTACCCAAACCCGCCGTCCTCGAGTAAACGCTGCGCCAACGCCTCAGCCTACAGGCCCCTCCTCTGTCTCGACTACCGTCTATATAAACAGCGTGACCGACTTTGCACTTTTACTTCCTTCAAGGGATGGAGGTTCGTCTCTCTTTAGTATTTTTCATTGCGCACTTGATCACGCTGTTCTCCTTTAGAGTACATATCAGATGCTGAAACTGACGCGACGGCGTATTGTACCAATGGATCTAACTGCCAGAACACATTCTCAGCTGACTTCATCACTGGCGCCATTATCTCGGAGGCAAGCGATGGGTCCTATAAACAGGTCAGTGGAGTTTTATTTAGCTGTCTGCGACCATTTCCTCGGTACTGATGGACGTACTAGATCACCGGATGCTTGGATCCCGGAAAGTTCCACTTTGCACAGGACGACGCAGGAGGCCAGATGGATTCTCGATTTCCTAACGGCGCGAAGTGCACCTTCGGGGGATACGGCGCAAGCTTTATTGAGCAGTCTGTTCCGTTTTTCACCTTTGTTTGATTCACTTACCGGATGTTCACCAGGGTCGAGCCCTCTGCCAATCGTTTCTGCCTTCGCTGTTGCGCATCCTCAGATGACCAGGTCAATTGCAATTCACATAACGACAAAGCTGGCTGTCCTGTTGCTGTTCCTGGTGTATATGACTTTGATGGCGGAGTGAGCTGCTCCTGACACGGCAGCGTCAACAATCTATTTCAATCCTTTCATTCATTCACGCATTTGTAGCATGACTGACGTATTTGTAATGCCATTCGTAATGTATCACTATGCCCAAGCCGTTACGGCGGAATACAAAATCATAAAGAAGTCGTGTAATAAATTCATACATATGCCTGATGCCTAAGTATGCTATATAATCGTGAATGCCAGAGATGTAACGCCGTCTGTGGACACGCCGTAAAAGGTTTCGCAGGGATATCAAGCGAACAACCAGAACCAGCTCCGGTTGCTGTAGATCTCCAAAGTTGAAAATCTCGGCTTCAAGCCTTACCAAACATAAGTTTTCCGGAGCCGGCGCCGGGTCCATGCTTCTCCACTTCTATTCCGATCAAACGAGTCTTCCCATGCAGCCAATCCACCCGTCGGACTCCGCCTTCCCATCCGCCTCCCAATCTAGTACACCGTTGTTCGTACGCCTGCGTGACTTTCCGCTGTGCCCTGCTTCCATTACCAAGAGCCTCCCACTCCTGAGGCGTGACTCTCGTGAGAAGCGTCTCATGTAATGCATGAAGAAGGTCGAGATTAGTGATATCTGGCGAGCGCCCATTTCTGCAAGCCCCGACGACTACGGGCCACGGGAACTTATCTGAACGGAGCAGGATACGGGATGATGCTGGAGTCGGCGGGTCTGTGGCTGGTTGAGACAACGTATGGGCATCGACAGGCGAATGTGTAGTGCGGTCGAGAACTGTCCGCGGCGAAGGAGCGTATATGACGTCGTAATTTATGGGCGCAGAGTGAAGTCGAGTAGAGGCAAAGAGAGGATGCATGTGCAGTGCAGGTGCGCGTCTTCCATGTGGATCCATTGCAATATCTGTGCGCCGTTAGATAGCTAATCCCACACCTATTTTAAGAGACTTACATGAATGAGCCGATCCATTCGCGGATGAGATGCTACTTTGCCAAGTATGACGCTGTTGGAGCGAAGGCCGTCTGTCGTATTGGAGAACGTGGGATGCCATGGATGGTGTGCCTGGATGCATGCTTGGATAACCTGAAGAAGAACTTGAACTGGTGCGAGAAGATGCACCATAAGAAACGGGTGGCGCATAATTGTACAAAGGATAATGCCCGACTTGACAATGAATGTCAATTTCAAATGCGCTCGTTGACCGCTGAAGATAGAAGACGTACGATGTTCGGATGACTTGTAGCTGGCACGCCTGTAGAGCGGCACCTTCTCAACATTCGACGGAGTCCCGTATCTCATGTCTCTGGCATCGTCGAACGCGGTATATCGCAGTGGAGATGGACCTGTTGCGGCACTGAAGCTATTGCTTCTTTTTGTCTTCAGGCGTGAGGAAGAGCTTGCACCAGCTGGTGGGCCATAGAAGAAATTTGCAGGATTGCGTGAGCGTGAATGGGACTTGGAATGGTGGTCGTGACTAGGAGACTGGCTGCCACCAAAGATGGAACGGAAGTAAGAGGTCATTATGACTTTTGTTCGTGAAGTGAGTGACAAGTGATAGTCAAGTGTCGTGTCGTTGCTCGAGGTACTGAACCAAGAGGTGGGATGAACTCGGCAAGAGAAGTGTACGGCCGGGTTCTTATAAGCGTAGAGGATAGCCGTTATGCCTGGATCGGATCGCCTGTGAGTTCCAGACATATCCTGGCGAAAAATACTTACATGAAGTAAGAGCACCCCTAGAAAAGCCGTGGAGGTGCTATTGGATGACAAACATGGATTTAATGCCGAGAGGGGAGATTGCAATAAAAGATCTGTTGACCAAAAGCGCATTGTCAGGTCAATGCGGTGGATCAATGATCACGTCTTAGACGCTGTCCGGAAAGTCCGTGAGTAATGAAGCACGACCAATACAGGGAAGTGACAATATAAAATGGCCTGGACAGGAAAGAGTTCCTTCCTGTGAGAAGTTTGAGTAAAGTTCGGAACGAGTAGGAACAACGGTGGCGACGCGGTTGAATGTGTTATACTATCTTGATTGGAAATTGCTACCATGAGGTTTGATGCCAAACCCGTCATCAAAGGCGATTCGGTTCACGACATTCACGACGCATGTAAAACGCGTGTTTTCCTTTTATGGAAAAGGCGCGGCGGTACACCTTTATCGCTGTGGCTTCTCGTAGATAGCACTTTTGACAACAACCTGATTTTCATAGGTTGATAATTTCAGCCATGAGACTAGAAAAGTCTTAAGGAGCTGGTACTCACCATGTCCGATGTGGTACAGAGTCACCAGGTCCGCCGAAAGATAGTAAAGGCGGCGCATGGTCACCCTAATACAGCCAAGCGGCGCGCAAGAAGTCTTATCAAACCCGACATGCAAAGGGCACGCGAGATATTCGGTTGAATCACACCAAGCGGGGTCTAGACTCTTGTGGCGCTTAAGTAAAAGAGTACTAAGGAAAAAGAAAAGAGGGACAGACCTCATCCGAGTTCGCTAAGGAAATGAAGCCATAGCGAGATGAACTATTTCCGGTTAGACAATCTGATTGCACCGCAACGTCTTCAAACTTGAGTTTCCTTCCCAGTGACAGCCGCACTCTCTATGTGGCGAGACAGGTTGTATGAACCAGAGAAGTATACTTCTCTGTATAGAAGCTAAAAGCATGTGCAGCCATCAACTTAGAACGAGAGGAGCAAACCGAAACAAGGTTAAAGACTTAAAGTTGAGTTTTGATGAGTCTTCATGGAATATCCCACAGGTCAGGTCGACCACAGGGTCCAAGCTCAAGATCGGCGGTTGATGAGCAGAAACAAATCAACAAACTGATGGAACAAATGTGCTAATCAAGCATACCTCTTGACAATGCAGTTCCTGGCCTGCGCATAATCAACTACATACAAACTTTTTGGCGCGATACGGCAATATAAGTATTACGAATATTGTTGGTCACTGGTGACAATGAATTGAATGATCAGTCTCAGATCTGTTTGGATCAGAAGCTTTTGCCAAACACGCCTCTTTAACGTTTAATATTTAGTCATTCTGTGAAGTTGTTTGTTGAACGTATGTTGTTTCCAACTTGCAGCCCGAATATTCAAAATACTGATGGACCCTGCAGACACATAACATGCGGAACTTCATTTCTAGGTTAACACACAAGAGACGTGACAGCAAGACCGAATCAGGGCCTGGTTTTCAAGAAACATTTCAAGAAAGCATTTACCGATATCGCAAGCAGCGCGGAGTTAATCTTGGTAAGCTCAACTAAAATGAATTATCCGAGTGAAAAAGCGAGCTTAGCGTGTTCAGGATCGTGGTTCGTTTTAGAGCGGTGGGTATCCGGATCCCCATTTCAAGGCGCCGCCGGCAACGGACAAAGTGATCTGGATGTTGCCAAGGGTCTCCATGCGAAGCAGGTTCTAGAACATCACTGGGACTCCTGGATCACCTCCAACGATTTCGAATGGCTCGCGGCAAGGGGAATCAACACTGTGCGGATCCCAGTGCGCATTTTCTTGTATTAGCACAATGGCTTCATCTCATGCAGCCTTGAACAGATCGGATACTATCATATCTGTGCACTGGACCCATCGATCCTTACTCGAACCGACTTCGATGGTCTTCAACATGTTTTTGAAGGTGCATGGAGTAGACTCGTTGCCGCGGTAATCACTGCCCAGAGCTTTGGAATTGGGGTGTTGTTTGGTGTGCCGTTCGTTGAGTGGACATATCCTATTTCTCACTCGCAAATTTCAGACCTCCATGCAGCTCCTGGTAAACAAAATAAAGATTCACATTCCGGAACGTCGTCCCCGGTAATATCATTTTTCAACAGCAAATTAAACATGCAGCTAGCCATTCGCACTCTCCGGGCACTGGTCACACAACTCATCGCCTTGCGGGCACATGAACCCGCAATTGACAATATAGTTGGTGTACAGCTTCTCAACGAGCCTCACCCTTCATCACACCAAACACTCTACAACTGGTACAGGGAGGCGATCCAAGAGATAAGAGATATAGACCCTGGTTTCCCAATCTACATATCAGACTGTTGGATGACTGATCAATATGCCGATTTCGTCACACACTTACCCTCTTCCTTGGCGCTAACTTGCGTCGACCATCATCTGTACCGGTGTTTCACAGAGAGCGAAATTTCAACCTCAGCAGCGCAGCATACTGCATCCCTTGCTGATCGGAATGCCCCTTTTCCACAAATGTTCTCCCGCGTTTCAGAGAAACTCGCAGCATCAGGAAGTGGTCTCATAGTGGGCGAGTGGTCAGGAGCTTTGAATCCAGGCTCTTTGCAAGGCACAACCGACGAACATCAGGCAAGAGCATCTTACATTCGGGCTCAGCTTGACTTGTTCGAGTTGTACTGCGCTGGATCGTTCTTTTGGACATACAAAAAAGAGTTGCCTGGAGACCAAGGATGGTCTTTCCGAGACGCAGTTGAAAATGGCATCTTTCCCGAGGTCGTGGGCATGGTTCCAGTAAAGGATTATGTTGGACTTGGTGCAGACATTAACGCTAGAAAGGTGACCGCTAGAAATGTAGCCTTGGGTGAGTTCAGCGACTCTACAGCTGCCGCACTGTCCCTTATTTTTTAAGGCCAACATGCATCCTACTGGGCCCGTTTCCCTGGTTATTACGAGCATTGGCGTTTTGAAGCCGGTTTTGATCAAGGCTGGATTGTTGCTTATGACTTCTTCACGTCCGATCGGGCGGGCCGGAATGCCGTCTCAGAACTGGGATTCAAGGGCTGCATTGCGAAAAGGAAGGCGCAGGATCACATACGTGAAAACGGGCGCAACAACAACATTTGGGAGTTCGGTGAGTGTACTATTCAAGATAGTTTCCCTTTCTGGGTTTTGCCGCTTTTCGGCCGGTAGCACGACATACCCGCTATCTCGATAAGTCCATCTGTGATATCGCAGATTTAGGTGGCCCTATTTCTAACATATTTCAGAGCATGGATTTAGCCAAGGGGTAGATTCTGCGAAGCACGATTTTCAGCATCACTACTGTTGATTTTCACGTGTCAGGCGCGAGATTTTCATGGTATATTTCTTGGCCTAATAGGGACTTTAGCTTTTAACGATTTGCTTCCAGAACAGACAATCCATATCTTTGCATGCACATGTCCTCGTGTACGATAATATTCGATTGCTGACAATCAACGCAGACGTAAAGCTTTTCTTGAGTTGACAAAGCAAAGCTATCTGGATGAGTGCTTACCCTTTTCTGTCGACTTGCCATGCAGCTGTCAAGGAAAGTCCTGGAAGAACTTGGATGGCGTGCTTCAAGCTTCTTTGTGTCCCTCCAGTTCTAGTCTATCGTGACCCTTCAACGAGGATGAGCGCGGTAATTACAAACTTCCGTGAGTGCTCCTGTCCTCGCAAGAATCCGAACGTTTTCTCCTTAATGTCATGTTTGAATCCATTTGTCGTTACAACATGACCTACAAATGGCCGCTGCGATCTCCGAGGAGATGTATCTATATTTCCCTCACTTGGAAAACTCACGATTTAAGTTTTTGAATGTTGAGGCGGGAGGACATCACGATCAGCACTGCAGTCTATAGGTTTCTTCGACGGGTATCTGTTATTGTGGCTTTGACAAAGCATGTGTCGCATTCCTGTGCAAAAGACTCGTGGTCGACATGCATGACACAGTCACGGTTACCAACAAAGTAAGGATATCGATCATTGGTCGATAGCGATGTGATGACCCTGATATCTCTAGTACGATGAATAGGTCCGATATGAAACCATGTTGCATGGTTATTCTCCCTACTAGTAACGCGCGGGATTATGATAGAAAGCTTACATTGAACGTTCAATCCTCTCGCGGTAACTTCCCTACGTTTCATTCTCAGCGTTATTTGGGATTATTGGAAACAGGAACAAGGGGAGACTCTGCGGCCACGATGCGAGCTTCTGTGTATTTGCGTGCTGGGTTTGATATAGGCCTATGGCGCCCCGCATGTCATACTCCGTCTCAACTTTGTCTACCCGTCAGATATAAGACGTGGCAAGGTTCACAATCAGCATTCTCCGTCTTCGTCCTTCCCCCTACAAATGCGACTTGAAAGCTTCAGTCAATTTGTATACTACATACATGTCTCGATCACAAGCCGACAAGCATACATGAATCGTAATTTTAGGCACGCTAGACGTCGAGAAGGGGTATATGTGAGATAGTTCCAAGATAAAATCAGTGGGGAACCAAGGCGATAGATATTTGTGACAGATATAGCACAAAGGGAACAGGTCACAAGAAACGGCAACATTCACGTCAACAACTTCCAATGGAGGTAACCATCTTCGTCCGGAGCTCTGACAAGTCCCCTAAAGACATGTCTTTCCATCAAGTAATCAATCCGTTTGACTCCTTGACTTGCTTCGAGCTGAGCAGATGAAGGAATGCTCCTATATCTGCGGGTATATGCTCGTGCAATCGCAGTTTCTTGACTCTGACTCAGCTGGGCCCAGTCAGAGTGAGCGATTTGGCGGTGCAGGGAAGAGTGGATCATCCACAAAACATCGCCAACCGTTAGGGGCAGGGCGCCCGATGTGTCGTACTCGCCATGAACGAGATCCAAGTTGATAGGCCATTGAGGAATGGCGTCATGCGTGATACGCATGCGGGTGATGGTTGGGAATGTAGCAGGCTCCCTTAGTTCTTCAACGGACACCATAGCCGTGTGGTTTGGACCAACTTTGCGCAATGGCGCGAAAGCTGGATTAGCGATGTCGAAGTAGAAGTCCGACACATATGCTTCTCCGTTAAGAAGCGGATGAACCTGGAAGTTCTGCGATGACGTCTGGTATGGCCAAGCAGGGCGATGACCACTGCCGAATGAATGCCGCCGGTTGTGGGTCGGCAATGGAACCCCTAAAAAGGAGGGACTGGGAGTGGTTGCAGGCATCCCTCCATGCCAAGATGGAGGACGACGGGGACGGCATCCATCAGGATAGTAAGAAGTGTTCAGCGTTCCAGGAAGATCGACGTAAGGTGAAGAGGGAGAAGGCGGGAATAGATTTATGGGAGGAATGAAAGGTGATCGCTGGGGCGTATACGGGATAGTATAATATGGAGGAGGCTCGTAGGTCGGTTGTGTGTAGATATATGGTGCAGACATTGTTGCAGTACTGAAATTAAAGGGAAAAGATATCGAGGGACGTCTGCTATTTATTCGATGATAATGGTTAGTTTGGCCGCGGTACCATAAGCACAGCCTGCATACCTATGCTATGACTCTATGTCTGACTTGTCAAGTGACAAAGGCTATTGCTTCACGATGGACAGACTTTGGACGTCTGCGGTTGTGCAAGGACACGTCACAGCTTCGTGGCTCTTGCCAGAAGACTACGAAAGCTGCGAGACTTTTGTGTGGCAGGCAGTGGTAGTTTTGAAGGCTGTTGGCAAATTGCAAACTCGGTGATCATTTACCAGGAGTCTGGAAATTCACTCACTGGCTTCCTGTCCTACTGGTGGGATGGTCGATGTTCCGAGCAAGATGGGATTTAAATCAAGCCTGCGCGCTCTTTGTCAGTGTAAGCGCTTGATCGTGAGTATCAGACTTCCATGAAGCCAAGAGAAAGTTATTTCTCATCATCAGGCTACGGTGATCAATTAAATCGCGGATCATCGATGAGTCGAGCGATCCAATCATCCCACAGCATTCGCAGTCGGCTATGGAGGACACTAATTCATGGAACGTGCCTAAGGTTGCAGTGCAATCAACGAATTTGAAACTCCGATGCTTTGTCCTTTGCACTGCATCTAACTGTAACTTTTATGCTTCTGTCAAGAAATTACTACCCGATATCGCAGCTACGTACCCCCAGACCGTGCATTCAGCGCGTGATCATGTCATCATGGTGGGATAGGGATTGTGACTCAGAGTCGGAGTGCATCAGTCAGCGTATGTACTAGGCTAAGCTTGCGCCGCGTTCCTATCTTTGCGGTTGAGTTCTAGCGTCAATTTCTGCAGACTCACAGATTAACTGGACTGCTCGCATAATCTAGCTAATGGCGAACAAGGTCATTTGTATCTCCATATGGAATAGGTGTAATTCGTCAAGCAGAACTGGTGGCCAGTCGGATGATGCTTCCTATGAGTATACTCATCATACAAGCAAGTCCTTGCAGGTGGCATCGGGGAGCTTGCTGCCCAGTACAGGTAATCTCTTGTGCGAAGATCGCGGCTACCGTTCTATCATTTCGAGTGGTCAAGTCTCTCCTTGTCCATTCGTACTCGAAGACCTCATGCTCCTTATCTCACAGCTCCAGATACCAGGACGTCGGTTGGAGTAAGCTACTGACTTCTTCAGCATGTGCTTTTTCTTGCATAACTATTAAACAGATTAAATTTAGCCGTAGTCACGCAACCAACCCAGGCTTTTCGTCAACCCAAGGCATTCGAATCGTGATGTACTCGTGCCAGGCACCAGGTTTCACTCAGATGGCCCATACATTAATAGTTGGCACGGGTGCGATATGCGATGGTCGCCTATTCAACCCTGGATGAATATGACGTGAATGTGGTGAGGTCTCGCATTTGTGAATGTCGAACGGATATTTCAAACTTGCTAACGTACCGTTTTTGTCATCTGATTTGGATGTTCGCATCTGACGAACCAGTATCATGTGTACCGACACTTGACAACGTCACGAGCTTGTTTTGCATAGTCAACAAATCCAGCGACCTGGATTAGTTCAAATACTAGTATCGTCATCTATATTGCCAAGGGTTTGAATTTTGATGCGGTTGTGTGAGGAAAGGTTTCAATAATTTTGTTTGTGGTCTCGGATCCTGGAGAAGTAGCAATACCACCCGCATGTAATTACAAAACTCACCTCCACTCATAAGGGAGATAATGTTACTCATGTCGCTCTCAACGTGTATAATAGAGTACCGCAACAATTATAGATAGGACGGACGTGTCTCATACATTCAAAATCAATTCAGACTAGTAAATGCTGCCATCACCGGTTTATCTGTAAACGTCAGACCCCAATGCATCCATATATACAACATACAACTTCTGTCTATTCAAAACGCACGGCCCAACAAACTGCTAGATAGTCTGTCCTCTCGAGCATATTGTTCTATTATGATACGCCAACTCGCCCAGATCATATCTTCGAGCAATAAGTCCACATTACAATGATGATACTCACCACGAAACAGAGCTGAGTTCAATTCCATAGCAATGGAGGAGTCGACGGAATCCTCGTTGTGCATCATTCCCAATGAGATCCTCGTGAGCACTTGTACGTGTTTTAATTAGGTTATTCACTGACGGGAGCGGGCAGTTCAGCGGCGACAGGCTGGTAGATACCAGTACGATCTCTCACGACGTGGACTGCTGACCTTGATTCTATCCACAGCCACTATCTGCGTATGCAGATAGGAGGATACTAATTCCTGGAGCTATATTTACGCAAGGGCGAATTCCGACGACGACCTCATATGCATGAGATCGTTACTGCCAGTTCCAAATGTTTGCAACAGGCAACGATTGCGACTGGGCAGGATGTTGAGAATGTGGTCGTGTATCCCAACCATGCATCTCTTTCCACATCCTTGGAGGATATTTACGGAGAAAATGTTGCGCGTCTACAAGATATCAAGAAGGCTATTGATCCAGACACGTTGATAAGGCTTGCTAGAGGATGGAAATTGTAAATCATGGGAAATGCATGGTACAAACTATGAGTTAACATCCAGAAATTCGATGGCATACTTATCAAAAGATTATAAGTGGAGATACAAACACGATATGGTGTCCTCCAGATGGGTAGCGCAAAAAAAGCACAAGACAATTTCGTTGATGACCGACAAACAGGTTTGATATCTTCATTTTATCCGACTCACTCGTTTCTTGCATTTCAAAGTCCAGTTCCCGACTGTCCATCGCCGACCATATACAAATGCCTGGAATCTGCGACCAAGTCGATGGGTACTGTGTTGTGTTAGTAAGTTATGCGGTGCAAAAATACGATACGCACAAGCTCCGTGGTTTCAGGACGATCCTCATTGAGTATGCATCTTCACCATCATTATCTGATTGAATAGTCAATGATGGTAGCCAGACGATCCAAGTTAACAACTCACAGTATCCGGTCTCTTTCCTGTGGATTTGGAATCCAAGTTTATCGCGGTACAGACTGAAGGCAGCTCGATTGGACTTGCGTACGTGGAGCTGAACGTATTCTATGTCGTATGATTCCATCATGGCCTTTTCTGGATATTGTGTAAATTAATATTTTGCACCAAATCAGATGGCGTGAACCAACTCGAGAGCAGCATCAATCGCTTCGCAAGACCTAGCCTACGGTATGTTCGGAGTACGGATAGAGAGTTGACATGACCAACTTGCAGCCAAGGGAATTCGTCATCTGGCTCTCTGGGAAGTGATTGAATTAGTCCTGAATTCATGCGCGCAACCTTCACCCACATCGACGAAAGCACATAGCCTACTACGCGCCCACTGCTGTCCTCTGCGAGATACGAAATTTCTGGCCACGTTATAAAGGAATAGGCCCCTACAAATCTGGCGATTGGAATGGCATTTTCATTGAACCAAAGGAGACTCACAATATCTCATGTGGTAGTTCTCAGGGAGGTTGTGCAAGTTACATTGCTGTATTTTAGTGAGATCCTTTGGCTAAGCGCCAGACGGTTGAGTCATGGAAATAGTAGTATTGAACACAATGTTCAGTCTGCTGGAATCAAGGCAGGTAATCAAACGCACCTCTGCTCTTCGAATGTTCATTGTTCATCTAGAATCTAGAACGTGAGAGGTATGGTGTGTTGTAAGACGCGAACGTAGGAGCCCTGTACTAGTATGGGCGGTGAAGCACGTGTTGGTGCGGCAGGCTGTAAACAGGTGTGTACACAGCTTGGCGCTTTACTAGCGCCTGTACTCGTAACCCCCACTGACGCAAGGCTTGTCGGCGTTCATTTCTATCGGAAAGTCCAGGTTTGCGCGTGGTATAATTGTTACCTAATATGGGACAGCGTGACAGGCTTCGACGGCAGCTAACGGCACTTCCAGCGGAGTTTAAACCTCAACATTTCGAACGGCCACGCCAAACTGTCAATCATCCCGCCAACGCGCCCGCTGCCGCCGCCCAACATCCCCCCCATCATTGGATCGCTGCATGTTCATGATCCACTTCAAATCTACCCACTCATCTTATCTACATTGCCTGCCCAGGACCTTTTCCACCTGCTGCCCATTATCTCTAGCCTTCTGTCCTTTGCCCGTTGTCTGCCTGGTGATAACAACTGTGATGACCTCATTTCAACAAACAGATGTTTCTCTTCTTTTCAGCTTCTCTTTGTGTCCATTGGCAATTGGCATCGTTCCAGATTGTGCAGGCTGCGATGCTGCAGTTCCTCTTTCGATATGTTGCAGACTCGCAGGGATCTGAACAGAAACTCGAACAGGTCGATGGAAAGGGTGTGTCCTCACTGTGGTTGACCGTTTTGTAGATTAACAGTCTATAATAACATTGATGCATCAAATATATTATGACCACTGTATGAGTAGGATTGTGCTTTTTAAAGGCTCCCAACGTGACAACGTCTATGGCAGTAGGCCCGAACAAGCCCGAGAAACAGTAACGAGCTTCACTGCGCACACGGCAACTTTCACACTCCGCTTGGAGGTGTCGATGGGACTGTTCTCGAGAGAACGATAGACATGATTCAGATTCCACACCATCAGTGTGGTCCTCAGCACCCAGTGCATGAAGACATGTTTACTATACCAACTGATAACGGTGAATTGGATGAATCGAAGTAAGGATTCTGGCAGCACGACATTTGAATCCAAACATTGTCGAGCTCACCGTCGTTGTGTAAAGAAATAACAGCGACTGGGTTCGTCTTAAAGATTAAGAAAAAAGCATGCTTATACAAAAAATATGCAGCTGCCCGTCGAACAACACCACAAGTAGGTAAGAAAATGATTCTATCAAAGTCCAAAAAATAACAACCTAATCTATCATCGATTTCTTGGAAGATCGTTTGTGTTGTGGGGTGTAATCTCCAACCATGGGCCAGGAATAGGTTGAGATACTCATCTGTAAGTATACCTACACTTTCCCATTCTTGCACTGCGTTGGAGCCCCCCACTGCAGTCTAACACGCAAATATTGCGCCACCCAGGTGAGTGAAAGAAGGACAGGAACCTCTACTAACGGCCCAATGGTCGCTGCCAACGCCTGATCCGACCCCACTCCATACACAGCGATTGCTACTGCAATTGCAAGCTCCTACGCAATTCACTTGTTTAGTGCGTCATTTTAAATAAAGCGACCTGGAGATACTCACGAAATTGTTGCTTCCTGCGGTAAAAGCCTGCACTACTGCCAGCTCATACGTGAAATCACCATTGTCCGTGTTCCCTTTCCTAAATTCTCGGCGAGCGAGATAGAACACAAGCGCAAAGGCTGACGTCCACATGACAACAAAATATAGGATCATTGGTACGAAGACCCGGAAAACAGAACCGATATTCTGCACAATGTGGTGTCCTTGGTATGCAAACATAACGATGATGGTGTACAGGAGACCGATGAAGGAGAGCGGGGAAAATCGTGGTGCAAAACTCTTGTCAAAGAATTCCTTCGATTTCAGTCGGATGACTGTGAAGCGTGTGATAACACCAGCAAGGAGAGGAATTCCAAGGTACTGTCAAGTCGTTAACACAACAATTACTCTGATATTCAGGATACTCACAATGAGAACTGAGATCGCCACCGAACCATATGCAAGATGAACCCCCTGCTCGGTGTGTCCAACGACGTTCACAAACAAGACGGCATAGGGTGAGTAGAGTATGATTTGGAGCACCGAGTTAAAAACGACGAGAATTGCGCAGTATTCAGCGTCCCCCCCGGCCAACTGATTCCACACCATAACCATGGCAATGCAACGAGCGAGCCCAACGAGGATCACGCCTGTCCTGTACGTCGGGAGGTCGGGGAGCGTAGCCCATGCAAGACCGAGCATAATAAGGGGGCCGATGATCCAGTTCAGAATCATACTAATTCCCATATGCATCCACAAACGCCTGGACAACAATATTCGCGAAAGGGCTTCATATCTGACCTTGGTGAGAATAGGCCACATCATAACAATGAGCCCAATTGCAATCGCTTTAATTCTGTGAGCATGATTCATAACGTGTTGAATATAATTGCTTACGAACGGAGACACTGTAGAATTTGACAGTGTCGAACGCCGGCTGCACACCAGGTACAAACTCGCCTATGACTACCCCGACGATCATGCATACCAATATGGCTGGTGTGAGCGAGCGGTCTAGTATACTGAGCTTCTGAAATAGCGCTATACTGCTGTCAGAAGAGGGGCAGGACGGTGTCACAGTAAAGTTACTGCACCTTGGGGTGCTGCTACATCATGATGGTCATCATTCTCCGACGGCGTGTGGTCCGCCAGAGAATCGACTGGCCTCAAGTCTTGCTCGTTCGATTTCATGACGGAATTCGTATCCTTTTCCATGATGGTTCCAGTAAGAAAGGTTGAGGATGCACGAGAGAGACTTCACCAACTTTTGAGCGTTTTCGATTTTGAATATCGTTTGAATATCGACTACTGACGGACTTAATTTTAGCTTAATTTTTCCTTTTGAGAATCACGCGGAGAACTTCGGCCAAATTACACAAGTATAATTGGTCGATAGGTTGGGTTTTCTTCTGCCTCACGTCCTACAGCCCACGTTCATGGCAGCATTATGCACTAAAAGTTTCCACAGAAATTCCTGTGAGAGTGCTTTCTAATTTTCTATGATTTTGATTTTCTCGTGACTTGAAAGTATGTGGGAATTTTGATTTTGATTTTGATTTTGGTTTTGACTTTGATTTGACTTGGCACTGGATTAGTCAAGCATGCTATATCAATCAAGGTGAACCGTACCAGTGCGAATATCACCCAGCACAACCCCAGACTAAGTACTATGTCTGGAACAGTACCACTCAATGACGAAGGGGTCGTCAGCGCAGTATGCGATGCGTACAGCACCATTGCGAAGGAAGGCGCGCACACAGCATGTAAGTGCTCCATCATCATGTGGCCTAAAGACTCTAAACGCGTTGTCTTAATATGTGACCAGATGCTGAAGCAGTCGCGGAAGCATTCGGATACACTGCGGAACAGCTGAGGTCCGTCCCAGCAGAATCCCACATGGGACTCGGATGCGGAAATCCCGTGGCCGTAGCGTCTGTCAAAGAGGTATATTGTTCGAGAACAAGTCCATTCACATTATAATCGTGATCATAGGGAGAAACTGTCCTTGACTTGGGCTCTGGCGCTGGCATCGATGTCCTTCTTGCAGCTCAGAAAGTTGGTCCTAAGGGGCAGGCCATCGGTCTGGACATGTCAGCAGTGAGTTTTGTTTGAGTTGTGCTTTCACACAATGATAATCGGGGCAGGATATGATCGATCAAGCGCGTAAGAACGCCTTTAAGCAAGGATATAGGCCACCTCAGGTAGTCTTTATCCAGGCGAAGTTGACAGAGCCCCTACCTGTGGCGACAGGCTCCGTAGATTGCATCTTGTCCAACTGTGTCATCAATCTGCTTCCTGATGTGGGGAAGGCAGCCGTCTTGAAAGAGTGTTATAGGATCCTCAAACCTGGTGGACGTCTTGTGGCTGACGATGTGAGCTTCTTGTGCGGCGCGGCCGGTCCCGGTGATTCTGAATTTTGAGTGTAGATCATTGCGAAGAAGCTGCTTCCGGACACCATCCGGTCCGACCTTTCGGCCTATATCGGATGCATATCTGGGGCGCTTCAGCTGGAGCAATTCAGAGCTCTTATGAAGCTTGCTGGGTTCACAGGTGAGTTACAACGTATGCAGTGAATACGTGTGACCTATCGCCCATCATACAGATGCATTATTTGTCGAGAACAACGTAGATCTTGAGGTCTATAAATCCGCTGGACCCACTGCATGCGGTAGCACACCTTCATCTAGCCCCTCAACTAAATGTTGTGCGGCCTATACCAGCACTCTTCCTCAGACCACCATCGGGAACCTCAACGAATGGGCTGGTAGGGAAATAATTATATTAAAACGAAAGGATCAAAATCTAATTTACAAAAGCTTCATACCAGATATACGCAAGGAAGGTCTCCTCAGATAATGGAGCTGTGGACAAATCTCCTCCAGCACTTGATCGATGGTGGGATGCATATCCGAAAGACTATCTAACTTCCGACGAAGTTGCGAGTTTGCTTCGCGACCCTGATTGTTCAGACTATGCTATCATTGACGTTCGGGAGAATGATCGCGTTGTAAGTCGAAGACAGTGGATTGGTAGGGCTGACTGATATTAAATGGCTACAGGGTGGTCATGTTCTTGGAAGTGTTCAGTGGCGAGCAGACACGTTCGCTAGTTCACTAGACAAGTTTTACGATGAGTACGGCAAGACAAAGCAGGTGGTTTTTTACTGTGGGAGCTCCAAAGGACGGGGTTCTCGGTGTGCTGCCTGGTGAGTAGTACCCTTTAAGGTGTCTATCTTGCTAAAAGCAAGTCCAGGTATCAAGATCATCTAAACAGCAGAGGTAATACGGAGTCAAAGGCTTGTGTTCTAGAAGGTGGATACAATGGATGGAGATATCCTGATCTAGTGGATGGAGCAAGCAGTCTGTGAAAGGCCATACGCATGTACGGAATACAGGGTTTCAATACCAAAGTACTGACAAGTGAAGTAAGACGCATTTTCGGGACAGCATCTCGGTCTTGAGGACCCTTGTGACACTACACGTGGTTGTAGTAAATGTGACTCAATTATAAACCCGTATTCGGTTCAGCTGCAGAATGGGCAAATGCCGATCAATGACACAACCGCGTATCATGTATAACAGCAGCGTTGATGACACTGACTAAGATAAGGCAAAGGTTAACTGATAGTACCTCCGAGTATCTTGGAAGCGCAATACCGCCGACCATAAGCCCAAGCGCTTTGAAAATGTCTGCTGGCAAACCGGAATTTGGAATTGGAACATAAAGGGGCTTCCATTTCGAGATAATGTGTTCGACTTCGAGGGTGTGTCCGACGTTGCTGACTTCGGCGAGCACTAGGTTCATCAGTCAGAGCTTGACTAGTATTGAGTCAACTGACCTTACCCACTTAAATGAGGCATTCGTCATGCTGTGACTTCTTACAAGGGAGGATTGTGCCAACAGTTCACCCTGATGACCCTTCATCAGGGTTACATACCGCGCACGAGAGATGTGTAGCGATGGAGGAGACAGAATTCTAATCGATTCGGATCGCATGACAGACGATTATCAATCGCCCGATATGATTGTCTCTCATACGGCACGTAGGTGCTAATTAATCGACAAACCAGGATCACCGAACAATCAATCAGGCCGCCATATATGATTAATCTCCTTTTGAGCGCGAGAGTAGATGCAGGAGTGCCAGAGTAGCCTAATCAGGCCGACGCGAGACGATAGTATGGGGTGAAAAGCCACGGATGGTGTGTATCGACAATCATTTTGGATAGAGCATCGGCGCAGCTCGAATGTCGTTCGATCTACAGTGATCGTCGAAAAAATGTTTCTCGTCGAATGGCTCGAGTTTCCGGAAATAAGACTAAATGAAAATCTTCATAACACGTTTTGCGTCCGCGTAAGCAAAAATCTCGTGAGCGACACGTCAAATATTGAGTCACCAGACTGGAAATGACGTTTTGCGGGAATGCTAAGTGTTAGCGGCACGAAGGGTGCTTCATGATGGTTCTTGGACCTAGAGAAGATGAGGTCGGTGTACCTTTCATACGAATTTCCCATGCCAATGTGCCAAGCGGAAGAAAACTGGTCGAAAGAACCCAAAAGAGAAGAGCATTCAGGCGATATCCACCAACATATATAATCGCAAGGAGCATGCAGATCGATGACGATGACCAGGTTGGGACGAAGAATAGGCATGCGGTTCTGGTGTAGTTATGCCAATGGGCCTGTTGATAGTTGCAGTAACCGCAGTGCGTACTACTGAGGCGAGCCGTATTTCTGGGCTATTTCCACTGTTCTCGTAGTGCGGCCACGAGGCAGTCTTGAGAGATGGCAACTGAAGCCAGCTGAGAATACCGGAGCTAACCATGAGCCATGTGTCTGATCGATGCCCTCATTCAATTGATGTGGCTAAAGTTCTCTATTCCTCGACACGGAAAGTTTGGACCCGATTAACGTCCTTGGCCTTTCAAATTTCGTTTGCATTTCGTCCTGGAATTTTCTGATAATAAATCAGGGCTTCACGTCAGTGCTTATGTCTTACTATGGCGTGTTTTGTGGGTGACAGTACCCTGTCGAGTGTTTATTGCATAAGAAGTGCCTCGGCGTGTGCGGCGGGCGAGAACGTTGAACGTTTGAGCGTAGTCGTCGGGTTAGCGAATGGACGCCCATGGTGGTCACACAATTATAGGTGGGAACAAGAATCAATAATACACACCCCATCTTCGCATCTCTTGCCAATCCCGGAATAAAGCACACTGACAGCGTGCTTGTCAGCACTAGTAGACGCTCTAGGTCCGTCTCTTAGTTCCCACTAACATTTCATCAGAAAGCTTTACTCTTTGTCCTTTTTCAGCACCATCATAAGCTTACTAGCAATTATGCCTGCAATCCGTGAACATGACATCTACCCAAACGATGTCGAAGATGACGGTGAGTTTTCCTTCACAATCATATTCAAGTTCAACCTCATGCTAATTAATGCAGATGGGATGCCCCCACTCGTCGACAATCCAAATACATCAATGTCATATACATTTTTCACTGATATGACACCCATTACGGCTTTCAGCGTTGACCCGACTGCTCTCTGCGAGAATGCATGGGACAACCCAACGTCCACATCTCCTGTCGAGTTTACAGACTTACTTGATTGTCCTGCAACCCAAACTACTGATCGTGTCTCTCATGGCAAGAAAAGGGACGCTTCGTACATCCCTCGCCCACCCAACGCTTTCATCCTCTTCAGATCATCCTTCATTCGGAGCCAACAAGTTCCGGAGAAGGTGGAGGGGAATCATAGCACCCTGTCGAAGATTATTGGTCTGTCCGTAGTCAACGGATCTACTAGTTACTAACCTATTTACATATAGGCAAATACTGGAAGACTCTTCCTCGTGAGGAAAGAGAAATCTGGGAGGCTAAGGCACTCGTTGCTCAGGCGGAACATAGAAAACGCTACCCAGACTGGCGTTTTAGACCTGGAGCTAACGCGCTTGCGAAGCTCAAGGTTAAGGATGGTCCTGGTATAGCCAACAGAAGACGAAGCGCTCAGAGTACCAAGAAAGGCCGCGGAAATGCCGAATCCAAGAAGAAAAATAAGAGTAAAGATGAAAGGTGTTCCATGATCGCGGATCTTCTTGTGGAAGGCAAGACGGGCGCTGAACTGGAAAGTGCGCTCAGAATTTGGGAGAACGGAATTAGTAGGGAAGTTGAGGTGGGTAAAGGTGCTGTTGGCGGGGAAGGTGAACACGATCACGAAGGAGGTGATGAGGGCATTTGGGGCGAAGCTTTCCCGACTACCAATCACTTTCAGATGGAGTCGGTCCAAGTTTCGCAAGGCCTCTGCCATGCCAATCACGTTACACAGGTAAACACCGATGGACGCGATCATACCGCCACGAGTCAACCTCGCTGCAGGACTCCACATGACGATCGATTCCAAGTACCTCTTACTGCAATGTTCAAGCGTTCTCTGTCCGCACCTGAGAGGCGCTTTACATCTCCCGCGGATGTTCTAGGCCATAACCACAACAACTCTCTAACCAGTAACTTTACTGATGTCTTATCCGATACTGCGAGTTCTCCTCCCAGCGTTTGTACCCCTTCTGCTTTTCCCTCAGAGCAATATGAAGACCCATCAGTCGTTGTGTACGGTGACTCTATGGGCCATCTGTCACCTCTTGTTCTGCCGTCAGGACTAGGAGATGATTCTCCTGCACGTTGGAATGACGTGAGTTCTATCACACTTCTCTTCTTCATTGTCTGTGCTAATTTTATATCTTTGGCAGCCGTACAATCTCCTCGGAACTCAATCGCCCATTGGATCGTTATCAGACTGCCCCAGTCTTTCATACGGACACAGTCCCTCCGTGTCGCCAGTTGATGTGAGCTTTGGGAATTATACGTTCCCTTCGCCGACACTGGCAGCACTTACTGCGACAAAGCCCGAGAACATTTCTGCTGGTCTTGACTACCCCATCTCATACGATACCCAGTGTTATTCCTCTTACTCTGCGCTTAAGGGGTGGGCAGATGGTCAATGCGCATCTTTCGATACCTCTCCAGAAGATTTCGTGCCGCAGGTTTTTGTTAATCAATTCGGCAACACACCAGCGGTATACGAGTGGTTCCCTCTCGACGATACCATACGTGCTGGTCATGCACCCCAGATCCATCACACGTTCGAAACCAGCTACTTCAACGATTTCAGATTCTGAAGTTCAGTCCTTCCCTCGACATATGCATATCCCCTCTGTGCGCCACCTTTCTCCTTGATAAACCTTTGATGATAATGAGAAACTGAAATTGAAATGTACTACCAGTGGTTTGACTTGGCACGATTTTACCCTATGCACGTGTTTTACCCCCTTCATAGATGGTCTTTTCCCTGTATTGACTGACTATAGCTATCGTTATGCTTTCATCCATTCCGGTGTTTTGTACTATGCAATCCCCTGTCTCGTTTATGTATGTTGTTTTTTTTGAAGTGACGTTTGTACGATACTAGTAATGTGCTGTTATCAATGTTATGCACCCTTGGCACTTGCCCGGGGTATGAAAAATCAGTCTCAAGGCGCAAGATCCGCTAGGTCTTAACAACGGCAATTTAGTGACGTAGGGTGAGGCTGATAGTACGGCTGGATCATAAGTGTTATTTTAAGGGATTCGATTCGGAAGCAAACTATAAAACCACATGTATCATGCCATCATGCCACAATGTATAGCTCCGGCTTTTAATTTTGAATGCGTCCTGGTGACAATGATGATTCAAGACTTCATGTCGCTACTTCCCTGACTACCATATAAAAATTCCAAGCCAAGTCAGATAACGGTCCTAACCACGCGGGGGATGTTTGACGTACATACGCCTTGGAAACCATCCTCCCTTCAAGGAACTTGTTCAAACTTTGATAGCTATCCTTACGAACATCTGAGTTCTTCCCGGATAAGCTCTGGAAGTCGCCTTGGTGCGGAGGAATGCTAAGCCGCTATTAGCTTGACGCTTGCTGCCGGTCCGGTGTGATGCGGTGCCATGCAAAACGATCAAACGGGCATCATGCAGTTTGCATCAAATATGTGAGAATGTGGTGGTGGATGAAAGAATGCGTGCGTATCTGGGTGAGTCAGTTGATACCGTAGAGTTCGACTTCGAAGAGAAACACTAAAATTGCGTTAGTAGTAAAACGCCACAAGAATTGACAAAATCTAGACCATATTCTTCCGGCAGGCTCCGAACCGACAGTGCAGGCATGACCTTCTTATCTGTCGAGCAGAAAGTAGAAGATCCAGACCGTGCACCAAGAACGGAATAGCATGTAGGTTACACAGCTTTTAATCCTTGTCATACCGCCATTCATGTGCACAAGGACATGCCACGGCAGGGTTAATGATTCCTGAACATTAACTTATGATTGAAGCAGCTTGGTACCAGGTACGTAGCGCGGCTCATCGCAAAAGGGAGATTTGAGCACCGGTACCTTGACCCACGTGTAATGTCAAAAAATAATTTTTCATATGATGAAAGAAAGTCACGATTTTTCTGTCATCCATTCGTCGTACTACTCGTACCGCACTTGCTACACTGCGAAAATGGAACCATAGCTGTCAAAAGGTATGACACGGATCTCTGAGACAGCTACGAC